GCTTCAAATTTAATTTTAAGTATCTGAATAATTTCAGCTCATGATAAGGCATAAAGGAACATTTTTTAAGGCCTTTATGTAAATCATATAATTTTGTTTACTTTACACACGTTGCTAACCAAGATTAATTAATTAATTAATTCGTTTAGATTTTGATAGTATAAAAAATATTCTAATTTTAATGAAGGACATGACTAGAAATTATTGAATACCTGGAATGAAAAATATAAAATCTGTGACCCCAATACTAAATCTCAAGATACAGCGTTTTATAAGAACTCTGAATGTAGAACAGTACAAGAGAAAATTAAGAAATTTTTAGCTAAATGTGACTTGAAACGAGTCTGACTGACAGATACTTTCCTCTTGTCTGCCAGTGATCACGTTTTGCTGTAAAATAATCAAAAAGTTGGGTAAAATCTACTGTGATAGATCTAAAAACCGTTGTTTTATCTTAATTTCCAAATCGTATCATGAAAAATTTATTCAAGTTTCAAAGACGTTTAGAACGTCAATTGTCATTTCACAATTACACTGGCCTATGACTTACATCATATTGAAAAAGATCTGCGACTGTTACACTGCTTTACTAATACTTAACAAATATAAATAAGAACCATTCCAAGAAAACTGGGTTTTAAATAGAAAAAATTTTTCGATTTTATTAATGTATGTCTTGTTGGTGTTAAAAAATAAATAAATAAATACGGTGAAGGAAAACATCGTGAGGAAATGGAGAAGGTTTGAGCATGAATCCCCACGCTTGCTCAAGACGGGTTGGTGATTTCAAACTTATAATTGTGAAACTATAAGTCCAGGTTTCCTCACGATGTTTTCCTTCACCGTATGTCAGTGATGTCTAAATACTCTCAGAAAGTACATATAACTCCGAAAAATCACATTGGTACTTGCCAGGTTTGAACCTGCGCCCTCCGCAACGAGAGATCAAAAGAAATATATACGTTTTATTACAGCTTACAATTCTAAGCTAAGCATTCAGACCATTAAAAATAAAAAAAAGTATAAACTCCTATATTAATCATATATTTTAGTGATTCTTTTTCACTCAAGAATAAGGGTCATCAATCATCATCATCATCACTCAGCCTATAGCAGTCCACTGCTGGACATAGGCCTCTCCCAGCACGCGCCATAACACTGGGTCCTCTGCCTTCCGCATCCAGTGAGACCCAGCGACCATTTTAAGGTCATCGGTCCACCTAGCTGGGGGGCGTCCTACTCTACGTTTGCCGAGACGCGGTCTCCACTCAAGGACACGCTTGCTCCACCGTGCGTCGGTCCTTCTGCAGAATAAGGATAAGAGACATAAATTATAAAACGGTTTATTTGATATATTTAAAAAGTTTTTGTGCACAAAAAACTATCTCTGAAGCATTTAAAAAGTCGCTGTTTTGTCGAAGCTATAATTAAAGCTAGCGGTTAAAGTCGTTTAAAGGGAACTTAAAATTTTTAGTGCTAACCGCTACATACCATTTAAAATTATGTTGAATATTATTAATAACAGAAGTGAAATAAAGTGAAACCCGTGAGAAATATAACTCATGGAATCGAACTATCTATTCAAATATCATATTTGGTTCATTTTTGTATAATCTTGTTAATAACTGTTAGAACTCATGACCTTACAGACTTTCTGGTTACATAATTTGTTTAAAAGTATTGTTAATCTAAAATCACATTCTATTTAATATTTAATTTTGTATCATAGCTATATACTTTTCTTTGTGACATGATTATTAGAAAACATATAATTATTTCAATAATTGTCACTGGTGGCCTATTGGTTAAAAGACCCGCCTCTCATGTACAAGGGCGCGGGTTCGATCCTGGCCCGGGCAAGTATCAATGTGATTTTTCCGAATCATATGTACTTTCTAAGAGTATTTAGACAGCACTGATTAATGCATTCCCAAAGAGGGTTGATATCAGGCAGGCGGCCGGTCGTAAAACCAAATTAGAAAAAAATATTTACAAGCTGTTTTGTAGAAGAGAACATGTTATGGCGACCATACATAAAGAGAGATAAGTACAGGAAAAAAAATTCTATTTATTTCAATATATTATTACAACACATAGCCGCCTTTATTCATTCATAATCCTTTAAGAATTTATTCCATTTCACACTAGAAGTAACCCGTGAGTTTTGCTAGAACTTTTAAAATTTAATATCCGGGTCCATCATTTTGATTTATCGGACAAAAAGCTGCGAAGTATTTTTCACGTATTTCAATATCAACTTTTTACATAACAGTAAATGCGAAAGTTGCGAGGATGTATGGAAGTTGGATTTGTGCATGTATGAATGCACGTGTGTATGTATGGATGAATGAATGTATGTATGTATTAAAATCATAGCAAGCTTTACAAAAGATAGAGATATATATATTTTAGCAGTGACTGACTTGGTTTCGACTATTTTGTGAAATATACTAATAAAATTTTATAACCACGATCTTAACTTTATGTCAAACGTAAATTATTTAAATATTAATGTTCCATCTGTATTAATTTAATTACATCATTCGGAGATCATCTGGAACATACAGAATAGTCAAGATAGATATTTTTTATTTCGTTATAATATAAAGATTTACGTAAATATTCCTATAATCATAGCTTGGCCATTCTGATAGGGTTTAGAACCTCGGAATATTGTTATCGCTTAAGCAAAGACCGTCTCTTCAGAATGGTCATTGTACTTACAATAAAAAGGTTCTTAACTATTTTATAACTTTCCCATTTAAAATATGTATATAGGTGCCTCCTAGTGCTTCTAATAATAGTAGTGACAAAATTTTGCAGAATTCCTAAAAATACTTCAATTTTTTTTTAACTGAGGCTCAAAACTGAAAAATAGTTATAAAGTACATATGGTAGTAAATACTGTTTGAATAAAAGCTAGCATTGAAATAAAAATTCATCTTAGAGTGATCACAGTTAAATTAAATTTTGAAATGATCCAGATTCGACCATAAATTCACTTAAAATGGTTCAAGTGATCGAAAAATACTGTATAAAACTAGAATTGCTCCTCCATTTCAGTAAAGACTTTAATACGTCTACATTTTATTGCATACTATAATACAATAAATTTTGGAAAGACCTTACATTATTGTTGCCACTGTTGTTAAGGAAATAATTGAAAGAAAATTAACGAAAATAAATTTTTGTGAGCACTTAAATCCTTAAAATTTTGAAATAAGGAATAAAAAGGAACTTTTATTTACAAAAGGCTATTATACTCGTTATAAGAGTATAATAGACCAACAAAACTGAAAAATTTATGTTTTCTACTGTTTATTATTTCATTAATGTGGTCGTAAATCTTATAAATAAACTACCTATAGCTTTCATGATTCCCACTGACTCAAAAACGATATCAATTATTTCCAATAGTTCTGGAATATGTATGACCTAAACACTGTAGCCAGTGGTGGCCTAGTGGTTAAAGGCCCGCCTCTCGTACACGAGGGCGCCGGTTCGATCCTAGCTAGTAGAAATGTGATTTTTCCGAGTCATATGTACCTTCTAAAACTATTTAGACACCACTGACAGACGGTGAATGAAAACATCGTGAGGAAACCTGGACTTGTAATTTCACAATTATAAGTTTGAAATCACCAACCCGTCTTGAGAAAGCGTGGTGATTAATGCTCAAACCAAGAGAGAAAGAGGCGCTTGCTAAGGGGTTGGGCTCTGATAGGCTGATGATGAAACAGTGTACATAAAATATTCTATTGTATAATTAAAAAGAATTACACTTCTTAACATCTGCAAGGGAAATATGTCATGTAGCGTCATGGGAAATCATTACAAAGGTTCCTGAATTATCTTTTATTTATATTTAAACAATATAAATACTATTTGATCTTAAAATAGAAGAAAATCATAAGCTAACCGGAAAAAATATGTATATATGATAAATAAGCGTAAATACGTATTATGAAATTAGATAGAAATAAAAATAATCTATTTTGCACTTAAAAAGACCTAGACGAATATTGAATAGTTGAAACTGTACCAAATAAAAGTTAGCTATTGAGCTTTGAATATGATCTTTAATAATATCTTGATATACTTATTTTATATTGAATAATTTTAAAACAATTTTTCGTTAACAACGACAATTCTTGATCTTGATAAGTTCAATTGCGATTCTTGTACTTGTACACTACACACTTGTACTAAGTACTTGTTCAGTACAGAATGACATGGTATAAAGAGTATTTGAAAATCAAATAAAAAATTGTGACCTATTTATTTTAAGTGTAAAAAAGTATATAAAGAAACAAATAAAAAAATGAAGAATATAATTTACAGAGCATTTTGAACAATATGGTAAGAACATTGAAGAAAAGTAGGTCGGATAAGACATTATTCGGACACGAATGAAGGTTTAAATTTAAAATTTCATAGTTACAATTAAATTTGTACATTTATTATGACAGAATCTTCACGAAATTAACTTCTTGCAACATTGTATAGCGCCTCTAGGTAAGGAAACCTATTTGTGAGTTAATAGTAATTGGGATAAGCCTTCTCATAGATTAAGTCTACTCGCGGTAAAGCCGTAGTATATAAGGCTTTATATAACATTGTTTAATATGAACATATATGATTTTTGTCAGCCACAGAATCAATGAATGCATTTCTTTGTAAAGATATGTCTATGCTTGAATCGTGTAATATTTTGTCAATGTCAATATTTTTATTTGTTTGACGAATTATAATCTTGAGTACTGTGTGGACACACGAAGGAGATTGAAGAATGGAAAAGAATAGTTTATTTTATTATTATTATTATTATTATTAAGAACAACACTATCAGCAGATAAAAGGTAGTTGTAAAAACTTAAAAAATAAAACATCGAATTGTTTTTCAAATTCAAAACAAGTCAGTTGCTATGGCAACCGTTTTCAATTGAACCAAAACAAAACAAGTGTGATTTTATTTACGTAGCGGTCTTGACTGCTTAAAAATGTCCTGTTTGAGCAGTTTTGATAGCGAGGCGGTTGCTTTTGATTCGGTTTCAGATGATAAGAAGCCGATGAGGACTAATTCCTCACAGACAACCGAGTTTAATGAGGGTGGGATGAGTACGCAGACTAATACGTCCAAAGATATTGGCTGTTTGGCCCAACCGGAGGATGTAAAACCTGCTGAGGCGATGGAATATCCACCGCCAGGCCTGAACGAATTCCTCAGGAAGGTGGTACCGGCAATGATGGACCAATTGGACCAAAATAACACGGAATTCCTCAATAATTCATCAGATTCTGACGAGGAAGAGGTTCTAGGTGCTAGGTTGTTCCAGGAAATGCAGCTTAAAGACGGCATCGGGGCTGGTGACCATGAAACCTCTATTTTGGGCGTCACCTGGAGCAGCGCTGGGAATTCCCTAGCTGTTTCCATCGGTCAATTGCATCACGAAACTTTCTGCCAAACGTCCGGTATCATTAAAGTGTTTACTCTGAAGAGAAGCGAAGATAAATTTGTCCATTCGTTGGACATCAGTGAGAATAACTGTGTAACTGTCCTGAAGTACCATCCTAACGTGGCAGCTCTGCTGGCGTATGGCACTACTTCCGGGGAGGTTGTTTTATGTAATTTGAGGAACGGAAGTCTTGATGAAGGCACCCAATTGACGTCACCAGCGGGATGTCACGGCTCGAGGAGAGTATCAGGCTTGCAGTGGGCTGACGCGCCGTTGGCTAACATATATTTGCTGATGCAGATACATAATAAAGGCAAAAGACGTGGTGCAGCAGATCAGGTTAAATTAAAGTCATTAGACCTCTTTTTATAATTAAAATAATATTGGTGGTTACCAATTTCAGCATATTCTTAGTTTTTAAGTTTAATATATATAAAATTGTTTATAATATAAATTAAATTATAGGTTCTTTTTTCGTCTGGTTGCGACGGAACTCTGAACGCGTGGCAAGTGAACTCTTATTCTAAAGTTTTCGAGAACATTATTTGTTATAATATAAACGGTTCCAAGAAGATGCCGGTTCCGGATATAACCTGTTTTGATTTCTTCAAGAGTTATCCGTTACGGTCAGCTGAAGAGAAGAGTTATAATGACGTATTTGTTGTCGGAGATAGAAGCGGACAGCTGTTTTTATGCAAAATAACTCCACAAATCGACAATGATCCGGTGTACGAAGTCCTGCAACCTCACGGCACCTGTGTTTTAGATATTTCGTTCAGTTTCCAAAAACCGGGAATTTTCGTTTCCATCTCTATGGATTCTGAAGTTAGAGTATATGATATCAACCAGAATAGTCCATTGAAGGTAATGAAAAACATTAGTTATGCTGTATATTATTTTATTTGGCTAATTTTATATTTATCCACAGATAATATGTTTGGATATTCCGATATCTTGCATGAGCTGGCTGTGTAGTCCGTGCGTGCTGCTCGGTCTGGCTGGATGTGATGAACTGCTGCGTGTTTATAACATCTGTAGCGGGCGTGTGGTACCTGTCAGTGGTTTGGCGGGAAACGCGACTGTCACTTGTGTCGCTGTCAACCAGAGCGGGTAGATGATTTATCAATAATATATATAAAAGTAGGCGGACCCTGGCTAAAGCTGGAAATTGCCAGGTAGAAGAAGATATACAAAAGAAAGTCGTGTTAGTTACACTATTTATAACTCGAGAACGGCTGTACGGGTTTGAATGAAGATTGATGCGGTGGTAGCTTAAAACAAGGAGACGGACATAAGATATTTAATTCTATTTGGTAGAAGCAGAAATAAATTATCTCTTATCATTTATGGACTATAGAGTAAATACAGTTTGCCCGGGGAGCCATACATATATTAATAATGCCGAAATTAACTCGGAACTTACGGGCAAAAACTAGTTTTGTGTAAAATAAATTACTACAGACTTCAATAACATATAATTTCCGTCACATATCATTTTTAATAGTGTTTATCGAACAATCATTACAATTAGAAAAATACAACATTGATAGTTATTAGTTTTATGCCGTCTTGCATCAAAATGTATGACTATACTCAGTTTTATGGGTTCATTATCATTATTTTACATACAATAAACGGCCAAATGTTTATTATTACGAAATAACAGCATTATACACTGTATAACCAATTATTATCAATTTAATTTCCCAGTTCATGCCGCATAGCTGCCGGTGACAGCAGCGGCACTCTTCATATATATGAACTACCGTCTCGACGGATCAAGCTAACGGCCGATGACTTGGACTTTTGATTGTATTAAATAAAACGAGCATTAAACCTCTTTTATTTATTTATTAAAATTATAATTAACACTTTATTCACAGCAACCAAGGCTCCCAAACACCACGACGATCGAACTGTCGCCGGCAAACAACTGGAAATAAAATAATAAATAATAGGTATATGATAATTAGAAGGTAAAAAAACACGTAACTACTGAATGGGTTTTGATGAAACAATGTAGATTTACTAATAATAAATGATATTAATATTTCATATATACATATTTTTCGTTTTTCTACAATGAACAATACAATGAAACTAGTGCCACAAGCACTATTGCTACTACAATTTAAAATGGTAACATGTGCTTGTTTTTTAAATGCTTCAATGCTTATTTTATGGCACATATTTGTATGAACTATTGTTCTTCTATGTCAGGGTTGCCAAATAATATATACATACTAGAAGACCCAGCGAACTTCGTATCGCTCTACGGGGTGACTGGTGAATTACTATCGATACTTGAGGACGTGATATTTGACGATCATATATGACAAAATAAAAATTAATATAACATAAATATTAATAAACTTCCAAGTAAAGTTAACCAAAAGTTATGTAATTAATTACGCATCGTGTGAACACCCTACAGATTAGGTATACGTACACACACACACAGACGCGTGCGGCGGCGTAGTGTTGTATCAGCACGCCGCCGCACGCGTCCACACTTGGAACACTTGGAACGTGTACACACTTTATTTATTTATTTATACGAAAATTTGGTCAAAAATTAAGAACCTATTTTTTTTACATAATTCGAATGAGAATCATGTACCGAGTATGCTCCTTAAATATTGATAGTAATTCACCAGTCACCCTGTATAATTAAGAAATATCTGTTACGTTTTTTATTTATATTTTTGGAGTTACACAAACATATATCTTTATATATACATATAATTCTTCTGTGAGTGTGTATGTCACTGAACTTCTCTCAAACGACGGGACCGATTTTGATGAAATTTTTTGTGCGCGTTCAAAAGGATCTGGGAATGGTTTAGATTCACAATTTTGTCCGCTGGACAATGTTTTTTTGATTAATTTTTAATTTATTAGTAGATGTTGATACAAACGTTTTTTTTGACATTAGATTTGACAACTAACTAATATGTTAATCATTCTGTCGCACTTCAGAACACGGTGATTTATGGCTTTAATAGGTAAACTCCAAAAATATAAATAACAAAATCGTAACAGATATTTCTTGATTATAGGGTGATGTGAAGTTCGCCGGGTCTTCTAGTCTATATATAAAGTACTTCCATGTCTTAATATTAAACGTTCTAAGAAATAACTATCGCTATGATTAACTATGTTAATCCATAAATCATTTAGATTATAAGGAAAACAGATATTTCTACTCGTTATTAAATGCTTCAATGCTTATTTATGGCACATTTGTATGGACTATTGCTCTTCTATGTCAAGGTTGCCAAATAACATATAGGTATTTATGTGTGTATATGTATCCTACTAATATTATCATTGCGAAAGTTTGTGTGTGTATGTTTGTTACTTCTTCACGCTCAAACGGCTGAACAGATTTTGATAAAATTTTGTATACAGGAAGCTGACGTCCAGGAATAACACATAGGCTACTTTACATCCCGGAAATCCGCGGGTAACAACACCGTGGGGCGCAGCTAGTGTATATATATATATATATCTCCCCACCCGTCACTGCTTGGTCCTCCTGGTGGGCTCGGTGGCTGTGGGCGGCGGTGGCGGGCCCTTCTTATCCAATTCCTCGAGGTAGCTCATGATGATAGTCTGCCGCTCCTCGGGAATGTGATCCAGGGCCGTGTATCTGATACATACAACAAGTTATGTTAACTTTGACATTGTACTGTACTGACAATTTACCAGCTATAGCCAGGGTCTGCCTTACATGTTGTGAATAGTTTTGAATAATTGTTTTTACCGGCCGTCTGCTGACATCAACCCTCTTTGGGAATGCACTAATCAGTGATGTCTAAATACTATAAAGTACAAATGACTCGGAAAAATCACATTGGTACTTGCCAGGATCGAACCTGCGCCTTTTAACCACTAGGCTACCACTGACTCCTATAAGAATGTACTATATATAATGAACTAGCCACACATAAAAAAAATGTAAACTCACTTAATGTATTTAAAACAGGACTTGCTGAGTATATTTTAAATAATATATCATCAAAAAACTAAGACAAAAACTTAAATTAGTACTTAATATAGAAAGCGTTATTTTATTTCATTTTAGTTACAAGTGTGATATGAAACTGTATATTCATAAATGTTTTTGTTGTAAGTGTAATTCTCATTTAACTGATCATAGTGTATTAATGGGAATAAATATCTCAAACCACAATGCAAATCCGTGTAACTAGCATTGGATAATTCCACGTATCTACATTGGAAGAAAATTATCAGAAGAAAGTTTGAGCTGAAATATTTTCTATATTAACGACTTTTAAGGTAATTTTTTCACCATTAGTAATTATTTAGTGTTTAATTTATAACTTCTCCATGTGAGAAGAGGCTATGCTCAGCAGTGGGCTCTGATAGGATGATGATGATCCCTACTAATATTATAAATGCGAAAGTAACTCTGTCTGTCTGTCTGTCTGTCTGCTACGCTTTCACGCCTAAACCACTGAACTGATTTTAATGAAATTCGGTACAGAGATAGAGTTGACCTTGAGAAAGAACATAGGATAGTTTTTATCCCAGACTTTTGAAAGGTTCTCTTGGAAACGCGATATAACCGAACTCCACGCGGCGAAGCTGCGGGCGGAAAGCTAGTAGACTATATATCTATGTATTAATCTGTATGTATGCATGTGTTTGTGTGTGTGTGCAAGTACATATAACTATTTTTGATTTATCTGTATATATGTTCTTATATGTATGTATGTATCTATCTGTGTGTATGTATGTCAATACGTGTTGGGTATCTGTGTGTGTGTGTAGTGATTAGTGGCTTAGTGGTTAAAGGCCTCTCATGCATGAGGACGCGAGTTCGATCCTGGCAAGTACCAATGTGATTTCTCTGAGTCATATGTACTTTAGAGTATTTAGACACCACTGACAGATGGTAAAGGAAAACATCGTGAGGAAACCTGGACTTATAATTTCACAATTATAAGTTTGAAAAAACCAGCTCGTCTTGAGCAAGTGTGGTGATTAATGCTCAAAACTTTTCCATGTGAGAAAGAGGCCCTTGCTCAACAGTGGGCTCTGATAGGATGATTATATCTGTGTGTGTATATGTAAGTGTATATATATACCTAGCATCGTGTTTGATAGTATCGTGTAGGGCTGTCAACGCCTGTGGTCCGTCCCTGACAGCGGCCAGAGTTCTGTGTGTGATAGCCCTGGTCTCCAGGAGCAGCTGTCTTAAAGCCGTTTTGGCGTTGCTCTGCTTGTCCCTTTGATAGTCACGGAATTCACGTTCCATCTGGAAGATTATATAATTTATATAATATATATGGCATGTACTTATATTAATATGGTATATTTGGTCAGACAATAAGACTCAAATCAGGTACATAATAGCCCAAAATCCCATAATAATTCTTTTATGAACAAAACATAGATAAATGTGAGTATTAGTGTATATATTTGATATTATGCAGTACAAATTGATAATAATTATAATCTCTATGAGATCTGAGTTTTAAAATATTATACATTTTGTTTAGAGCTGCCTTGTATCATAAACATAAAAATTGTACATGACTTAAATTATTCCACTATTAAAAGACACATAATGTATATAATTAATTAAAAAGTCGAAAGATTATTAATAAAAATATGAAACAAAATAACATACATATTCCAATAGTATAGAATTTGTTGTAGACTTTGGACCTGAGTTGTTATTTATTTTATTTTAAATTTGGGTATTTATGTCTATATTAAGACAGAGCTGCTATCAAAAACTTGTATATATACATCTACTAGAAGACCCGGCGAACTTCGTTTCGCCCTATAATCAAGAAATATCTGTTACGTTTTTTTATTTATATTTTTGGAGTTTACCTATTAAAGCCATAAATCTCCGTGTTTTGAAGTGATTAGGAATGATTAATAGTTAATATGAGAGTTACACTGAGCTAGCAAAATAATAATTGTCAACGTTACTACTACACTTGATGCACAAACAATAACGATGGCCGACAACTGTGTAGGGAGTGAGAGAAGTCTAATTGTGTGAGAGAAACAGAAGACCGGCTTCGTTCTCATCCCTACTCCGTGCTGTTTACTGGGTCAGAAGTGACACCTGTAGATATCTGGCGGGGATAACTTATTAAATGACGATTGATCAGTTATCGACCGGAGATGAAAAATGATTAAATTACTAAAATAGCTATTAAAAAATAAGGGTTGATCGTAGAAGGGTGAAAATTTAGGATTGTATGTATTTTTGTACGTTGTATCATAAAAAAATAGTAATTAAAAATTTTGTCTAATAAATAAAAAAAAAAATTTAGGGGTGGACTACCCCTAACATTTAGGGGGATGAAAAATAGATGTTGGCCGATTCTCATAGCTACCGAATAAGCACAAAAAATTTCATCAAAATCGGTCAGGTTGTTTCGGAGGAGTATGGGCACGAAAACTGTGACACGAGAATTTTATATATTAGATATACATAAAAATGAATTGCTGTTCCTTAGTCTCACTAAAACTCGAGAACAGCTGAACGGATTTATCTTATCATAGTCTTGAAATGTTCGTGGAGGTTCAGGGAAGATTTACAAGTTGAAAAAAAAAAAGTCCGGGAAAACCCTAAAAATTCCCATGCAAACCTTTTCTTTGACAACTAACTTCTTTTAATTTGACAACTAACTAATATATCAATCATTCTGTTCGATTGAAACAGGAAAAACCTAATTATTTCTGGCCTCTAAGACGGAATAGAGTTCGCCCGGTCAGCTATACATATATTACTAATGATGAAACTCGCGGACGAAGTCGCGGGCATATATATATATATATATATATATATATATATATATATATATATATATATATATATATATATGGGTGTGTGTGTGTGTTTGTCAATATACTAAGTCATAAACCGACCTGCGCAGCACTCTTATACGTCGGAGCAGCTGGGTTTTCCTGTAGCTGTGTTTTAACTTCCTTCCACTGCGCCGTAGAGTCAACACCAAGCTCAGTCAGCATCGCCCGCAGCTTGTCGCGCCTCTTGTTGGACACGACGCTGATGTGCTGGCTGAACAATCTCTCCTGGAAGATGACGCCAACGAAACAAGATAGAAAATGTAAACAATATTCATTTGTAGGGATAAACATATAGATTAATGTTTGATATCTATAGATATTTCTAAAGTGTTATCAGTTGATAAGAAAATAAATAATAGTTTAAAAAAATATGGAAATATATGCTTTATATGTAAAACTATCAAATCCCTACTAATATTATAAACGCGAAAGCAACTCTGTCTGTCTGTCTGTTGCAATGTCACGCCTACGCAATTGAACTGATTTTAATGAAATTTGGTACACAGATAGAGTTGACCTTGAGAAAGAACATAGGATAGTTTTTATCCCAGAATTTTTAAAGGTTCTCTTGGAAACGCGATATAACCGAACTCGACGCGGGCGAAGCTGCGGGCGGGAAGCTAGTAGTAAATAATTTTCAATTAAAAAGAAATTATTTTATTTAAGAGTAAAAGGCTCAGTGTACATTTGACTACATTTCATATCTTTCCCCTCATAGATAGTTGCCTTTAGAATGATTTTAACATTCAATATCAAGTAACCCACGCTTTTTACTACTTTATAATATATTCAGATTTATGTTTACGATAAGTTTAAATCGAGATAGTTATTAATTTAAAATTGTTTTTAGTTTAATGTAAATTTAATAATGCAATTGTATTGAATATTATTTAAAAAAGGTCAATTCTGAATTCGTTTCTAAGAAATATACAGGGTGACTGGTGAATTACTATCGATATTTGAGGACGTGATATTTGACGATCATATATGACAAAATAAAAATTAATATAACATAAATATTAATAAACTTCTAAGTAAAGTTAACCAAAAGTTATGTAATTAATTACGCATCGTATGAACACCCTACAGATTAGGTATACACACACACTCACACATACGCGCGCGGCGGCGTGTTGTTGTATCAGCACGCTGCCGCACGCGTCTACACTTGGAACGTGTCTACACTTTATTTATTTATACGGAAATTTGGTCAAAAATTAAGTACCTATTTTTTTACATAATTCGAATGAGAATCATGTACCGAGTATTCTCCTTAAATATTGATAGTAATTCACCAGTCACCCTGTATAGGCAACCAAAACAGATCAAATCACTTTTCACGTATAATTCTACTAATATTATAATTGCGAAAGTTTGTGAGTGTGTGTGTTTGTTACTTCTTCACGCTCAAACGGCTGAACCGATTCTGATAAAATTTTGTATACAGGAAGCTGACGTCCACGAATAACTCATAGGCTACCTTACATCCCGGAAATCCGCAGGTAGCACCGCGGGACGCAGCTAGTATATAATACTAGTTAAATTTATAGTATACATTATATTTTATACCTTATCATCCTTACTGAGTTCTTCAGCCAGACTATATCTATGATCTTTCTTCAGCTGTTTCTTCGCCTCGCGCCACGTCAGGTCCGGGTTCCGTACCAGATCAGCTAGAAGTGCGTTGAAGTGCTGGAACATAGTCAAAATTATGATTACATACTGTTTAAGAGCATATGAAAGTCTCTGCGCCTTAAACACTAAGTACGTGTTACTGGTACATTCTTAAAACATATCGTCAGGTATAGTGCAAATTTTATGGCAACACCATGTCAATATACATAATATATATGCATATTTGGGATAACCAAGTATATAATGATGATTTGTATATAATACACACATCATATAGAAGTTCCAAAGCCTACAATGTCTACACATATTTTAAGTATTTGAAAGAAATGCTTCAATAGCATTTACTTAGTATATATATAATATTGTGCATACAAATCAGATTTAAATATACACTTAAGTATATTAGCAGTAAAAATAGTCTGTAATTATATTATAGGTTATTTTGGTAATGGACAAACTTCATATATATGTATATATAAACCAACAGACTAATAAAGATTTCTATAATATGCACATATGTTACAACGCCATCGAAACAAGATAGATAATGTAAACAATATTAATTTCTCTGTATATATATCTATATCTCTCTCTCACCTGCACCGCCTCGTCCCTCTTGTGGTACTCCCTCTCCTTGTCTCTGTCCCGCAGGCTGGTGGCCAGCGCCCGCTGCACCTGTCTCTCTCTCTCCTTGATCGAGGCCTGCGCACGCGCAGCCCTCTGCTTGGCCGCCTCGCTCTCCTTCGTAGATTCCTCCGTCTCAGAATTCTCTGGCGCGTCCTAGTGTTAATGATTTACTTATCAAAATATGCAGTTTAAATGGAAACTAATATGTAACTGATAATTAATTGTTTTATATACTATATAGAATTTAGTTTCTTGGGTGTGGATATGTGAATGAAGAATATTGTCGAGATTTAGCTATGTAAATGAGAATAAGATTGTCAGAGTTAAGGCTTGATGAATGAAAAACAGCATGGTCAAAGTTTGAGTATATAAATGAAGAACATGAGATGAAATATAGCTATGAGAATGGGAAACATTGTCAGAGATGTGGCTATATGAAAAGAATATGTGGCTATGTGAATAAAAACAGTATTAAATGTGGCTATATGAGCAAATGAACAAATAGTCTAGGTTATGGCTATAAAAAATGTAGAATATAGTACAAAAAATGTGGCTATGTGTAAATTAACATCAAATTAAATAAAACGAAAATAATATATACATATAATAATATAAAAAAATAAAATAAAACATCACCTGCATACAACATTATTTAATACCACAATTATTACACTAACAAAATACTATATACATATGTAACTGTATGTTACGGACCTATTTACAGTCTTATGGCTAACGACGAATTTATGACTACCCTCATATGTCGACGTGATAAAAAACATTAAGAAAAAACCATTTCATTTTAGTACATTGAAATCTATTGATATATTAGGATATTTATAATCTAATTGGCATGGATTTAATGAAAAATGTATTAAAATCCATTGTAAAATCACACATACATACATTTGTATTACTATAATGAGAAATACGATCTTGCGACGCAATGTAACTTAGTTAAAACCAATTTTTCATATAATTTAAACAGAATAATTAATGTCAAAATTTCATATACACTTACAATCGTAGTATTTAGTGAATATTTTTTTTATATAATTTACAATATATATACATTCTTCCGAAACATGATTCCATTTAGAAATAATAAAAAATACGCCGGCGATATTCAACATTGCGTCCTAATTTTAATATTGTGCGACAATTAATACTATATATTTATTAAGAAAAATACATTTACTTCTTCTTTATAATCGGTTAAAAACTATTTTCACGATCAAAACCATCGAACAGCACATGTATATTATATTACAAACACTTCTCGATACATTTAGAGATATAAAATTACAATATTATCCTTCCAATGCTAAATATCGCGGCTTAATTCCACAAAGTTCACTGTTCATCGTATACTTATATTATAACGAAAATATTTCCGTGCGTTTTGAAATATTAGTAGAGAAAAATTATATTAAAATTAATGTAAAAAATTATATATAATATGTCGGATAAAGAAAAAACTCTCACAAAATACATATATTACAAAACGCACGGTTTCAATATGTCTGTGGGGGTTTGGGGGTCGTGTGATGAACGTCCTGTCGTAATATAGTCATTTTTAGGGTTCGAACCCCTTAACCCCACACTATACTGTTTATTTGTCCAAGTTGCACAGTTGTCGCCTGCGCTGTTCTAATGATCAGCGTTTAAAAAACACGTAAAGTAAACACTATTCTTTCTCAGACTTCTTCCGCCGTCTTTTCTCCGTCTTCTCAGTCTTCTCGGTCTTTTCGGTCTTCTTCTTGCCCTTCTTCTCCGGCTCCGGTTCGGGAGATTTGAACTCCTGCTTCCTCTTCTTGGGCGGTGATTTTATTGGTGATTTCTTCTCCTGATTCTGTAGATCTTTCTTCGAGGATCTTAATTGTTTCGGTGATAGCATTTCCTTTTCCGAGGATGGTGATTCAGTTTCGCTGTTTTCTGAATCCTTCTTCTCCTTAATCTTAGCTTCTTTGGCGTTCTTTTCCTTCTGTTCTTCTCCCGGTATCCCCAGGATATCGGCCCACTGGTCCGGCGGTGGCGTCGGCTGCTTTTTTTCGTCCTCAGTAGACTGCTCCAACTGTTTCTGGAGACAATACAGCCGTTAAGAGGTATATGACATAAATGAACCTGCATCGGACATGCTTCTGCGATTCTCGAGATACCGACATTAGTTTTAGCTCTGATTTTAACATTAAAACACATTTAATAATATATTGAACATCAAATGTTAAACGCAGAGCCATCACAGTAAATTTTAAGCGAGTAACGACCTTAATAGCGTAAAATAAGGCTCGTTACTCAATACCATCGCATCGCATACACACAGAGCGTTTAAGGCTATGGCCACATCTAACGTTTGAACCGTGGACCATTACAATCGAGTCTCCAAAATTGCCCTTAGCATTCACACTATATAATAGCTAGATGTGACCAAGACCTACGCCTGTCATAAATCTGCGGGTCCGATGTAGGTTCAAAACCTGTCAATACCTCACGGCTGCTTGTCCGATAATAATATGTATAAAAAAAAACGTCGCTAAATCCACTGAAATAACCGCCATTATATTTTATGCTCGCGTGGGGTACTCATCAACCCCCGCAGATTATGACAGTCGTCTGACAACACACCCCAATCGATGGGGTCAATGACATTATTTGGGGGTCAAAATATACCCCATCCCCACCAGAATAGACCGCGGTATCCGTGACGCAGCATGTCCGAAACAGATTCGCTTTTCAAATACATTTCTTTATATTTGAACATAACTCATTTACATACAATCATCAATGTATAAGAAGAATTAAGTATTATATATGTAGTTTATGTATCTATACAATAGATATAATACACTGTCTCACGTACCCCACTAGAGATGCGGCATACGCTCGGCAGACTCTCGACTAGCGTGCAGCAGAATGGGGACGTGCGTGCGCTCTAGGCGGGGGTAGTAGTGAGACAGTGTTATATCTATTGTATAGATACATACACTACAATATGTAATGTTATTTCTATCTCTTTCACACAGTACGTACGTCAGCAGCCTTCTCTTTCTTCTTCTCCTTCTTCGTCTCCTTCTCGCGGTCCTTTTCCTTCTCCCTCTCTTTGTCTTTCTTGTCCTTCTTATTGCCTCTCTCGCGTTCTGTGCAAACAGAAAATATTACTATAAAGAGCATTACAGTATAGAAAAAAATTATCTCAAAACTGATTCATTTTTATAAAAAACAACTTTATAGTTATCTATATTAATTAAGTTTCATCAATACCAAACTATTGTAGTAAAATGATAGAACAATTATTAGAAAAATGGTCTGTTATACAGTATTATAAAGAGCATTACAGTATAGAAAATAAAATTATCTCAAAACTGCTTAATTTTCATAAAAATCAACTTTATAGTTAAAATAAAATTTTCATCAATAACCAACTAGTAGAATGATAGAACAATAATTACAAAAATTGTCTGTTAAACAGTAATTTCTGTTACAAATCAAATCATTTCTATATATAAACGTCTAATCTCACACTCTTTCTCTCTCCTACGCAACTCACCCTTCTCCTTTCCGTCCTTTTCCTTCTTCTTCTCTTCTTTAACCATCTTACAGTACTCTCTGAAGTAATCCTCTCTCAGCGAACTACTCTCAACAGCTTTATATCTCGTGTCAGTATCAATTTTCTTCTTAACATCGAGCCACCTAGAGTGCCTATCAACACTCTTTTCCTTCAATAGCGCTAAGTACTCCGTTTTCGCCTAAAACGTTAGAATAAAAATCAGTATTTTTTCTATACATGGTGCTTATATTTGGACGTGTTGTGCGATTTTTAGTATAAGACGGTATTTTATCAAAGTTATGCGAACTATTAAAGAAAATAAGCTTTTTTTTATATATGTATGTATTTTTTTACTTCAACGCCAAGCACACCGTCCTATAACAAAATCGTACGACACTCTGTCGCTCTTAAACTAAAAGCTGAAATAAATATTGATTAATAGCTGAAAAGAAGAATGTATCTGAATTAGTTGCTGTGGAACAAAAAATCATTAATTCCTGGAAAAAAAGATGATTATTCCAACGGGAGTGGGGCGTCTGGAATTTTTTTTTTGGAATTGTGAAACCATATATCATAGTATATTATTACATTCTTAGGATATTATTCTTTGACAAAATAGACATTTGTTTCAAAGTACTAGCTCTTAATGAGGTTCTTTGTGTAAAATCATTGTATATTAAGATTTTCTACATCATCTTTGGATTAAGTTGATTTCGGACAATCTATTCAATGAGTTTTGCTGAACCGATTTTCATGAAACTCGAAAATCTGTTTACATAAATATAGATATACGCTTCACCACATTTTTTCACATATAATAACATCCCACTTCCGTTTCCTTACATACTAAACCTGACAAAACATTAATTTTAAGCCTTACAGGTGACGTTAAACACTACAAATGTATTAAATAAGAAAATTATATATTAATTTGATAATGACTTTTAATTTAATATAAAAATAGTTTTATATAGGAAAAAATACATACGGGAATCGAACCCGAAATGATTATCATAAATGATTGTAACACATTTAACATTTGAGCCATGAGCACATATGAAATTTTCTTCGGACACCGGGAATTGAACCCGGGACCTCTTTGAGTTGTTCTTTTAATATGATATTAATATATAGATAAACATTGATCAAAAACGGGAATCGAACCCGTTCTTTAAGTCGTATCACCCGCAAGACTGTAAATTTAATTACATATAATCTTCTATATTTTATATTTATAATATTATCCAAAGCTTTACAATATTTATTCACTTAAATAATTACTATTTACTATATTGAAAAACCGGAAACATGTCGGTAGACAACCGATAAACAAAAAAAAACATCCGTTCAGTAATTTTTAAAATTTATACAAAACATAAAAACAGAAAAAAAATACACCTGAAAAAATAAATGGATTAAACAAAAAATAATATAATATCATCTAAATCCCCGTATATTTTTGTTTATTTACATTACAATGAGCTTTAACCATCACCTTGATGCATTCTTGCATGCATATGCATACATTTTTTTTGGGGGAGTGTACACATGTGAACACACTTCATTTTAATACTGTACTATCATCTTATAAACTATATCTAACCTTGTGTTGGCCGCCCTCCGACGATCTCTTGAAGGTACTTTTTGTACATCAAAAACGTATTTTGTCTAAAAAGCAATTTATTTTTTTTAGATAAATTTTCCTTATTTTTTTTTCGTTCACATACATTATTTCTTTTAACGAGTGTTAAGTTAATCTATACTATTATCAAGTTATATGTATTAATAAATTTCTTCAAGTCGTATGAACCTACATGGTAACTAGGCCTTCGGTAGGCCTTCGCTAGGCCTTCGTTTGGGCCCGGTAGGTCTAGGTATTATTTATTTATGCCGCATCCGTGTCCATTTCCGCCTCATCCGCCCGGTGGCACCTCGTTTCCCTGTTTTCGCTTATTTTATAAAAAAAAAAACAGACACGTTTCAAGAGCATGTGGTTCTGATAACGATATAAATAGTGTCGAAAGTTTTTTGAAAGCGACTTTTTTTTAATTATAATTTTTGTATGAAAATCATAATTTTTTAACCAAAACTAGTAATGAACAATAGGTAGGTCGTTTTCAAAAAAAATCACAACACATTAATATAGAAAAAAAATCAGAATAATCTTCATAGCATTGTCGATTCGATGGAAATTTTTCATATATATATAATTTTTTTAACATATAACATATATGCATATATAACATAGTATATGTTGAAAAATTTACACCGAACCAAAAATTATATAAAGATGAGTTATTTCAAATATAAACAACAAATGATTCAGATATTTTCATAGAATATTTCAGTACAAACATATTTATAATCAAAAGTATGAAAAATATACAATTCGCATAGCGGCATTGGACGGGAATCGAACCCATTACTTATGTAAAACAAACATAAACGTCTCGGGATTCGAACCTGAGACTTTACATATATCCATTATATAATAAATCTCTTTGCTCAAGCTATACATTTACCTATAGTAAAGAAGTTCCAACAAAAAAAAATATTTCAACTTGACATAGATAAAGCACATCTCACAGATAAAAAAAATAAAGAATAAAAATAGAAAAAAAAATGTATATAATATAATTCAAAGCTGATATTGATCATATATTATGTACATAGCATACAAATATAACCGATTGAGATGACCACACACACATATGTACACACACAGGTACATGTAAACACACAGATACACACACACACACACAGTCACACCTCCTCTCCTGCTATCTCTCTCTAACTCACCTGTTCCCTCTTCCTGTCCTTGTCATCCTTCTCCTTCTTGCGGACCTCAGCGATGTACTCGTTGAAGTACGTCTCCCTGTCCCTCATCTTCTCAATGTTCTTGAACCTCTCGTCCCTGCTGTACTTGCTCGAGAACTCGGTGAATGAAGATCTGTATTGATAAACATTAGATATTAGTGCTTGTATATCATTCTTATGTGTAAAGTTTCATCGAAAGGTATGAAATTGCAATAATAATCTGTTCATGTTTACTTATTTTGATATACATATATATAAAATTTCATTGGTACAAGCTTTAGACGGTATAAAACATATTAAACAAAAAATGATCACATTGATGAAGGATTTGAACTCACAACCTTAACTATTAATAATGATCATAAAATCAGTTGAATAAATATAGACTAAACCTCTCATCATTCAATGTATTCACGGTGCGTGTGTCGGGTCCATCGTTGTAGTGAGAGGAGCTTCAACAGTGACTGGGACTTACAACCCAGGTGTAGGTTTAAGGAGCCCCTATCTAACGCGTTAAACGCTCACCACCACTGTACAAGCTCCTCTACCAAACCAAATTTGAAAAGAACCTACTAGGGCTGCCTTTGATGTATGTTCCAAGAATGTATTAATGTGAATTCTGGACAAGCTCAAGTCTTTTAGTAGGTTGTAGAGAGATTTAGCTTTTATAATTCTCGCTCCCAAATCTTCCGCGTACAAATTCACGACGATTTACATCAAAAATATTGAAAATTTCCAAGAAATTGAGAATGTAGCTGACGTACTTTTTTGTTTTGTTGAAATATTTATATAGTACATATATGTTAAACCTACTTGGAGTGCAGCTTAGCTTCATCCATGAGCGCCCTAAAGGCCAGCTTCTTCTGTTGAATTCTGTTCTTCTTTTCTTTCCGTTCCTCCTCCGCTCGCTCCCTCACGTACTTATCGAACACCTGGAAATTACTTTGAGTTTAGTCACATTCAAATAGCTAGACAAGGATTATAATATAAGTTTGATAGACCAGGATTAAAAAGACTAAAAGACATTTCGTCCCTTAGCTAACAACATCGCTCAAGTAGAAAATTCACGATTTTTACATTTTAATGCAATTGGGCGTCGAACCGAAATCGTCTAAATATGTATAAATAATTATGTCTTGACCGATTACTAGTGTATGTATCAAGTTGCAATAGAAAAAAACATAGTTTAAAATAGACAGTATTATCGTCGTCTGTAAAGTTGGTAAAAATGACTTAAGCGTTATTGTAAGCTAAAGGAAGATTTATTGAAATGAAACTTCTTATGCAACTTCCAATAAGGTTGCGATAAATATTTAACCAGCTATTCCTGACCTGACAGGTAATATAGAATTCTCTCCCTGGTTCAACCCAAGCAGTTAACTTTGCTATAGTATTTTTATACAACAAGTGGCTTCCTAACCACAATTATCTCATAGCTCATCTTATCTGGCCATCTCTGTACAACCAGCTATTCCTGACCTGGCAGCTAATATAGTATACTCTCTCTGGACCAACCTAAACCCCTTTCCCAACCTATTTCTGTACTATAAGTGACTAAACCACAATCATCTCATAGCTCATCTTAGGTTGCTGTTTCTATATAACCAGCTATAAATTACCTGTTTCCTCTCCTTCGAGTCCAACAGCAGGTATCTGCTATCAAACACAATCTTGTGCAGTTCCTTCTCCCACGGTGAGAAGGCTGATACGTCGCTCTCGTGCAGCAGCTGTAGGAAGGCCCTCACTCGCTGCTCGAACGGCACCAAAGCCCTCTTTGGCGCAGCCCTAGCCTCGGCCTCCATGGCTGCCTCCTTGCCCATATCGATGACACCGGCTGATACACCGGGCTTCTTCTTGGCTGGAATTTGATATTAACATATTAAGACCCAGTTTCACCAATCAATGTTTGTTTAATCTAAACACAGCATAGCATTTACTAACCAACCTTCAAAATTATAAATGTCTGTTAAAATATTTACGTCCCACGATGACAAATTAACAACGCATTATTAAACGTCACGTCAAATGACCCACTACCAAGTTATTCGTTCTTGTTATAAGACGACCAAGTGGAAACTATAGCGTTAACACGGCACGTTTGCCACGATGCACCACTTTATACTTTGATCGTATATATCCCTCGATACGTCACTTGTTAGACGGAGCTCCAGAGCAGGAATTAATATTAGTGGCTTGTTAAGACATTTAAACGGACATTTGTGCGTGGTGGGACGCTCGATGCATCTAACACAGCAACAAACGCCTTAACACGATGTTACTTATTTAACAATGATTGGTGAAACTGGGTCTAAATCTAAAATCAATGGTGGCCTTGTGTTTAAAGGGCCCGCCTCTCGTTGTCGCGAACGAGGGTTCGATCCTGGCAAGTACCAATGTGATTTTGAAAGTCATATTTACTTTATAAGAGTATTTAGACACCACTGACATATGAACGAAAACATCGTGAGGAATACTGGACTTATAGTTTCACAATTATAGGTTTGAAATCACCAACCCGTCATGAGCAAGTGTGGTGATTTATGCTCAAATCTCCATGAGAGAAAGAGGCCTTTGCTCAACAGTGGGCTCTGATAGGATGATGATGATGGTCATATTAATATTTTTGATAATTAATACATCAGCTGCAATTTTGAGATGTTTATACCGCTGGATTTAGTGTTATAGTTACTATAGTAAGTTAAATATGATGAATTTTTAATGTCATAATGATAGGTGATATAAAAGAAAAGAGATGCTGTTACTGTGGCTACCAAAAATCAAGAGTGGGATTTGAGTTGTTACAATACAATATTAAAGATTTTTTAGAAACTTAATTATAAAATGTATGGAAAGAATCATTCTCGTACCAATATACATGATTAATCCAAAACAACACTTCAGTACCAAAAATGTATATTAAACTATACACAGGCACTTTCTTATATGCCTAAATCATTGTACAAAATTTTTTGATGTAAAAATGTATAAATAATTCAGAGCGTTTCATTTAAGCTGAGCTTTGCATTTGTGTGAGTGTACGCGGATAGTGTAGGTGTGATGTCAAATTTTTGAATACCATGTTCTTTTCTAGATTTTAACCGGTTTATTCTGCTTTTACTCCGCCCCGCACCTTCCTCACTTCATCTTTTGTACTGATAGCAAAATCAAATATTGAATGTCACGAGACGAAGAATTTGTAGTTTTTTCAAAATTTTTATTAATCAATATTTTTTTCCATAATATTCATTCAGTATTTCCATCTGGCTTTTTATAAGTTTTGCTTATTTTATAGTCCTTATGTTATGTATCTATTTAAAATATAATAACATTTAATTCTAAAAGTTTGTTGTCTAACTCTACTTTTACTTTCACTCACACAAATGCAAAGCTCAGCTTAAGTCTGACGGACTATAGGCAGTCTGCTCGGTTGCCCCTTTACAATAAATAATTAAATATATAACTCACTTTCTTCAGACTTTGCTTTCTTGGCGGGTTCAGTCTCAGAGTCTGATGAATCAGAAGCACCTCTCTTCAGTTCACCGTTGGCGTTCTTCGCTGGCGTCGTGGTAGTTGCAGCTGGTGCATCCTTACGTTGCTGGGAAGATATAATATAAATATTATAAAAATATATACAGGGTGACTGGTGAATTACTATCGATATTTGAGGACGTGATATTTGACGATCTTATATGACAAAATAAAAATTAATATAACATAAATATTAATAAACTTCTAAGTAAAGTTAACCAAAAGTTATGTAATTAATTACGCATCGTGTGAACACCCTACAGATTAAGTATACACACACACTCACACATACGCGTGTCGTGACGTAGTGTTGTATCAGCACGCCGCCGCACGCGTCCACACTTGAACACTTGGAACGTGTCAACACTTTATTTATTCATACGGAAATTTTGTCAAAAATTAAGTGCCCATTTTTTTTACATAATTCGAATGAGAATCATGTACCAAGTATTCTCCTTAAATATTGATAGTAATTCACCAGTCACCCTGTATATCCTACTAATGTTATAATTGCGAAAGTTTGTGAGTGTGTGTGTATGTTTGTTACTTCTTCACGCTCAAACGGCTGAACCGATTTTAATAAAATTTTGTATACAGGAAGCTGACGTCCAGGAATAACACATAGGGTACTTTACATCCCGGAAATCCGCGGGGCGCAGCTAGTATGTATATATGTATATAGTGCACGCTATATAAGCTTGCAAAGTCGCCTTATACTTTTTCACAGTTCTAATTATAATGGTAGCCATTCATACCTGATCCCGCTGGTGTGGCGGATGTGACACAGCTTGATCCACATCCGCTCTCCCCGCCAACTGCGCCGGGCGTTCCCACACTGACAGACGCGCCGTCGGATTGTAGAAGAACACTCTACCGTCACCCGTCCATACAACGCACCTTAAGAAAATATTTAATGAATTAAATAATTAAATAAATAATATCACTTTCTGCGACGCGACGTATAGTCCGTTAGACTTAAGCTGAGCTTTGCATTTGTGTGAGTGAAAGTAAAAGTAGAGTTAGACAAAAAACTTTTAGAATTCAATTGTATTATACAGCTGCGTGCAAAAGTATTAGGCACCCCATATTGTTAGTCACTATCTCATTATATAGCGGTCAAGTGTGTGTTTTATGGTTTAGCTATTGTATTAGCGGCAATTTTTAACCAAATTAAGATAAAAGAAAATATTTATGACATCCAGGTGTGCTCCTAAGCGGTGTTTCTTCGAATTTGCTTTTTTTGCGTTTCAGGTTATAGTGTGTTATCAGTGCTTGCAGTGAACATACACGTCTTCTACGCAACTATTCCTATCACAATTCTAAAGACTAACATTTAACGTGTTAGTCATGCCGAAAAAATCTGAACTTAGTGCTGAACAGCGTCTAAGAATTAAGATTTTACATGAACAAGGAATGTCTCAGGTTAAAATAGCCCGAGAAGTGAAGTGCTCGCGATGTGCAGTTCAATATGCTATAAATCGCTTCAAAGAGACTGGCACCCATGAAAATAGACCAAGAACAGGCAGAAGAAAAGTTACTACTGAACGGGAAGATCGATTTTTGATTAGGCAGTCTCTACAAAACAGGAAAAAAACTGCTTTAGAGCTCGCTGCAGCATTATCTGAGGCAAAAGGCAGCTCAGTGAGTGTTTATACTGTGAGAAGAAGACTTCTTAAAGCTGGATTAAAAGGATGTAAAGCAAGGAAGAAGCCGTGGCTGTCAGAACACAATAAGAAAAATCGGTTGGAGTGGGCACTCAAACATAGAGATTGGTCAGTGGAAAATTGGTCCAACATACTGTGGTCAGACGAATCTAACTTTGAGGTATTGTTATTTATTTTATGTACAATATTAAAACACAAAAATGTTTTTAAAATAACGTACTGCAAGAAAAATAATAACTTTGAAAATAAATGTGTTTTTTTCGTTTGGCATAGGTGTTTGGAACACCCGGTGTGACTTATGTTAGGCGAAGGGTTGGCGAAGAATACACCCCAGAATGTGTGGTTCCCACTGTTAAGCATGGTGGAGGCTCAATATTGATCTGGGGCTGCATGGCTGCCGACGGAGTGGGCGAAATGGTGTTGTGTGAGGGACGAATGAATAGTGTTAAATACACTGAAGTTCTGGAAACAGCACTAGCAACGTCGATAACGCAAATTTTCGGTGATACAAACACCGATGGCCTGAAATTTCAGCAAGACAACGCCACTTGCCACAAGTCCGCGCATACCATGAAGTGAATTTGCTGAAAATCATATTGATCTTTTGGACTGGCCACCACCATCACCAGACCTCAACCCGATTGAGCATATTTGGTCCATTTTAAAGAAAAATATTCGCAGGCATTCGATTAGCAATAAACAAGCTCTATTGGCCGCGTTACAGCAGGAATGGAAAAATATATCAAGAGAAGAATGTTTCAGGCTGGTAGAGTCAATGCCAAAAAGAGTGGCTGCGGTTATTAAGTCAAAAGGTGGACCTACAAAATATTAATTATTTTCTTAAAATAAACCATTGTAATCATAAATGCAGTTTTATTTACACTCGCTATGCTAAAACACCCTAAAACTTGTCTTACTGTAGGGTGCCTAATACTTTTGCCCGTGGCTGTATTTTAAATAGATACATAAGTTCTATAAAATACGCAAAACTTGTAAAAGGCCACATGGAAATAATATGAATAATATGAAAAAAAAAATATTGATTAATAAAAATTTTAAAAAAACTTTACAAATTCTTATTCACTTGACATTGCGTTTTCATTATTTCATTTTGCTACCGGTACAAAAAGTGAAGTGAGGAAGGTGTGGGACGAAGTAAAAGCAGAATAAACCGGTTCAAAACTAGAAAAGAACGTGGCATTCAATAATTTGACATCACACCTACACTATCCGTGTGCACTCACACAAATGCACAGCTCAGCTTAAATCAAACGAACTATACATAGTTATTGGCGGCCACAGAATATCAGCGTTGAAACTCATTACTACGATGATTTTCAACATATATGCTGAGTTTTGTGCATCACAAATTGTTTTGTTTAATTTTCATCTTTATTTGTTTGTATTCTCTATATTCATATGTTTCTTTTATATATATGCGTTCTTATATTGTTTGCATAAGATGTGTGTCCAAATAAAGATTTTTTGATTTTGATTTGATAATGAGATCTAAGAATTTCCCGAGTTTTATTCATTTAAATGAAACTAATATTTATATATCACTAGTAAATAAGACAGACATTCACATCTCTTCTTAATGATTACGGTTTCTGAAAAGTAACCGGAACGTCGGGAGTATGTAGTTTATATCAAAAGTAAAATCGCGTTGTATATCCGAAAGATATTAGTTTCATTTAAAAGAAAATATTTGTTCAACAATTCTTCTTGGAGAAGAATCTTTAGCACAATGTGTAAAAGAAGTACTTAAGAAGAATATCTTTAAGCGATAATTTTAATAACATATCTAATATATAAAATTTCCATGTCACAATGTTAGTTACTCTCACCTGAAACAGCTTTACCGATTTTTACTAAATTTTATATTTGTATTCATTAGGTCTAAGAATCGGTTACTAACTATTATTATACCCCTAAGTGATAAGGTTGTTTACCCTTAATTTTATTCGTGGACGATTTTTTTGTTTTTATTAGTTTAAAATGTGGCATTAAAAATACATACAACCCTAAAATTTTTACTTTTTTATCAGCAACCAATATTTTTTTATATGGCATAACGTTTACCGGGTCAGCTAGTATATATAAACAGGGTGACTGGTGAATTACTTACTATCAATATTTAAGGAGAATACTCGGTACATGATTCTCATTCGAATTATGTAAAAAAAATAGGTACTTAATTTTTGACAAAATTTCTGTATAAATAAATAAAGTGTTGACACGTTCCAAGTGTTCCAAGTGTGGACGCTTGCGGCGGCGTGCTGATACAAAACCACGCCCCCGCCGCGTATGTGTGAGTGCGTGTGTATACCTAATCTGTAGGGTGTTCATACGATGCGTAATTAATTACATAACTTTTGGTTAACTTTACTTAGAAGTTTATTAATATTTATGTTATATTAATTTTTATTTTGTCATATATGATCGTCAACTACCACGTCCTCAAATATCGATAGTAATTCACCAGTCACCCTGTATAATGTTTTAACTCACCAAGGTGTCCCAGATATAGGAGTGCTCGACACCGGCCTACTCTTATCCGTCTTAGCCTTCTCCTTCTCCTGTTTCTCCTTCTCTAATCTCTCCTTCTCCAATCTCTCCTTCTCTATTCTCTCTCTCTCCAGCCGTTCTCTCTCTAATCTCTCCCTCTCAGCAGCCTCCGCAGCCGCCGCGGCCTCAGCGTGAGCTTCTACATCTATAACTGTGTATATTATATATTATATAACATCATACACATATAAGCATGTATGTATGTATGTGCGAGTGTGAAGGTGAGTTATGTAAAAATTATGAGAATAAAATTTTTAAACTACATGAAACCTATTTAAATAGATGTACATACATATAAAATAGCCATTTTTATTATTATTCCATACTTTAACTGTTAACACAACAAGAAATATTACATATCCTTGTAGCAGTTGATCATTAATCCAATGTTAAACACAGCATACCTTCTATTTTACCGTCGTCAATAATCCTCCTGTCTTTCTTAATGTCAATCTTTTCACCTTTCTCTTTGGCTATTTTGTTTTGTAATTCTGTAACAGTATAAAAAATATATAAAATTGGTGTACATATAGATATCTATAGATACATAGATAGACTATTAAAATGTATTTGAATATATATTTATCAATAATCTATTGATAACTGTAATAATCATTTAAAATATTTCAACTTAAAACCTTCACCACTCCATCTCTGTGATTTCAATCAATCTTCTTTTATCTTTGGGTACACAGTACTTGTATATGTTAAGTATTTAGTTATGATGTCATGTGTAATGTAGGTAGATTACTTTATATTATTAGTTGCTGTCATTCAGTTTGCTACTTAGCCAATACATACATAACAAATTTAATATAGTTTTATTGAATACTACACCCTTTTATTTTTTTTATCTTTGGAATCAAACTATTCGTCTATTAATCAACTTAAAACATTCACCATTCATTCTCTATGATTTCAATCATCTTTTTTTATGTTTAAAATCCACCTATTTGTCTATTATCTTATCTTTGGGTGCGCACTATATATATATTACCTTCAAACTCCTTGAGTGGCTGCGGTTTCTCCCACACACTCTGCCGAGTGCCAGCGTGGTAGTAGTAGGGCCTGCCGTCCGGAGCCCTGTGTGTGGTCCACTCGCCGGCACGGAGAGACAGCTCCGGAGGTATCACCTGGAATGTATTGTGTTTGTTGTAAATTAAAACTTATAATTGTATATAGTAGGGAATAGGGCAAAGCCGAGTGATCAGCATTGTATAAGTAGCTTGATGATTTTTAAGGTAATTTCTTCAAAATTATGGTTTAAATTATATATATTTACTAATATACTAGTTTTCCCGCGACTTCGTCTGCGTTTGTGTTAGAAAACTTATTATTGAAACTTCATTATGTATGAATCTTATTTCGAAATGTATAGCTGACCGGGGGAAAGTCTATTCCTCCTTAAACAGAGTAGGTAAGAAAATTGTTAGGATTTAAACAACTTATTTTTTTCTCTCTTTCAATAGGATAAGTATCCTATGTCCTTTCTATGTTCTAATCTATCTCTCCACCAATCTTCATCAACCCGTACAGTCGTTAGAGTTATAAATAATGTAACTAACACGACTTTCTTTTATATCTATATAAATGTTACCGTTTCCTCTTTCTTGGGCGTCATTGTGCTATCTGGTTGTGCGTCATTTCCCATCACCGCGACGATGGGTTGTGTTTGAGTCGCTGCACCTGCAACAAACATAATAATAAATAACAAACATAAATATAAATAAATCTTGAATGAAAAATTCTTCATCACAAGATAGAATTTAACCTGCAACCTCTTGATCACAATGTTTCATATGTGTTTGAGTTTAAACATAATTATATACATAGGTTTTCGCTGCAAAAATATAAGCCAAGCATATATATGCATGAAGCTGCCATTTAACCACTAGGCCGTCAAAACCATGAGGGCTCGGGTTCGACACCTGGCATGTACTAAAGTGATACTTTCTAGGAGTATTTAGTCACCACTGACAAATTTTGAAGGATACTGGACTTATAATTTCACAATTATAAGTTTAAAATCGCCAACCCGACTTGAGCAAGCGTGGTGATTAATGCTCAAACCTACTTCATGTGAGAAGAGGCCTTACAGCAGTGGGGTCTGATAGACTGATAATGATGATGAAGCATATATCGATGGTCCCTAAGTAAAATATTGAATCTTCAAAATGACGATTTTTTTTTATTGTTGTTTTCGACTCATAATTAACACATCTTTGCAATGACTTTTTCAGAAATATTATAAATACATTGCTTATACCCTTTACCGAAACGTATAAAATCGAAAATATATAGTTTACGCGGCGTATAATATCGAAAGATAACTTTCGCGCGTTTACGCGGCTTTGACGAGTGTGTAACAAGGACGGAACTGCCACTTTCGCGAGTGTAAGCGGGAATGTGGATGCGCTCAATGTTTTGATAGTCTACCGGTCGTACAATAGGTTCTATTTGTGTTAATTTTGTTAATTTAAACTTAAATCCTCCTGTGATGAATCGGTTACCCTTAAAAATGTATTCAAGATCAAGAAGAATTGTGGAATTAGTGACAGAGAGAACAGAATAAGTTATTTTTAAAGCCGGTAAATCTTAAAATATATGTGGTACTCTTATCTTTTGTAACATGTAACTGTAACGTAAATAAATGGTGTATATAGAATATATTATAATTATATTTTTTCTTCTTTGAGACTAAATTAATAAGCGTATCTCTAGTTTTGCTTATATTGAGCGGGTCTCCGAAGTAAGGTATCGAATCCGGTAGATTCGATTATTTATGACGGGTGACTTATATGAAAGAGGATTGAATGTGCCATTTTCAATAATTTACTTGGTAATGTCATTTAGCTTTTTAACAAATCATAATTGAAAGTGGTAATTTCGATAGTTAAAGATGGATCTTTGAATATCTTTTGAAAAGATTCGATGAAAATATGTTAACAAAAATGTAATAATCTAAATTTATTTATTTATTATTATTATTTATTTTATTTATGCGAAAGGGGCCAACTGAGCAGACGGCCTACCCGATGGAGTTAGTACCGTCGCCCATAGACATCCGCTACAAAGTTTGTGCATGTGTTACCAGCCCTGATTAGGGAAGAGGGGAAGGAAAATGTGGGAAAGGGAGGAAAAAAGGAAGAGGTAGGAAAGGGTAGGGGGAAAGGGCAACCGGCTCTCTCACTCATCAGACGAAACGCAGCCGAATAAGGCTACTTCACGCCGATCTTCTGTGAGAGGATGGTACTTCCCCGGTTGAGCCAGCCCATTTTCGAGCTGCAGTGACATGACCACAGCTAGGCTCTACCACCTACCTATTACTATGATAGGAAAGAATTTCACCCAATGTTACATTAATTATGAATTTAAACTTATTTATTTAAAACAATTTTAGAATCACCACTACCTACAAACTGCACCTTTAACGATTCTGATTGGAATATTTTAGAAAAATTAGTTGATGATGAACTATGTATCTTCGGTCAGGAATCTAGCTCAGGAAGAGATGCATAGTTTTTACATTCCTTCAGTAAGAGTATGTAATACAAAGAGGTTTTTATTGAAGATAGTGATACCAGTTCTATCATCATGTATAGTAGAGAAACAACTCCAATACCTACTACTAATTTAGACTTTAGTTCACTTATACAACCCTCGGATTTGAAAGTTACCGTTATAAATTCTAATAATCAAAATAAAGCACAAGAAACTGAGCTTTCTGAAAAGTTAGGTGGAGGAGCTCTCGAATAGGTATCTGGATCATCTTTACCAAGTGTTAACTCATGTATAACCTTATCAGAATGTGACTCTCCAAGTATATCCAAGTAAATCATCTATTAAAACTAACCCCGGTAAAAAAAAGATTAAAGTGTCAAGAAAATTGGATCGATAATAAAAGAAAAAGCTTACTAAATTCAGGTCAGTAATATGTATCTCGAGGTGGAAAAATTAAAAATAAAAAAGAATTGCGCCCCGCTTGTTCAACTTCATGTAAATTAAAATGTTTTGACAATTTTGCTACAGATATTCGCCAAAACATTCATAGTAATTGTTGGCAACTTGCTGATCATACGAAGCATTGGGAGTTTATAAATAAGTTTACTGAGAAAATTTAAAAAAAACGAATGCAACGGAGGGACCATCAAGAAGACAATTTACAACTAAGTATTTTTTACTAGCACCGAAAGATAACACATTTAAACCAGAACAAGTTTGTATGAAGATGTTTTTAAATACATTTTCTATCACTGACCAATTTGTTCGTACAGCACATAGTAAACTAAATCAAGAAGGGATTGCCTTAACAGATAATAGGGGTAAAGATGCTAACCATCCAACTGTTGTAGACTCTGAAATGATTTAAAGTGTCTGTGATCATGTGGTGTCTTTCCAACCTATAGAATCTCATTACACACGGAAAGATAGCAGTAAACTTTATTTAGATAGCAATCTTAATATAGGTAGAATGTTTGTGTTATATAAAATAGGTATAAAAGAGGTTCGCGTTTATTTTTTCGTGGATTGTTTTTAATAATAAAGGCCCCTATTTTAAGTTTACTTTTACTATAAGAAGAGATTTTTGCGTTGTATTTTATTTTATAATTTAAACGTGTGATTGTTATTGTGATCTCATTATAAGAATCCATTTAAAAGAATATTATTTTAAAAGATTAAGTAAGACGGATTCTTATTACCAGGAGCCACGTTTAGGTTATGGATTCATTTATGTTTCATCTGTAATAAGACTTCCTACTATATGTACCTTAATAAAGATGTTTTGAGTTAATGATTTTATCATTATTTCATTAAAAAATATCCTAACTACAAATATTTAACTCGGTATAATAAAACTACAAATATTTATCATTGAATTGGGTAGTTTCGACAAAATATTTTACGTAAACCAATGGTAAAGTATCGAAATAGGCAGATACAATGATTATATTTGTACACGGTTCCATGTAAATAATCGTAAGTGGTAGTTTCGATTTATGGCGGTTGTCTACTTACTAAGTATACTATGGAAACTAACTTTTCTGGAAAACTGTCTAAAATTATTTTTTAATCTCGGTACGTGATGGTGGGTAAATCCAACATAAATGTAATGTCTAAGTTTTATCAACCTGTAAGTATAGATGACAAAATTATACAAAAAATTAACTTTAAACAGCTCTCCTGTAAAGTTCCTCATTTCACTTTCGATACTATACTTAGGGACCATCGATATATATATATTTGTATGTAGTAATGTTACATTCCATACCAGTGTCAGGTACCGCTGCTGAGGCGGCGGCGAGGCCCGGGGGCTGCGCCACTAGCGGTGGGGCCCAGCCCCATCCCCAAGGCCCACCGGCACCCGGCGTTGGGCCTAGAGGGCCGGTGCCTAAGAGAATTATTAGTATTTATTAGTGATATTACCATAAAACCTTAAATGAAGACTACTTTATAATCCACACTAGTATTATAAATGCGAAAGTAACTCTGTCTGTCTATCTATCTGTTACGCTTTCACGCCTAAACCACTGAACTGATTTTAATGAAATTTGGTACAGAGATGGAGTAGGCCTTAAGAAAGAACATAGGATAGTTTTTATCTAGTATAGTATAATATGTATTTGTGTGTTTTGTATTTCTTTTTTATTCCAATGATGAAATACCATTCTTTAAAGTTATATGTACATTGATTTGAGGTAATTAATTTTAACTAAATACATATAAATATAAAATTTAAGTTATTAACAGAATATCTTAAATCAGAGTGAAAAGCGTGGAGTGCATTTGATTACATTTCATATTTTACTTCTTAAATAATACTACTTTTAGATAATTGCTTTGTAAATTGCTGTATAAAAAGTCAGTTCTGATCTTGTTTCTAATATGTACATATAATTCTACTAATATTATAATTGCGAAAGTTTGTGAGTAAGTGTATGTTTGTTACTTCTTCACGCTCAAACGGATGAACCGATTTATATAAAATTTTGTATACAGGAAGCTGACGTCCAGGAATAACACAAAGGCTACTTTATATCCCGGAAATCCGCGTGGCGCAGCTAGTATGTGTATATATATATATTCATATATATATTACCTGGTGGTTGCGTGGCCTGTGAAGGCGCCTCTCCCGGGGGCGCTTCATCATCAGGAGAGCTGTCCTGCTTGTCAAGCTTCGACTGCATCTGGTTATCTGAAATAAACAATTATTTTAGTTGACAGTATGAAAAATATTTGTAAAATATAAATGAAAAGATATTGCTATGAAACCTATTAATTTTTAAGATAAATTATTATTATACTAGAAGACCTGGCGAACTTCGTATCGCCCTATAATCAAGAAATATCTATTACGTTTTTTATTTATATTTTTGAAGTTTACCTGTAAGCCATAAATCTCCGTGTTTTGAAGTGCTACAGAATGATTGACATATTAGTTAGTTGTCAAATCTAATGTCAAAAAAAACGTTTGTATGGGAAATAGAAAAGGGCTGTTTTTATGGTTTTCCCAGTAATGAATCAATTTTTTTCAGCTTTTATACCTTCCCTGAACCTCCACGAACATTTCAAGACTAAGATAAGATAAATCCGTTCAGCTGTTCTCGAGTTTTAGCGAGACTAAGGAACAGCAATCCATTTTTATATATATATAGAAGATAGAAGATAGGATAAAAGATTTAGTTTAATCTCTGAGACGGTTACAGTTGTACCAAAAAGATATAATTCAAAGAAATTTAACAAAAATCACTTTAATTCAAAGTTTTTTTTTTCTTTAATCTTCTTAATTGAATATATGTACAACTTTATGTATGTATGTTAGTTCCGGTGTCATATCGAAACTAAATTAAGAAAGGTAGGTAGAAAGACCTAGTTTTTATGGCATTCAAAAATCATAAGTTACACACTTTTTAAAATATAAGGGCTTATACAGGGTGACTGGTGAATTACTATCGATATTTGAGGACGTGATATTTGACGATCATATATGACAAAATAAAAATTAATATAACATAAATATTAATAAACTTCTAAGTAAAATGAACCAAAAGTGATGTAATTAATTACGCATCGTGTGAACACCCTACAGATTAGGTATACACACACACTCACACATACGCATGTCGTGACGTGGTGTTGTATCAACACGTCGCCGCACGCGTCCACACTTGAACACTTGGAACGTGTCAACACTTTACTTATTTATACGGAAACTAGCTTTCCGCCCGCAGCTTCGCCGCGTGGAGTTCGGTTATATCGCGTTTCCAAGAGAACCTTTCAAAAGTCTGGGATAAAAACTATCCTATGTTCTTTCTCAAGGTCAACTCTATCTCTGTACCGAATTTCATTAAAATCAGTTCAGTGGTTTAGGCGTGAAAGCGTAGCAGACAGACAGACAGACAGACAGACAGAGTTACTTTCGCATTTATAATATTAGTAGGGATTTTGTCAAAAATTAAGTGCCTATTTTTTTTACATAATTCGAATGAGAATCATTTACCGAGTATGCTCCTTAAATATTGATAGTAATTCACCAGTCACCCTGTATAATGAATATTATTAAAAATATATTTATATTTAAAAAACTAGTAGGTTTAAAAAAAATTATCAATCTTAAATGTACATGTATGTCATAGTTGCTATTCAAAGTTTTAAAAGCATCAGTTGTATGTACAAGATACATTGAAATCAAACTTAAGACGCCCCTACTGTAATATTGTAATTCTGCACAATGACCCTTATACATAGGAGCCATCGAAATATTCAATCTTTATATATATAATTCTGTGAGTATGTATGTCACTGAACTTCTCTCAAACAACCAGACCGATTTTGATGAAATATTAAGTATGTGTTCAAGGGGATCCGGGAATGGTTTAGATTCACAATTTTATACGCTGGACAATGTTTTTTTAATTAATTTTTAATTTATTAGTAGTTGTTGATACAAACGTTTTTTTTGACATTAGATTTGACAACTAACTAATATGTTAATCATTCTGTCGCACTTCAGAACACGGAGATTTATGGCTTTAATAGGTAAACTTCAAAAATATAAATAAAAAAACGTAACAGATATTTCTTGATTATAGGACGATACGAAGTTCGCCGGGTCTTCTAGTATATATATATAAATCCCACTCACTATCTTTAACCCACGGCGGTGGTTGGTTCATGAAAGGCGGGACAGAGCCCGGTGTTGGCCCGTGGCCGACTCCTGGAGGCATCATGCCCATCATGCCCATGGGGCCGTTCATGGGCGCGCCCATTGGACCGCCCATGCCACCCATGGGACCGTTCATGGGCATCGACTGGTTCATGCCGGGATATTGGCCTGGAAATGGTGAATGAGTTACGTTTAAGTGAATTCTTCAGGTATAAGTATAATATTATCAGTTTTCATAGTAGGTATAAATTTTCTTATAATTAAAACTCAATCCTATATGTGGTTCAATTTGATTTCAAGCAAGCTGTTAAATATCTTTCAGGTTTTATGAATCTCTTAAAGATAATAATGTAATTAATTATTGTTTTATTAGATTTATGTAATAACTATACCAAACATGACTTAAAACTTATCAAAATCCCAACATAAAAATCAATTGTTGAGATTTCAAAATATATTCTATATGTAATTTCATAATAAATAAGGCTCCTTTTGATTGACATTATAGAAAAAAATGTGTTTTTTGAAAAATAATATTGCAACAAAACTGTATCTAACTAAAATGTTGTTTGTATATTATATTGGTGCTTGTGAGACACAAGTCGTCATAGACCATAAAATCCTTACATCATTATGGCTAAACTGATATTCTTATACTGCTGAAACAATATTAACCAAACCTATACCAGTACAAGGAAACTGACTAAGAAATAGAAAAAATACATCAAAATGGTTACATCCAGTAAGAGATATGAAGCCACGGACATACAGACATTTATTTATTGATTTATTTATATTATTAAACAGTGAAGAAAACTGATATTTTTGTATTTATTACATTTCCTAATGTAAATATTTATTCAACATCAATTTTTTTCGGTTGTAAATTGCTTTTTGATAAAACAATTATTACTATATATATAATTAAGTTATTCACAGAAAATTTTGAATTTTGAAACAATCGTCTTTCACTTCAAATTATGATTTTAGTATAAAAAAAAAGACTTAAAGAAATATTACATTTCTAAATACATATACTATAAAAAATGTCATTAAAATTATTATTTTATCACATTGTAACACGCTATATTTGTAATTGGAAAAAAAAAATTGTATTGTATTATAAGAAATCATGAAAATACTAAATTGAAAATTAAGCCTGTGTTATAAATATGTTTATTATAGATAAAGTTAATATGTGGGTAATAAGATGCTATTTTAAGATTTTCTTGATTGTGAGTTAACTGTTTTCGTTAAATTATTAATATATATATATGTGTGTGTATATATGTAATTTTTCCTAATTCCCTCTGAATTCATATATATATGTATATATTATAGACCGCCTTAATGGTTAACTCTTTATATATATATATATATGTTATCATCTTACCAGCTGCCGTCATAACATCCACTTCAGCCTGCGTGATCACCTTACACGTAGGGCTCTCCTGAGGTCTGGTCCAAGTTGTCTCTCTAGTCCTAGCGTGGTAGTAATACGACTTGCCTTCATCTGATTTCGTCTCAACCCATAGCTCCGGAGCGGGCTGGGAAGAACAAATGATATTAATACACTACAAATATATACTTAATGTTAATACTAGTTTTTGTCGATGGTTGCCTAGTGGTTAAAGGTCCGCCCCTTTTACATGAGGCAGCGGGTTCGAACCTAGTGCTCTGGCAAGTAGCAATGTGATAATTAGTTATTGTTAATACTACTTTTTGACTTGTCAGTGATGGCCTAGTGATTAAAAGGCCTTCCTCTCATGCATGAGGGCGCGGATTCGATCCTGGCAAGTACCAATGTGATTTTTCCAAGTCATATGTACTGTATAAGAGTATTTAGACATCACTGATGAATGCATTCCCAAAGAGGGTTGATGTCAGGCAGACAACCAGTCGTGGAAACAATTAGCCAAAACTATTCCCAACATGTAAGACAGACCCTGGCTAAAGCTGGGAAATTGCCAGGTAGATGAAGAAATATTAACCTAGACCAGAAATAATTATGTTTATTTATATAATACTAGTTTTTTATTGTGACTTTGTTCATTTAGAATTAAGCTCATTAAAATATTAACCGATTATTTGTGATACTCATAATGTGTCGGTAGACTTGTTACAACATTGTCATATTGTACAAATTATACTGAGTTTAGGAATAAATTACAGACTAAATCTCGTCCTGATGTCTTAACTATATTATTTTTAAGTTTCATCAATATTAGTTTAGTTTATTTTGTGTGAAAAATCTACAAATGTTGATAAGAACATATTATAAACTTTAGCATTTATATTATTGGTGGGGTGTAAACATATTAAAGCACTTCCTAAAATCTATTTATATGTCTTTATGCACAATATCCAGGAATAAAAAGATTTCTACACAAATCCAGAATGACTGGTCGGCTATTTAAAGCATTTCAATATATCTCATAGAATAATAAACTTAATTCTTCATCTTCTACCTGGCAATTTCCCAGCTATAGCCAGGGTCTACCTTTCATGTTGTGAATAGTTTTGATCAATTGTTTTGACGACTGACCGTCTGTCTGACATTAACCCTCTTTGGGAATAATAAACTTAATAATGTATTTAAAATTGATATGAAAAGTAAAAATCATTATTTAATAATGTACATACAAACTTGTGTTCATACAAGAAAGTTCCATTTGATTCGAGTTAAAATTTTATGACAAGTTCTTTATAATAATGCCAAGGTTAATGTTAATATGATAATATTGAATGCAACTTACATTTCTATGCAATAATCTTTTGTCATATCATACATTTCAGCCTATTGTTTTCCAGTTACATATTTTAGTGTTTAGTGGCTTTAAGTCTCGACTAATTTGTACAGCTCTGATACTAATGTTTAAGTTTAGTTTAGATACTTTAGCCGATTCTCCTCAAAAATGTATATTTTTTATGTTATCTGGCCTAAGTGTCCCATGATTTGTATAATACCGGTTATAATATACTAGCTCTCCGCCCGCAGCTTCGCCCGCGTGGAGTTCGGTTATATCGCGTTTCCAAGAGGACCTTTCAAAAGTCTGGGATAAAAACTATCCTATGTTCTTTCTCAAGGTCAACTCTATCTCTGTACCAAATTTCATTAAAATCAGTTCAGTGGTTTAGGCGTGACAACGTATCAGACAGACAGAGTTACTTTTGCATTTATAATATTAGTAGTGATTTAAGTATAAATAATATATTAATAATTAGTTACCATATTAGGTGGTGGCATTCCTGGGGGTCCGAAGGGAGGCGGCTGTCCCATCATATTTGGTGGGGGGCCCATCGGACCACCTGGGGGCATCATACCAGGAGGAGGCCCGTAGGGAGGGGGCCCTCCCATCATACCAGGCGGCGGGGGGCCCATAGGACCCCAGTTATTCTCATAATTAGGTCCATTATTAGGGCCATATCCTCTAGGCCCGCCGCGCCCACGGAAGAATCCTCGTCCTCTCATAGGAGGTCCGCCGGGCCCGTAGCCGCGGCCCCTGAAGCGCATCGGCGGAGGCCCATTCATCCAACCAGGTGGGGGACCTCGTCCACGACCCCTATTTGAACATGAAATGCAATTTATCCATACATAACATCTTTTAAGATATTTTTAAGGCATCAAAACACACTTATTATGATAATTTCAACTTATAATGATGATTTACACTAATAGTTTAGGAATATACAACAAAAAATTATAGTCGGCATATACCACTAAATAGTTAAATCAAAATAAGTACCTACCTCATACATGGTTTCCTTAAATATAAGAATATGTAATAACATACAATTTATATTTACATACATATATATATTAAACATGCTATATATATAATTCCAAATAATGACACAATTTAAGCACATGCATGAAAGATTCATACAAATTATAATTTTACAATAAATAGGAAAAAATTCTAAAATATATATAATAATAAAAATTTTGCATATAATTGGTACTTTAATCAACAAACAAATAATAATTAGATCAATCTTAAAATTATATTAAGATTAATATTTCAATGTTCGGTTACCGAGTTATAGATGCACTTCTTGTATTCTTGCAATTTTATTTAGTAATGAAACATACTTGTAATGTCTATACTTAAATTTCAACACATATACCTATTTAATGCTTTTTTTTACATTACTTTGCCAAAAATGTTGATTATAGGTTAGTATTGTGTGTTATGCATAGCCATAGTAAATATTGAGATACGGCAGCAAAAATTTGATGAAGACAGATAACTGGTGTAAAAACTAGGTTTATTAAACATTCTGAGGAATAACTTCGCCAGCATTTTATAAGGATGTTAGCAAATTATTTTATAATTAAAATATATTATACAATTATAGTATATGATGGTAACAGGTTAATTTAGAACATTTTATCGTGTTATAGTTGAAAATATTTCATTTTGCGTATAAATGCGATATGCATTACAAAAGTAAAATTAGTCCACCTTATCGCATGGGTTCACTGTTTGATCGATAAAACATTAACATTGCGTTTATTTTGTTTGTTTTATGACATCACATAATCATAGAGGCGGATTCAAATAGAGGAAATCATTTAATATAATAAATGGGACACGATGGATGCATACACATAAAGGAAGTACATTTTGATAGATGTTTACGCATTTACAAATTAATTAGAAATTATTGATGTAAAGGCAATATAATGAGTACCTGAAAGTCCCGCGACCGCCTCTACCACCTCTGAAGCCGTTCGCGCCATCCTCATCTTCATAATTTTCATCATAACCCCCCGGCTCACAAAAATCCTTAGAAGAATCCGTAATTTCACTAACTTCGCTACGGTTTAATTCACTCATAGTAGAGTCCTGGGGGTCTATACTGTATTCGTCTTCCATCTTGATAAAAAGCACAAAACAATCCACTAAACACTTATGTCGGCATAACTAAATAATTTCGTGCATACACCACAATTCATTTCGCAATGGCGGAATCAACATTCGACATTCTCAAAATGGCCGCCGATGGCTTGTATAGGGATTGAAAAGTTTCAAAAGTGACGGTTCAAAAGTTATCGGTTTTAAAAACAGAACTAATAAAATAGATTTGACTAAAAATAAATTTTTCAGAATACTTTTTTTTTATTAAAAATACGATAATAGAAACTTAGAAAAATTAAAATTTAATTCATTTGCAAAGTTAAACGTTTGTTATTTCTCAACTTTTGCTCTCTCGTTCTTTTGCATTTTTTTTGTAATTCCGTTTAGAAACAACAAAAAGGTTTAAAAACAAATTACATATAGACGATAACATATACTTAGATACAAAATACATAAAAATTAACCCATTAATAACAAAAATTGTTGAATATTTTTTTATTTAGAATATTAGATAGGAAAATTATGATTACTATTCACTATTCAAGATATTAAAATTCTAAAATTACGCCAACATATTATATAGCTGCTCAAGATTATCGGTATGTGCAGCTCTAGTCATGTTTCTACTGTCGTAATTGTTTCTTTGTACGGAAAAGACAAGAGTTAATGGACATAGGATTCAAGTGGAAATTAGTGTATTACATTATTCTAGGGATGTTCTGTCTAAACGAGAAAATTTCAAAAATTGCTAGTTACAAAAATTAATATCAGTATTGTAGGGAATTAGGAAAATACATGTAATATATTAAAGTAATTTGAAAAAATTCCGGATAAAAGGGCTTTAAGTAGATGCTTTTTGATTGAATGTATTAGTAGAAACCTGTTGAATTTATTAGTAAAATATAGAACCCATTTAGGTATATCATTATCTATTTAATTACAAAATTTGACAAGAAAACCTTTATCGATCTTTCGTGTAAGCCATCTATAATAAATAAAAACAACTTTATGTTCATCATACTTTATTTATAATAATCAATCTGGACAACTTAAGCCAACTATTACTATGTTATCATACGGTATAAAACGCTAGAAAATCAATGGAGATATATTATTTGATAGTAAACCGTGTTTCTTTATACTAGCCACTTAGGATCTAGTTTTAAATCATTGTACATCGCTGAAGACATCCCCTTGTGGCAATGATCTACAAGGTTTACCTACTTTACCCATATTTTATATCCACAGACACTGCTGAATATTTGAGTCTGATGAAATCTTGCATCTTGTGAAATAGGGAAGGTAAATGAACATTCACCGGTTTTCAGTTTTATTTTCAAATAGATTTTTCACATGGATGGTTGAAAGCTTAACTATTCTCCTTATATTTGCAACCAATCACATCGCTGAGCCTCAAATTGTAAGGATTGGGTTTACTGTTACTTATTTTACTTTCAAGAGGCACCAATGGCAGAAGGGCTTGCAGGATCCTTTGCAAGTTTTTGCTGAATTTATCCTATAGATATTGGATTTATTTCTGTCATTTTCAATTTCAAGTTTACTTTCCTCTATGGCACTAGTCTTCATGCTTCCAGTGGAATAGTGGCACATGAAACTGGTGATATGTGGTAGAGCGCGCCCATTCATTCTCGGTTGACGATTGGACGCACCCATTTTCAAGTTGTTCTCATACCTCGACAGCGGTGAAGTCCGTAAGGTTTTTGGTGTTAGGTTCTTTGGGCATGGGCCGTCTATCGATGGAGCCGAACGAAGGTTTTCGGTTGTCGGCGTTTCCTTTAGTGTGGGTTTGGCGAAATTGTAACTCGGGCGCACTTGACCAGGGTTCGGGGCGTTTGCGGGTGGGGGCATGAAGGGATTCTGTGGTAAAGATTCTATTGGGATCGGCGTAGGCATAGGGACGTCATAGCATGGTCCAAAATGATTGCCTGGCAAATTCACTGGACCATATTGTGGTTGTGGTTGTGGTTGTGGTTGTGCTTGTTGTGGAAAATTAAATGGTGGGCCATAATTCGGTTGCATGGGCTGATTAGGGAACATGGGCGGTGCATGCGGGGCATACGATCCATACGAGCCATAAGCATTAAACGATGAGAAGTCGAATGGACTTCCAGGGGGATAATTTTGGTAAGAGTTTCCCATGCCACAGAAACCACAACAACTTAGAGGACCACAGGGCCCGCATGGACCACAAGAGCCACAGGGGCCACATATGCACGGGCCGCATGGCTTACAAGGTCCGATACATGCAGGACCACACGGACCTCCGGGACAAGGCGGCGCAGGGCCACCGCAACCCTCAGGTCTAACTGGACCGGCACAAGGACCACACGGTCCAGTAGAAATATGGTAAGGTCCACAAAACCAAGTACCATAGGGATAGTAATAATAACCAGTCATATACTGCAGACATTTAGCAGGAGTATTACAAGGTGGTGGAAGACAATTAGGGCCGCACGGCGCGCAGGGGCAGGCACATACGCTAGTTATATCCTTCATGGCAGAAGATGTTGACGCAGTTCGTAACTGCATAAAGTTTGGCGTTATTTGATTGAATACTACGCCAGGCATTCTGAATTTAGGAGCTATATCTTTTAGGCTGGCGGCAGATGCAGCTCGTTTTATGTGAACGGGACGGTCGTTCCCGTACGGCCTAAGACATGGACAGGAAATACTTCTGTATAGGCGCCCTTTAGGTCTGACGACATCTTCCTTCTGCAGTTCTAAATTGCTTTGGTTACAGAGGTTTTTTACTCCAAAACTCTGTGTTCGCTTGCAGACAGTCCTCTTCATTGCGTTGTGAACTGAAAGGATGATTTTTAACTATAATAACTTCCCAATTCCCACTGCAAGGACAATGACTAACTGGGGTTATCGAAATTAGACAATGTTTGAGGTTAAATAGTGTTTATTTTTAGGTTTTAGGTAAATACAGTGAGCTTATTGAGTTTTAGATGTTTAGTTATTTACTTAGAAATCGTAAGGTTTGAAGTTAGCGTCTACATGGGGCTTGGGATTATTTTTTTTAAACCTGGGCTGCGGTGTACAGTTAAATAGGCCCAACTTGTTTTGGTGATCCCTTAACACTATGTTGAATTCCAAAGGCCTTGTCACTTTATATCTCTTTGGGTAATAAATAAATCTGTCTCTACGCGGCTCCTTAATAGGCGTTCTGTACAGTTGATTCGACGACCAGGGAGCAGCCTTTGTGTGGTACGAATTGGATTTTGTCTTGTTACTTGATATAGGATACGAAGGTTTTATATTTGGATGTGGAAGCTTATTGTTCATTGGCGTTAAGTTGGGAGAGAGCATAGACGCAAGTACAGGAGGCACGTTTTTCTTAGTGGGTTTTGGATCTTCCTTTTGGTCCTTTTGTTCGGGAGTTTTAAAGTTAAATATCTTCGAAATGCCAGAGGCGGGTTGAACGTCACTCTGTTTTGGCTGGTCGTAAGAAAATATGCGTACGTTCGGTTTGGGCTTCTGTTCCGGTTTCGTCGTCTCGGCTCCCAAGCCTGCGGTCGGGAATAAGCAAGCACATTTCGGACAAGGGCATGCACAAGGACAAGGAGCTTTCGATCCCACGGGACAGCAGGTCCCTTGTACGTGATATGGACCGCAGAACCAGGTGCCGTAAGGGTAGTAGTAGTAGCCGGTCATGTATTGGAGGCATTTAGGTGGTGTGTTGCATGGTGGGGGAAGGCAATTGCATCCGTCCTTGCCGCCGCAGGGCCCACAAGGAAACGGGCACGGGCAGCCAACGTTGCAACCTTTGGAATAGGGTCGATGTTGTATAAACTGGGTCAGGCTGCGACACTTCCTTAGAGAGTCAGTATTGAGACATCCGGAGGTTTGTTTTGCGCTGGAGGGGATTGCTGTACTAGAAACGCTGACCCAGACCGGGTTGCTCTTGGTTCTCGTACGGCGGAATTCGATGGGAACAAATTTCTTCGCTCTTCGAACCTTCATAAACGCCGTGGGGATGAACTTGCTTTTGAAGTTACGTGCTGCCGCCAATGCTGTAAAGGGTATTTGCTATATGCCTCAATTGGTGACGGCTTATTTAAATTTACATGTAAGCTAGTAAACTATGCGGAATATTACGCGTATCGAGTGAAGGCTAAGAAATAGTACGAACATTTCATCGGCTAATTAAAACAATTACTATATTTTAACATTTATTATGACAAAAAAATATCATAAATATAATATTAAATATAAATATTAGGGTTGCATTTTTATTGTATTAGATGGTCGTGGACTCTTTTCTTTGATTTCCAACTTCATAAACGGTTCGTGTATTTTTCCTTCTCGTGTCGGCGGCGCCGCTCCCGCTGCAGCTATTGCTTGTGCTGCTGCCAGAGGTTGACTGCCGCACATGGGACACACGCCACCCTCGCATTTTTTAGGTGGCGGACATTTTGGTGGGCATGGACATGGACATGGTCCACAGGGCCCACACGGCCCGCAGGGCCCACAGGGTCCGCAAGGACAGGGGCAGCGACACGGTCCACAGGGGCCACAAGGTCCGCATGGCCCGCAAGGTCCGCAGGGTCCACAAGGACCACAGGGCCCACAAGGCCCACAAGGTCCACACGGTCCACAGGGTCCGCAGGGACAAGGACACCGACAGGGTCCGCAGGGGCCACACGGGCCGCACGGGCCGCAGGGCCCGCATGGGCCGCAAGGTCCACAGGGGCCACAGGGGCCACAGGGGCAGCCACATGTCGTTTCTTTTTTTGGGGCTTTGTCAGCGAAGCAGCGCACTTGCAGTTTATTGTCACCACAGCAGAGCGCTAACCGCGAGCCGAACGCCGCTCCTCTCAGCGCCACTGCAAAGGACATCCATGCATATAATACTCGTCGCGGGACCGCTAGACGCTGATGCTATTCGAAGAACGAAGGTCAACTATCAACGTCGAGTATTATAGATGGGCGTCCTTCGGCAGTGGCCAGCGTTCTCCGAAATAACACAGCGTGAGCGGACTCACCGACCTCTATATACAGCTACACGCGATCCGCAACAGGCTTTGTTAGCGCTATTAAACTCGTTACAATGCAATTTTAAAGCGATTAAGATACGGGAGCTATAGTAAAATTCAATAAACAATACATGTATAATTCTTTAGACTTTTAACATTTTAACAAGCTATTCGTTACTCACACAATGGGGCAGCATTTTTCTTATTTGAAGCTGTTGCCAAGGGTCGGCCTTTAATGCATTTCAGGAGGGATACATTCTTCGGCATAACCGCTTTCCTTAATACGAGAGCCATGGTACTGGATTTTTGTTGCTTGAATTATTATTTAACGGATTTTTTTTACTATAATTTTGTTTATTGTACTTGAAAAATTTAGGCCATGTTAGTTGTAGTTGTTACTCCTGCCGGAACAAAAGCTATTGTGCTGTATTTGAATTTGATTTTCATATTCTTTTCTCCTTCTTTTTTTATTCGAGGGAATGTTTTTGTATTCGCATTAGAACTTCCCGGTCGGATATACGGACTCTTTATATCTTCTTAATTAAAATTTTAGACAAGAAACAATGTAAAATATCGTGGTTTGGATTTATTATTCTTAGTTTTTAATGTATTGTTATAAAATTATTGTTAACTAAAGAAAGGAAAATGTTTGAGAAGAAATTATCAATGTGACTATATTATAATTAAAATTATCGTTATTTTTTTACGCCCTAAATATTGTAAAGCTGTCATAGCCGTTTGTAAGGATTTTCCAAAGAAGCTTTTGAGTGGTTCCATGGTAAATACCAATAGACAAATCAGTAGGCGTTGGTATGTATGTGACTGGTATGTTAAAATATTAAAAGCCACATATGGTATGTATTATAAAAAACTAATTTATAGCAGTTCTGTTGAACTTAGCGATTATCACTAGATAAATTATATTTAGTACATTATAATTAACAGTCCATAGAACTATACTACATGCATGCATGCGTGAGGGCTCGGGCTCGATCCTGGCAAGTACCAATGTGATTTTTCCGAGTCATATGTACTTTCTAAGAGTATTTAGACATCACTGATCAATGCATTTCCAAAGAGGGTTGATGTCAGGCAGGCGGCCGGTCGTAAAAACAATTAACCGAAGCTATTCACAACATGTAAGGCAGACCCTGGCTGAAAGCTGAGAAATTGACAGGTAGAAGAAGAATTAAAAATACATAGAAATAGATTATGACTTGGTATAAAGATTTGATAAATATGAGCTAACCTTACACTTCTTCGAAAATTCACCAGACATTTTAATACATTGTCTTTGCTTTTTGAAAAATTTCAATAATTTAGATCGATTTATAGTCTCGAAAATCCGTACCTGAACAGATTAATAAAAACTGTTTAACTGTTTCCTAAATCCAGATAATATAATGTAAAACAATATGAACTTACTGGTGTTTTTTTTTTATACTCAAATATATTTTAAACAATTCTGTTACAAATCTATATAAAAGGAGGTTCTTTAAAAAAGTATGTATGCATTGTAATTATTTAATTTCTCCTCAGAAATATCTGTTTCAATGTTGCGAGATTTTTATTTCAAAGATTATAACGAGATCGATTGTAGCATACTACGTTATGTTCTATAATTATTAATTAAATTGGATAAATAATTATTTATTTGACAAGGTTCTTCTGAGATTGTGTGTCAGGAAACTTAACTAGGTATAAAATAATAAACAGTGTAAAGACGAGTATCGAAACGGTTTAAATGTTACAGCTGTCTCGGTCCCAACGCACAAGACATAAATATCCTGAGATTTATCTGACATTATCACGACAAATAAGAAATATTGTTTGGATTGTAAAAGAAGCTTATACTTGCATGATATTAAGAAGAATAAAGTTTAGGGTGTTCAAAATTTTCATTAAATATGCACATTTGATATATGTATGTGCATATACAAAACTATATTATAGATTTTTTATCATACATATCAAATAATTTATATTTATATTGATTACTTCTTAAATACTAAATGTTTTGTACTTATTTTTAATTCCTAAAATCACTTTTTTTTATATAAACTCGCAAACCAGTTTCTGCAACGTGAGAACGAATGTACTTTGTTTCATTCAATGAATGAAACAATGAACAAGAATTGTCATCAGTAAAATAAAATGAAAAAGCATTAAGACTTTTGATTCGAAAAAACTATATTGAGAATTTTTTTTTTTCATTTATATTTTTTTTATTTCTTTGTATTGTAGTCTGGAAATTAAAAATATAATATAAAAAATCAATCCATTTCTATTTTCTTTTATGAGAACATATTCTGACATCGTTATTCGGAGATATATTTGTTTTAAAATATCACGTGTAAAACCGTCACTGATGAGACAGTGACGTAATTTCTCGTCTTACAAGCATTATCTTGCAGACTATAGTATATTAAATATATATAAAGATATTTGACAGAAAGTTCTAGAAATTATAAAAGAATAAAATTACAAATTAAGCGAAGGAAACTCTTTTCATATTTCTTTAAACAGACAATCAATCGTAGCAATATAATACCACATCAAAACAGTCCAAAAGCGTTGGTAGTTTTATATGTACACTTTTACTCCAACCTGCTTTCATTTGCTCTAACAATATTATGATTTAGAGGATTATTGCGATTTTTTAATTATTACTTAACTGTAACTAATATTTTCGGATTACTAAGCGTACTTTATTATTTTCAAAACTACGTACTCCCGAGGCGACGTTTCAGTTACTTTGCAGCAACCGTGATCATGAAGACGAGATGTGATTTCACGAAACGTCAGGAGTATGTAGTTTAAAATAATAAAATACGCCTAGTAATCCATCAATGTTAGTTTCATTTAAATGAATACTTTCGAAAATCGTAGATTTCTTTACTACTAAACTGTTTCGCTTCTTACAGTCTATGAAGCTACCGGAAAATCACCTGAATCATTTTATAATCCTTCAGATAAACCACGTCGCTGAGTCGTCGCCTCTCATCGTTTTAGTCCGAATAACATAATCTGGACTAGAAAACAGGCATAGATAATTTATCAGTCTCCTACCAATGAACTTGGTCCTGGAAATCGTGAAGAAATTGGCAGAACCAACTTGAAGATGTTAGCATTATTTGCAACTACAATAAGTGTTGTAGCTTAAAAGCTATAAAGAATTTATTTTTTCTTCAATTGTATTCAACAGTCCTTATTTATCATCATCATCATATCATCTTATCATCATTATCTTACTTATACGTATATTAAAATAAGAATTACATATTAATACTTATAACCTACACCTAAGACTACATGATTGTCCCGATGTTATGATAGCAATACCATTCCATAGCTTGTGTGTATCAGGAATCTTCTGGTTCACACGGCTTGGTGTTCGTTCATCAGAGTCAGCGGCGTCAAGAGTTATAAGATATTTTACCGGTACAAAGATATCCTCCCGACGATGTTAATTTTTTTAACACGATAGATTAATGTATTATATTCAACAATGTAGTTTATTTTACCTTAATCATCAATTTATTTCTAAAGAATGTACTCGAAAAAAAATGTGTACCAATCACAGGATCTATGTTAAAAATACTTAGTAACTATCCTTAACAGATTTTTGTATAATTGCACTAAATAAAGAGCTTTCAGTTTTTAAGTAATCTATATTATATAAGAAAGTCCTGTTAGTTAAACTATTTTTAACTCTAGAACGGCTGTACAGGTTTGGATGAAAATTGGTTGAGAGATTGATTAGAACCAGGAGACGGACATAGGATATTTAATTATGTTTGATCGAAAATGACAAAATACTAATCTTATAAATTAATATTCTCAATATCTGTTTATTTACGGCCTCTAGGTCGGAATAGAGTTCATCCGGTCAGCTATACAAATATTACTAATGATGAAATTGACGCGGACGAAGTTGCGGGCAAAATCTAGTTCTATAACTAGTGTCTGTAAGTCGGTCTTGTTATTTTATGACCGACTGTCAGACACCCACATCTCGTCTGCCTGTGATCACGGTTGCTGTAAAGTAGCCGAAACGTTGGGAGTATGTAGTTTATTGTCAAAAATAAAAATCCCGTACATAGTACTTCCGAAAATATTATTTTCAGTTTCGTCTTGTGTGGAATATTAATCTAAATTATTACATTATTATAAAGATGAGTTAATGTAATATATATTATATTTTGAAAATCAATTCACCCTGTCAGGAAAATTCTTCTATTATAGTAAAAATCAGTCATGTACATATATGTCTATATTTTATAAGACTAATATCTGGCTACCGAACATTGTTCGGTATTTAGGAACTATTAGTATTTTTTTTTTATTTGTTTTATTTCGCGTAGGCATTGACTTCCTGTTACTCAATAACGCCATCTGCTGTTGTACCATTAAAACAATTAGCAAAAAGTAGTATTACTATTCGCCAATAGATGTCAGGAAGAGTCATATTTTAAATGACTTATTTTGTAATTTTTCATAAAATGATTCCTAGCTAGATCGATTTTTCGCCCCGGAAACCCGCCTATATACTAAATTTCATGAAACTCGTTGGAGCCGATTCCGAGATTCCAATTAGATATATTTATATATATATACAGGGTGACTGGTGAATTACTATCAATATTTAAGGAGCATACTCGGTACATGATTCTCATTCGAATTATGTAAAAAAAATAGGCACTTAATTTTTGACAAAATTTCCGTATAAATAAGTAAAGTGTTGACACGTTCCAAGTGTTCAAGTGTGGACGCGTGCGGCGACGTGTTGATACAACACCACGTCACGACATGCGTATGTGTGAGTGTCAGTGTATACCTAATCTGTAGGGTGTTCACACGATGCGTAATTAATTACATAACTTTTGGTTAACTTTACTTAGAAATTTATTTATATTTATGTTATATTAATTTTTATTTTGTCATATATGATCGTCACATATCACGTCCTCAAATATCGATAGTAATTCACCAGTCACCCTGTATAAACAATAATTGCTCAATTAAATATATAAAATTACGATCTTGAGAAATAATAACTTATAGAAACAATACAATAAAGTGCAATAATTTTTTTCCACCAAATAATGCTGGTAGTGAACAGTATTTCTGGATACACAAGTACGGACATACCTAAGTATAAGAAGTGTACCCATTATTTCTTTCTTTTCATAAAAAATTAATGACATTACTTCGAGAAACATGTGAGAGTACATATTTTAATATTAAATAAAGTATGTAAATATGACTTATTTATTCTTTGATTATTAGCAAATGTATGTATGTATATATATGCTTATATTAGCTTGGGCTGTATGTTTGTAAGGGAATCTTTGAGCACGATTTTCACCGGTTTCTAAACATCTGATTAACTTTAAACTTTGCATATGTCTCAAGGACCAATGACAATACAATAATTCGTTAACAATTTCCCATTATCCTTGTTAGGGCCGCCAGGATTAATATATTCTTTTCATAGAACCTCTATGAGAGTGAAAGGGACAGAGCTAGTTGCGATCTGCGCATGTACACAAAAAACTAATTGATAAATCGTATTAAAAAATATAAAATAAATAATAATTAAAAAAAATTTTACGTGTTTTTTTAGTTTTTTTTTTAACTATTTTTTTTTATTTTCAGTAGATCTTAGTTGTATCTTCGAAGTATGCTTTTTACTAAATTTTACAGGGAGAGTTAGGATTATTTTGTTCTTTAAAAAGAATAATAAACGCCTTTATTCCATTCAACAATCTCCTTCGTGTCTCCACACAGTACTCAACATTATAATTCGACCAACAAATAAAAATATTGACATTGACAAAATATTACACGATTCCAGTGTGAATGAAGATAAAGCATAAAAAAAGTTACGTTTGTCTTTTTATACATCTCAGCTTGATAAACATAATTAATACCCTATTGGCGAAAAATATAGAATTAATAATTCATAGAACAGAATAGAATTGTTTTAAATATTTTTAACAACAACAAATAAAAGAGATTTCTATTCAAGCAAGTTTTTTGTTAATAGAGTAATATTAATTTGTACTACAAGCTTCAGACAAAGAAATCTAATTTTTTTATATATCACAAGCAAATAAGACTTAAAAAGATATTGATTTCGTGAGTTTGTTATAAATAAATATTTTGTTTATTCCAATTGAGTTAAAAATTACATATTGAAACCATTTCAGAATTATGATTGGATAAAATAATAAGAAAGGAAAGAAAAAAAAGAGTTTAATAATTATTAATATTACAATAATATTACAAAATTAAAACATGATTAATTAATAAAATGCTTATAAATTCTATCCTACTTTTGTATAGGACGCTCGTGTAATTCGTTTATATACATATATCGTCGGAGATAGTGCAAAATCCGCGTAACTACCATTGGATAATTCCGCGTATCTACATTACAAGCAGATTATCAGAAGAAAGTTGAAGATGAAATATATTCTATATTACCGTCTTTTAAGGTACTTTTCAAAATTAGTAATAAATTAAACACTAAATAATTACTAATTGTGATAAAATTACCTCAAACTTTCTTCTGATAATCTGCTACCAATGTAGATACTCGGAATTATCCAATGCTAGTTACGCAGATTTGCACTATCCAAGACGATATAACATATAATTTATGTCACATATAAAAAGTCGTGTCGTCTCCGTGTAGTATACGTGTCGTGGAATAAGAAAAACATCAATATGCTTACTACAAGTATGCATCACATACGTAGCGTCAACAGTTTTTCATACAAATCATCTCAAATTTATTGAATGAGAAACGGAAATTTTGCTATATATTGGACACAAACTTATAATAAGATACTTTAGTAAGAATTCTCAAAATATACTCAATAGTAACAGTATTAACGTTCGTCGATATCACGAACATATCCGAAGATACACGAAGATATACGAACATATCCGATAATGCACGAAGGAATATTTTGATATTAATACCCTTACAGATTAGTAGATATTTCTACTACGGGTTACTTTCTGTTTAAGGGTGATGAGTGGGTGGTGGAGTAACAGTTGTTTGTGGTGGACCCTCAGCTATTTGTGGTGGACCGACAGCTGCTTGTGGTGGACTATCAGTTATTTGTGGTGACGTAACGTTAGCTGTTCCAGGCATCTGTCCATCATCAACGATGTTCTCACCACCTCCAGGCATACTCTGGCCCATTAGACCCTGGAATTGAATAATTGTGATATAAGTCTATACATAGGATAGCTATAGATTATAACATATGATACACAGATTAAAAATAGAAATTCAATTGTATATTTAAAAAAAATAATTAATCCTTTATCACTCTTATAAATAACATAAGAATAATAAATAAAATCTATTGAGGTTCGATAAAAATGACCGTTAAATAATCTTATCAATATCATTTTACTTTCATCATTTACCCTTTAAAATTAAATTAATTCTACCCATATAGTGGGTATAAACATTAAACTAGATTGGTAGTAAAAACTTCCTCATTTTTCGCGAGAAAATCGCATCTGGCAAACCTGTGCAAAATCTGTGCAGTTCTTTGCTTACCTGAAAGCAAGAGCACAGGAGACAAGTAAGGCAGGCTACGCACGAACCGCAACACGCCGCTTGACCCAAACCAGCTCCGGGGGACGCTTTAAGTAAAAACATTAAGCATTTAAATTAAACATTATTCATAAAGTCGTGGTGGCCTAGTGGTTAAAGGTCTGCCTATCGTGCATGACGGCGCGGATTCGAATTTGGCAAGTACCAATGTGATTGTTCCGAGCCATATGTACTTTCTAAGAGTATTTAGACACCGCTGACAGATGAAGAAAAACATCGTGAGGAAACCTGGACATAATTTCAAATTATAAGTTTGAAATCGCCAACCCGTCTTGAGCGAGCGTGATGATTAATGCTCAAAGCTTCTCCATGTGAGAAGAGTCCTTACAGCAGTGGGCTCTGATAGGATGATGATTATGATGATACATGTATAGTCTTCTGTTAATTATTTATAATTCCTACATGTATATCCTATATTAAGTGCCCACAATGACCAAAATACGTGCCTATATTAAGAGTGCCTCTAAACGTTTGTTTACTCGTGTTTAGGTAAACCATGGCAACATACTAATACTGGAAAGGAAAATAAATGAAATTACTTCTGTGTATAGTACTAACGAGATAATATAAAGACGAATGGATTTATGTGTGTGTAAGTTCTATAAAAAGTACTTGATGGAATTCACGTAACCTTTAAATCAGAAAGAAAAACATATCCTTCTGGATGTATATATTTATCGTTCCGTATTATAACTTTCTTTTTTAGATTTAAGATTAGTAAGTAATGTATTTCGTTCGAAGATTCTCTAAACGCTTGAGGAAACTCTTTCTAAGTTTATAGTACATAACTCTCTCTGCAAATCCGCGTATAACTTCTTTTTTACCAAATAAGATGAGCAAAATTAGAGACTAAAAACTGAAGAAGAAGTATCCTAATGAAAACCTAGCGAGAACTCAATCTGCCTAACAAAATTATATAACAAAGATATGTGCAACTGTGCTAACATACCAGGAGGTCCCTGTCCAGGGTAGTCTTGTGGTGGGTATCCTTGGCCATATCCCGGGTATCCTTGACCTTGGGGTGGATAACCCTGTCCTTGGGGTGGATAACCCTGTCCTTGGGGTGAATACCCCTGTCCTTGGGGTGGATACCCTTGACCGTAAGTATAATTCTGATGCTGATATCCAGGGGAATAATGACTGTCCTAGAAATTAAAAGATGATGAATCCCTTCGATGTTGCATATTGACAATTCTGACTATGTCCAAAAACTTTCTGTTAATTATTCTCACTTTATTCATCGATAAATATTATTATGCAACTTCAATATAATAGTAGAAGATAATTAAAAAAACTAATGAATTTTCGTATAGCATTGTCATAAATAATCATTTTCTTTTTAAAATGCTACACACGATGACATTTTGTACACAACTAAAAGAATAATGGTTTAGCTTTAGTCGAAGACGAGACTCTGGTTTATGCTGACCAATTTCTTTTGCACCTTACCCAATATGTGATTATTCGCTAATGAAGATCATAATGAGTTGTTTTTGCCGGTAGTTGGATAGTCTTCACATTACTCACTTGACCGTGCCCGTACGGAGGAGGCGTGACATTTGCGACTGGAGGCTGATGAGGATTGAAAGGATCTTGTACATAGTTCCGAGTTTGATCAGGGTTTCCATAACCAGGATTCTGACCTCCATAGGGCCCTTGGCCGTAAGGCCCTTGGCCTCCATAAGGGCCTTGGCCGTAAGGGCCTTGGCCATAAGGGCCTTGACCGTAAGGGCCTTGGGCACAGTAAGGTTCTTGACCTTCATTTGCATCATTGCCTCGTCGTCTATGGCTACCTGGCTGAAAACACGTTTCCAAATCCCAACCGATTAACAGACTTTGAATTGATAAAAAAAATCAATACAGTTCTCAAAAATAGTAGTAGTAAAGTTCGGAGACAGTTTTTACGAACAAAAATGCCTATAAGTTCGTAGAAGTAAGTAGATCACAGCCGAAAAAATGCCTTAAGCACATGAATAACTACATTTATACTAAAATTATAAACAATAACAGAATACTCACCAAAGTATTTCCCATACCAAAAAAAACTATATCTGATCTTCTAAATGCATAATTAATAAAATTAAATAATTTAAATCGAGTTTATTTGGAAAGACGATAAACATAATACATCAAAAAAATATATAACTATATGACATAATACATTTTGTTTAGAAACAGAATTACATCATGAATTGTATAGAAGAATAAAACTCTTTGAATTCATTTGGTATTAAAACTAAATATTTAAAATACAAATTATTTTCATTTGCATTTAGTTATACTTCAAGGAAATGAAAGTAAATTAGTTTCTGGAATCAATGTGTATGGATTTACCAAAAAATATCTGGATGTCCAAAAAGGTGGTATTAAAATAAATATTGTTTTCAATAGATTTTTATATTTTTTCTAGCTGGTTTTAAGCTTAGCATAAATCCAATTTAAATATTGCCCCTCAACTTTTTCTTTATACAACTATCGTCTACACCTTAGGAATTCCCATAACTTAATTCAAATAATAATTAATTAGTGAAGAGTCTATCTCATTTCTTCTAAGATTCTTTACTAGCAGTTGCTTAAGTTAAATTTAAACTAATCTTATTGCCAATTAAAGTTAATATAATTGCATACTTTTAACTTTGTTTCCTTTCATTAAATTATAATGCTTAAAGATTCTCAAATGAATGCTTTGTTTTATATATTTCTTAGCTATAAAACTTCTTGCAAGCTCTAGAAGGGTTCAGTTATCACTTCTATTCAAAAGATGGCGCTTTAAATAAAGTTCGCATTAGAATATTTTAAAATTCTTGTCAGCGCCATCTAGTAAAATATTTAGAACTATTCATCAATAAATTACAATATGGAAAAAGGTAAATAAAACAAAAATTTAAAAATCAACATATCTTATATTATAATATATTTTATCTACTTTGTTTTTAATGCCATCCAAAACGGCGGATGTGCTGTGCCGGTACAATAAGCAGAAACATTTGTGTTTTAATATTGTGGGTGAAAAAAATTAAAATTGCCATGAAAATGCGATTGGCTTGTTTATTAGATGCATAAATAAATCTTAGGCTCTAATTGGTCGTTTAAAAAACCGTTTAAAAGTGACCAATAGTGATTTAGTATAACAATTTTTTATTTTTATTTTATATAAAATATTTTAACAAATTAAAAGCATTTTAGTTCGAGCACTTGTATTACAATTATGCTTACCACATGTTTGCTTACTACATACTCCACGTCAACAGTATTTTATTCATAAATCTTGTATAGTATTAACGTAGGTTATTGAATGAGAAACGGGAAACTATTAGTATGTAGTATTGTGAAAAAGGTAACAGAAATTCGCGGATTTTGGGACAAAGGCTGCGATAAAAATTTGTTAAATATTTTTATTTTCATACATCTAAGGCTTTTCGGCGAAGGCTCATAAGGCATATATTTGGTATTCTTGTTACAACATAAATATTTCAAACACACCAACATATTATATAATATTTATCTTAATTTATACATATATTGTATATATATTATTATATAAATTTATTTAACATTATATATTTGTGTATTTCTTTATATATATATGTGTACATAAGGCCCTTAGTCCATCCAGTCATCGCCGCCAAAGTCGACGTTCTCAGTAAAAGACGATGATTGTACCTTAACAAAGAAAACTATTAATGAGCTATAATCTTCTTCTTCCTGGCAATTTCCCAGGTTTAGCCAGGATCTGCCTTACATGTTGTGGATAGTTATGTCTAATTGTTTTTACGACCGGCCGCCTGCCTGACATCAACCTTCTCTGGGAACGCATTAATGAGTGATGTCTAAATACTCTTAGAAAGTACATATGACTGGGAAATATCACATTGGTACTTACAAAGATCGAACCCGCGCCCTCGTGCATGAGAGGCGGGCCTTTTAACCACTAGGCCACCACTGATTTCAGATTTTTTAGAGATTTATTTTGTCAGACTAGATATTTTTTTTAATATCTAATATTATTTAATTCCTGGCTAATATGGGAATTGTTTACTTTACAGTGATTCCCAACCAGTATTACGCAGGATTCAAAAAGTGGTACGCGGACGAATTCAAAACTGTTTTAAATTTATGATATTTTAATAACGTATTTTTGTTGTTATAAAATACATTGAGTTTCTTATTGAAATTTATTTTCTTAGACATACACTAATTTTTGCTTGTATACAATGATCTCATGCGAAAAACAAAGAATACAAAATGGTTCCTGTTCAAGAAAAGGTTTTGAACCACTGCTTTTATGGAAGAAGAATTTGTTAAAGATCGATAAAAAAATATCGGATATAAGTACGATTTTTGTAATTGGTCGGATATAGTGGGATTTGGTTACGGCTTATATATATACATACCTCCTCGGTAGGGCTATTGCTACTGAAGCCCCCGCCTAGAGCATAACCCGCCAGCCCACCAGCTGCCAACGCTCCAACTCCCAAACCCACGGCGGCCCCAGTTCCCATGCCACGACGCTCTTGAGTGTATTGGGGTACTGTTTGAGCCCCCGCGTATTGTGGGGGTACCTGTGTTTCACATATGGAAAAAACCTATAATAAATAATGTCTAATGGCCTAAATTTGAGACGAAAGCTCTCATCATTCCATGTATTCACGGTGCGTGTGTCAGGTCCATCGTTGTGGTGAGAGGAGCTTCAACAGTGACTGGGACTTGTGACCCAGGTGTAGGTTTAAGGGACCCCTATCTAACGAGTTATAAGCTCACCTCAACCGTCCAAGGTCCTCTCTCTACCGAACCAAATTTAAAAGCACTAATACTTAATAATCTATATGGATTTATTGTTTATTAATAAAATATTCGTTATGCGATTATATTAACAAAAAATAACTCACCGCGCCACCGAAACCACCTGCAAGAAGAGAAATAAAATAATATAGAAAAATGTATGAAGAAGAATATGTAAATATTTTGAGGGTAGTTAGCAATTTTCATTTAACAATAGTCTTTTTAGTTATGTAATTCTGGTTTCCGTCCAAGGTACACTGAACTGCTGAAGATGTAACATTTAATAAATATGATGATTAAAGGGGTATTGATCATTAAAAACATTTAAAAGCTCTTTAAAAGACCAAGTTTTATTTGATTTTTCATAGTTTCTGTATACCAAATAATATATATGCATTAAGTTTTGTTTCAAAAGCATGTATATTGGATTGTAAACAGAACCCAAATTTCTCTGAGTTCAAATGAATTTTGAAATATTATTGGTTACAGGTATTCACTTATCGCTACTTTTTTAGGGCATTAAGTAAAATCTGCTGTTTTCTACCTAAACCGACAAATACATCCAAACTTAACTTAAATTTCATCATATATTTAATAGTTTTAAGTTTCTTCTACTTGAAAGTAGCGTAAAATTTTACTGTCGCTCTTAAAAATAGCCCAAGAAATGTGTTTCTAATATTTGTTTGAAATACATAATACATTGCATCTATTCAATCTTATTGTGGTTATTGTGAAGCTGTGTTTGACCAAAATGCCTTTCGATGGAACGAAATTTTCTGCGAGATTGAGAAGGTGGAGCAAGGTAGAGATTTTAAAACTACATACTTTTAAAGTTATTTATTTTTCTCATCTGTCTACTGATTTTATAGCTTGATGAGTGTTTATACTGTATAGCTGACCGGGCGAACTGTATTCTGCCCTAGAGGCCGTAAATAACTAAATATTGGAATTTATTAAGTTTTTTTTCGATCGAACAGAATTAAATATCCTATGTCCTTTTTATGTTCTAATCTATTTCTCCACCAATCTCCATCCAAACCCGTAAAGCCGTTCTTGAGTTATATGTAGTGTAACTAACACGACTTTCTTTTATATATACAGACTAGCTTTCCGCCTGCAGGCCGCAGCTTCGCCCGCGTGGAGTTCGGTTATATCGCGTTTCCTATAGAACTTTCTAAAAGTCTGGGATAATAACTATCCTATGTTCTTTCTTGAGGTCAACTCTATCTTTGTATCAAATCTCATTAAAATCAGTTCAGTGTTTTAGGCGTGAAAGCGTAATAGACAGACAGACAGAGAGAGTTACTTTCGCATTTATAATAGTAGGGCTTTCAAAAAATCAAGAATTTTTTTTTACTATTCAGTGCAGTTAATGTTCTAGTAAAATTTACTTTATTATTAAAAGGACTTATTGAACATCCCTTAAACAGTTATCAGTACTTTTAGTACGAGTTATCATCGTCAGAATGAAAACTGATAGTTTGCCGTCACTGTGTAAGCTGTAAGATTTATTACTGAAAAATAATTATAAAATTTGATAATGATAATTAATAGTAAATATATTGTTAAAAAAGATATTCTGATGCAAAACCAAAATCATCGTCATCAGCCTATCAGAGCCTACTGCTGAAAGGCCTCTTCTCACATGGAGAAGGCTTGAGCATTAATCACCACGCTCGCTTAAGACGGGTTGGTGATTTCAAACTTATAATTTGACATTATAAGTCCAGGTTTCCTTACGATGTTTTCCTTCATCTGTCAGTGGTGTCTAAATACTCTTATAAAGTAGATACATATGACTCGGAGAAATTGGTACTTGCCAGGATCGAACCCGCGCCCTCATGTATGAAAGGCGGGCCTTTCACCTCTAGGCCACTACGACAACAAAATAATATATCCCTACTAATATTATAAATGCGAAAGTAACCCTGTATGTTTGTCTGTTACGCTTTCACGCCTAAACCACTGAACTGATTTTAATGAAATTTGGTACAGAGATAGAGTTGACCTTGAGAAAGAACATAGTATAGTTTCTATCCCAGACATTTGAAAGGTTCTTTTGGAAACGCGATATAACCGAATTCCACGCGGTCGAAGCTGCGGGCGGAAAGATAGTATTATTATAACTTTTAATTGGGGTATAAAAATAAAGAAACCATATACAGTATAAATATTTATTTGAACAATAAAATGCGAAGATAAAATGCAACAATTCTAGCACTATGATAATTAACCAGCCATAGCAATGGTTACTCAGATCAACTTGACAGGCCTGTAGTTGTAATGAAGGCATTTCAAATAAATGAAGTAGAAACTATAAAATGATTTTTATACCATAAACAAGTGTGATGAAAATAAAATAACAAAAGAATTTTTTGGCTTAAAATTTTGGTAATACTTTTTTAGGAAGCCAACTTATTAAGAAAAAAGCTTAAAAATAAAAAAAAATCTGTAAATTTAATTAGTAAATTATTTAAACATTAATGATGCATTGTGAATGAAAATAAAATTAAATAACGCCTATCCAATTTTTCCCCATAAATCACCTGAAAGAAAAAAAATTGAGATAAAATGTGTTCAGATTAATTTAAAAAAAAAAAATATTGTATCATTATGTAAATAATTAGATAAAAATATTACACTTATGAAATTATATTGTGTATATGTGTGTGTGTGAACATGTATATGTGTGTGTGCGTGTATAAAAATACTAACTAAATTATTGCTACATATTTTATACACAGTCCCACTCACTGTATGATAGAGTTAAGTCAGGGATCTTTTATTTATAATAAACCTTATTTAATATCATTTAAGATTCATTTTCGCTTCAAATTCAAAGCCTCTTCGCTTTTGTACAATTATCTGTACCAAGGAGTTTACATTTACTTGATTGTGTGTGTGTTTGTGAGTGTGTGTGTTGTAAAAATTTAAAACAAATACCTACACTGTCGACTTGCACATCCTGGATACATCAATAGAAGCCTAAAAAGAAAATAATGAAGAAATTAATAAATAAAAAATACAAATAAAATTATTAACAGAAGAATATTATTTATAACAAATATAAGCAAAGCAACTGTATATAACTAGTATTATTAGTTAGTTATATGAATACTAAAAGCATAGTACCAAAATACATACATACAAAAAATATTTTGTGACGAGAAATAAAACCCTGTACCACGATAATATAACGATTGTATGTATCGTTTTAATTCAGTGTGAGTGAAAGAGACAGATATATAGTGTAGAAGTGTCAAAGCATTACTTGGTACCGGTTGGTTTATTTACAAAGCTTATTAATTTTCATTAATCATCACGCTTACTCAAGGCGGGTTGGTGATTTCAAACATATAATTGTGAAATTATAAGTCCAGGTTTCCTCACGATGTTTTCCTTTACTATCTGTCAATGGTGCCTAAATACTCTTATAAAGTACATATGACTCGGAAAAATCACATTGGTACTTGCTAGGATCGAACCCGCGCCCTCCTGCACGAGAGGCGGGCCTTTAACCATTAGGCCATATAATATTATTATTAATTAGCGTCATTACTCCCAGCTTTTTTTAATTAATTATAAATGCTTTCAAACCCATGTATTTCACCTTTGACAAATTAGATTTTTTAATTGGTATATTGATCACAAAAACAAAAAATAAATAAATAAGAAACACAAACTATGAAATAAACCAATAATTCATTAACACAAATTATCTATAAAATTGTAAAAAAATAATATTTCTAGTCACAAAACATATAAAAACTAAAAAACTATACAACCACATAAATAATATGAGCATACAAGACTTACCCGTTTTTTCATAAATCCATTAAAATATATATAGCACAAAATACTAATAAAAATATGTTATCTAAGAATCGATATAAAAATACAAAAAAATGCCCAATCCGAGTTAAATTAGATGATTTCCATCAAAAACTTAATAAATTGTGTTGTTATTAAATAATTATTAATTTAAAATATTATATTGATTATATAAATGTATATATTTATATATAAAAAGATATTTTTTTATCTCCCTACGAAAAAAAAAATTGCAAAGTACTTTTATTTGTATTTTTGTTCCATCCTATTTTATTCCTTATCCTTTAAGTCACTCCCTAATTCTTCTTTATTCTCATTCTATCTTTTAGAAGTATAATCTTCTTCCAACTCTTCTTAATTAATATTCCATTCCCTTAGTATAAGCATCACCCTGTATAATGTATATACAATATTCTTATACTAATACTACCAAACCAGTAATAATATCCCACTCATTTTCTACATGCTAAATGTTAGTAAATATTAGTTATTTAATAAAATTCGGTCGATTAATATATGTATACAAAATTATATTTATATACAGGGTGCTTCGACATACCTTGGGGTGCTCCGTAGCCGGGGGCGCCGTACGAGGGCGGAGCGCCATAGCTGCCGTATGCTGGGGGTTCCGCCTGAAATAATTATTTATCTGATTATTATATGAAAATTCTGATATTTGATACCAATATTTGGCCTGTAACATCTGGATTCTCGAATGTTGTATTAATTTTAAAGATATATTTAAAAAATCATAATAGGTGATTGGTATATTTATATTATTTTAAGTAATAATTAGGATTTGTTTTTGATAATATAGACTTCAGTTAAATATAGAAATTAATAATTCACTGATTTGAGTGAGTAGGATAAATAAAAGATTACACATTTAAAAAGAAAAATCAAAATCAAGTAAAATATCGGACGAAACGCGTTAAAATGTAAGTTAATAAACCAGTACCATATTATAAGAATAGCGCCAAAAAATTTTGCCAATGCAATAGCGCCAAAAATTATACAAACGAAATAGCGCCACAGAATTTTGGCAAACTAAATAGCGCATTTTGCTATATTGTCATACTATATGGGCTAGATCGTGTTCATATGTTTCATAATCTCATTGCACCCCTCACCATATACATCTGGCTCGGCTGAGCACCCTCGAAGCCGACGAACTGCAGCATGACGTCACCATCCACCGTCAAGTGACTGATCCTTTGGAAGGGTATACGATGCGGAAACTCACAGAAATGCACTCCATTCAACGCGACCTGGGTAAATTTTTATGGGTAAAAGGACATATAGAATAATTTTCTTAACTAGCTATCACTCTTTGAATATGCTGACATAAATTTATACTTATACATAGAGTAATTCCGGGGTAGGTGGCCATAAGGGAAAAATGGTTCATTCAAATAATACCTAAACTTTCAGATGTTGCTAGTTTAATTTGCTTCGTGACGTGAGTAACAGTGAAGGCAGAAAGAAGAAGCGTGTTAGAAAAATTGCTCACGAATTTGTCGAACATTATTATAGTTGTAACTTAGCTTGAACATAGCTCAGATGAGAAAATGCAACGGGATATTGGTCTCAAATGTCCATCTTATGATATTACATATCTCGAATTCTATAGGAAATAACAGAGAATGAAATTCGTAAAATCGCAGACCGAAATTATTGATCTTTGAAGACTTTGGAAGTTTTGAAAATTTTGGAAGACTATATGATAGCAGTGTCGTTAGAAATCATAGCAAATAAGAAAAAGAAGTTAAATGAAATAGATATTTATGAGATCTGAGATTTACGCTAGTCATTTAAATGAAACCAATATTATCGGATTTATTCGCGTTTTTATTTTTGATATAAACTACACACTCCCGACGTTTCGGCTACTTTACAGCAACCGTGATCATTAAGACGAGATGTGAAATCGATAATTGTCGTGAATGTGAAAAAAAATATTACGCAAATTCATCTCAGCGATGATTGGCTTCGATGCACGTCAAGTATTGGCTTCACGAAAAATGTACTCAGTTTGAAGAAATGCCCTGAGTGTGAAATTGAGAAAAAAAGGCTGTCCAAAAATTATACTAGGAATAGAATTATGGATGTGGCCACATTACTCCCGAAGCTATGGGTATCATACGTGGATTAATATATGGTCAATCGTGATTGAAAAAAATAATAATTTATATCAAAAATTCCTATTTGTCGTTTAAAATTTAATTACAATTAGAAAATTCTACAAAAGAAACATGTAAAGTTTATTAAGAGCGTTTAAATTTTACCAACTATCCCGAACTTACCCTGTATATTCTATTTACTAGGGTAATTAGGTAAGTAAGGTATATACTAGGGCCTATTATATACCTTACTTAGTGTTAATTAATATGAATAAATAAATATATGAACACAGCTAGGTCATTTAAGTTGTGGAAATAAATGTTTTATCTAGATTCTAGATGGGTCATTTTGTTTTAATGGACTTAGGAACCTTAATTTGTCTAAATGGATTCTTTTTGTTACAATAAAATGAAAAACCTTAATGATATTTCGATTATATTTATGTATCTTTATTCAAGTTATCGATAAAAGTCGAATCGACTGGACATAGCTGTCCTAGTACTACAATTTGTAGTCTGATTTTACATTATAATAATGAAAATAAAATTCACATCTCGTCTTAATGATCACGGTTGCTGAAAGGTAACCGAAACTTCGGAAGTATGTAGTTTTAAACAATAAAGCACGCGTAAACAATAAAGCTGCTGGCGGAAAGCTAGTTATTTATAGCTTTATCTGGACCAAAATATGAGAAAGACTTATAGTAGAACATATATTAAAGTTCATTATATGGGACCAAGCAGTTCCTAAGAGAAAGTCTTAAAGTCCTATTTACCTTGATGGATTGCGGCTCACACAGCACCAAAGCTTCAAATGCCTCTCCTCGCGCTAAAGGCATTCCCCCACTAGTTTCTTCCACGCCCCAACTCATGGCCGTTAAATGGTTCCTGACCACGCACATCTCCACGAAGCGGAAGTTGAGATGAAGGGCGATGTCATCCCGAGGATCGGTATTTGGTCCGCATTGGAAATTAATCGCGAATCTATGATGTTGGAAATGCTTGTTTATTTTGGGCTACATTCTGAGAGAAAGAGATAGGTATACAGAGTGACTGGTGAATTACTATCGATAATTGAGGACGTGATATTTGACGATCATATATGACAAAATAAAAATTAATATAACATAAATATTAATAAACTTCTAAGTAAAGTTAACCAAAAGTTATGTAATTAATTACGCATCGTGTGACCACCCTAAAGATTAGGTATACACACACACACACATACAACACCACGCCGCCGCATGCGTCCACACTTGGAACACTTGAAACGTGTCAACACTATTTATTTATACGGAAATTTTGTCAAAAATTAAGTGCCTATTTTTTTTTACATAATTCGAATGAAAATCATGTACCGAGTATTCTCCTTAAATATTGATAGTAATTCACCAGTCACCCTGTATAGAGAAAGAGATAGGTGTATATTTCTTCTAAATACCTCTTTCTTTTCAATTACATACATATGATGTTAGAACGTTATGGACAAAAAATTGCAGGATTACCTTCTATTTTTGGGCTAAATTCAGATAAATACAAATATATACCTCTACATTTTCAACTAGAACTAAAAGTATTAGTACAATAAAACTTTAAGTAATATTTTGTTTCTAATAAACCTGTACATTTGTTTCAATTTATTAGGACTCCAAAAATAGTAAATCTGTACCCGAATCTTTCGAGATTTCGCCTCATTTTTCGAGATAAATCTCGAAGCATAATGTCGAAATCTCGTCCGAGATTGATGTAATTTAGTTTGGAGTTTCATTATTGTCTGTTACTTTATTAAAACAATACTTTCGCCGTGCCTAGATCTAGCCAAGATTAAATTTCTTATCCCTAGAGATTGTTACATAGCATTAGTCTCAAAATTGCCTACCCACTTCACAGAGATGAGATTTTACGTAGCATCTCTACATAATAAACTAGATTTGCTCGCGACTTCGACCACGTTAATTCCTGAATTAGTAATATATGTGTAACTAACCGGGCGAACTCTATTCCGCCCTATAGCCTATAGCCAATTAGTTATTATTTTTTGTTTAATTTATATAAAATTTCTTCTGATAATATGCTTCCAATGTAGATACTCGGAATTATACTATGCTAGTTACGTGAATTTGCACTATCCCGACGATATAATGTTTAAAAACTTACCTTTGAGCGCCAGGTGGTACACTACCCTGGAACCTTATCATACGGCCGGGGAATAAGCCACCGGGAATCGGATGAACGCATGGTATTACCTGATGCAGATTATTCATATAAGTAAATACAACATCCAACGAGACAAGATACAGAATGTAAATAATGCTTGAAATACTCTTAATTAGTTAATAAATTGATATTTAATGTAATATTGTCATTTTTACTAATTTATGTAACATTTTTAGTCAATACCGCTCTTCTTGTTGGAACTCGGAAAGTTATACCAAATAATAAAAAAATATAAAGAGATTAAATATATCATCATCATCAGCCTATCAGAGCCCACTGCTGTAAGGCCTCTTCTCACATGGAGAAGATTAGAGCATTAACCACCACGCTCACTCAAGACGGGTTGGTGATTTCAAACTTATAATTGTGAAACTGTAAGTCCTAGTTTCCTTATGATGTTTTCCTTCACCGTCTGTCAATGGTGTCTAAATACTCTTATAAAGTACATATGTCTCGGAAAAATCACATTGGTACTTGCCAGGATCGAACCCGCACCCCCATGCATAAGAGGCGGGCCCTTTAACCACTAGGCCACCACTGACTATAAAATTGATTATATATTTGCAGATGCAAATTACTCACAATTTATATTTATTAATAAAGAATTGTTTAGATTTTTTTTTATTCTGCTCTTTCTATAACTGTAGTTTATAATTATTAATTATATTGGTTACATAATTTACCATAATATGCATATATATATATATATATATATATATTTATAAATATATATGTGTATATTTATATACCTTGTGATATTAACTATTAAGCAAAGAAATATATTCTTACAAATATAGACAGATATTACTTGAACATATATTTGATATCAAATATTAACTTTTCACTATCATTTATTTAATTATCATTATTAAAACATTTTGTTTAATAGGTTCCATTGGTACCAATATGTTTTTGAGGGGAATTTTGTCATGTTTATAGATTTTATATAAGAAAAATGAAAATATATTATTGTTATAATAAATATAATATCGTCATATATGTTACGGACATGTAATGAGATTTCCAGAGGACCATGTGGTGCAACAAACCCTGGCTTCACCTGATGCTAGAAAAACTAGAGGCCGACCACAGTATCCCGAGACTTGGAAAACGCTAAGCTCAACAAAGTGACAACCCAAGATAGGATGTCTTGGCGCATTAGAAAGAGGAGAGAGGACCACAAATAATGGAAAGAGGCAAGGAAGAAGAAGATAATATCGTCATATATATTATAGGTATAAGTTATTGTATGATACATAAGATTTATTATTATAAGTCTATTCATTATATGAGAATAATTAAAATATGAAATATTCTCTAAGACATAATAAAAAGCACATATTTATTAATGTTGATCTCATAAATATATATATATAATATATTTTTTAACCTTCCCATTAGCAGTAGTCACGAGACAAGGAAAATACAATAGTTTATACATTCGTTACGCTATTTAAGGATTGACTGAGATATCAAGGCAGACCTTGTAATATACACTTTATATATGATAATTATGCGGTATTTACTTAACTGTTGTAGTATTCGTATCTACAAAATGTCCTTGGTGTCGCCGGAGACACGAAAATACAACAAAATAGAGAATATAGAAACTTCATGCTTAATGCTACTTACCGGGTTATATATCGGCTGAGCTGCCATTATTATTGTATTAACTAAACTTGTGCGATAAAATATACAGGAATATCTTAATTATAACCACTATTACCGAAAAAATAACGCTAAAAAACACCGGATACGCCTTATTCACTAATAAATATAGCCCGATTGATTTCACTGTGATGCGTCATACGTCATATGACGGCATGGAACAACGTCAGTCTCAAAGATGAAATGTCATAAGTCATTCTAGTTCAGCCAATATGGGAATGTCTAATAAGGAAAGTATGAAAACAAAAAAATAACAATTCTTAATAATAATAACTAAAAATTAAATATAACATTTACTACACTTATTCTTTTTCTCAAATAAGATGAAATTATTTATATAATATCATATTCGACTCGCTATTACACAATAAAAAAACAATAATCAGCACATTTAAATTTGGTTTAAAATATTTTAATGGTATAAAGTTTAGTTTCTAAACTAAAAGTTAAATTAAAGTTGAAATAGGATAACTTCATATATTTGCTTTTCTTGCGTTTTAACTATAACTAAAAATTAAGATCATTAGTTATCAGCCCATTAGTAGGTGATCACCTAATTATTACTTCAAAGTATTAAATAGACAATTAATGACTATATTACTAAATTTTATATCGATTTAAATGTTATTATTTTCAATTTAATTTATATTTTTAAATTTACTATCAATATATGGATATTTTAAAGGGCAATACCAGTATTTTTTCACTGCTCATTATAATTGGTGGCGCAGTAGTATATCTGTTGTAACTAATATAATAATGGTATTAAAAAAATAAAGGCTATTTACGATAATTTAATTAAACTATTGCGTCAAATATTCGTCCACCTGTTTGTCTGATTTCGAGGGTGGCTGTTGTGTTTTGAGAGTAACAAAATGACCATTGAAGCGAATAAAGATGAAGCTGAGAAATGCATTGAAATTGCACAAGTGGCGTTTAGATCTGGGAATATATCGAAAGCGGAGAGATTTCTGCTGAAAGCTGAAATGTTATACCCTAGTCCACACGCCAAGGAGCTTCTGGCTAGAGTTAGGGCTGCGAGTGGCTCCGGAAACGCCTCTAAAAAGACACCTCCCAGTAGCCCTAGTGCCGATGAATTACGACGAAGGAAAACTCCAAATCATCAGCCACAACAACAAGAGTACACTTCAGAACAGATGGAAGCAGTTAGAAGGATCAACACGAAATGCAAAGATTATTATGAAATACTAGGTGAGTTGAGAAAGATTTGATTATCTTCAAGGGCGCTGTTTATTCTTTGACCTAGACTTGAGAATAGTGATATAATGACCTTAGAGTTTTCCCTAATTATACTAATCATTGCAAGGATATTGAAAAGTCTATATATGCGAAAATTTTTGATAAAATTCTAATTTTGGATTCGTAAAAAAAATGACTTAAAATATATGAGCTAATTGTCAATGTAAACAATAATTAGATTTTTATTTCTCATTACGAGATTATCAGTGATGCATTTAGATATAGGAATGTACTTAAAACTGAGACAAAATTTGTTACAATTAACTATAATTGTCAAATACATTGTTAGAAAGGAAAAGTTAATATCTACTCTCTAATTCTTGTCGATTTGTTATTTAAAAGTATGCATTCAATCTCAAATATGCATGTTATAACGAAAATGAACAGCATATGCTGGTATTTCTCAGTTTCAGATGCAAGTATCATGCATGAATTGAATTAAAAGTTCCATTTTATCATTTCCAGGAGTCACCAAAGAAGCGACAGATTCAGATATTAAAAAGGCTTATAAGAAGTTAGCGCTGCAGTTGCATCCTGATAAAAATCATGCTCCAGGGGCTGCCGAGGCTTTTAAGGTAAATTATATTATATGATATAGACGTGGTGGTCTAGTGGTTAAAGGCCAGCCTCTCATGCATGGAGCCACGGGTTCGAATCCTGGCACCTACCCATGTGATTTTTCCAAGTCATATGATTTTTCCAAGTCATACTGGCTAAGAGTATTTAGACATCACTGACAGATGATGGAAAATATGAGGAAATCTGGACTTATAATATGAAATTATAAGTTTGAAATCACCAACTCGTCTTGAGCGAGCGTGGTGATTAATGCTCAAACCTTCTCCATGTGAGAAGAGGCCTTTCAGCAGTGGGCTCTGATAGGCTGATGATATTTTATGACCTGCCCTCTAATTAAAAAGAGCCTAAGTTACTCATAATTACATCACCTATCTGCCAGTGAGAGTTTTAAAAAAATCAGGCCATCTGTTGCAAGATAAATTTGAATAGAATATTATTGTAGATGTACAATGTAAATGTATATACATGTGTTATTTTAGTTTTACCCACAAACAATAGAATTTCAATTATTTTATATATTTAAAGTTGCCTGTGATATTAAAAAAGTTATTTATTATATACAGTTCAATGTACATATATTAAATTTAATTCCATAAGATTTTTGTCTGTCTGTTTGTTCCGGATAATCTCTGAAATGCTTGAATCAATTCTAAGAACATTTGATAGTCTGGTGGCTATGGTAATAAGAACTGACATATGCTAAACCAGTGTTTTTCCATCTTTGTGATATTGTGACCCGTTTACGGGTTGAATAATTTTGGTGACCCCCTTATGCTATAGACAGGCAAAGATATAATTAAATTTAAAGTATAAAGACATTCTCTGCAATGGTAGATATAAATACAAAAAGGAGAAATAAATTTTTATTACAAGTTGACTTGATAGATAATATTTCAAAGATAGCACCACAACTTGACATGCTTTTGAAAAATAAAAAAGCCCATACTTCTCATTAAAATTTGGTTTTTATTGTAGTGTAGAACTTTACCTTTTTTTGCCAGCAACCCCCCTAGTAAGTCTTCGCCTTCCCCTAGTCGCGACCCAGAGTTTGAAAAACACTGATCTAAATAATATTGTAATCCCTACTAATATTATAAATGCGAAAGTAACTCTGTCTGTCGTCTGCTACGCTTTCACTCCTAAACCATTGAACTGATTTTAATGAAATTTGGTACATACATAGAGTTGACCTTGAGAAAGAACAGGATAGTTTTTATCCCAGACTTTTGAAAGGTTCTTTTGGAAACGCGATATAACCGAACTCCACGCGGAAAGCTAGTATTTATTGCTGGGCTTAAAATGTTGAGGATAAAGAAGACACTAACTAGTTCACGATTTATTTCCGAGAGAGTACAATAAGACACACCGATTTAGATATGCAATGATTCGACTTGTATACATGATTTATATCAAAGAATATGAGATACACAGATGTGATACATTTTAGACAAAGAATATGTAACTTACTAACTGTTTACTTATACAGGGTGACTGGTGAATTACTATCAATATTTAAGGAGAATACTCGGTACATGATTCTCATTCGAATTATGTAAAAGAAATAGGCACTTAATTTTTGACCAAATTTCCGTATAAATAAATAAAGTGTGGACACGTTCCAAGTGTTCCAAGTGTGGACGCGTGCGGCGGCGTGCTGATACAACACCACGCCGCCGCGCGTGTGTGTGTGTCTACCTAATCTGTAGGGTGTTCACACGATGCGTAATTAATTACATAACTTTTGGTTAATTTTACTTAGAAGTTTATTAATATTTATGTTATATTAATTTTTATTTTGTCATATATGATCGTCAAATTTTACGTCCTCAAGTATCGATAGTAATTCACCAGTCACCCTGTATACCTATGTGCGTATACGGCACATATTCAATAAATTTAATAATCCACAGGCTATCAGCAACGCGGCGGCGATACTGACGAATCCTGAGAAGAGGAAGCAGTACGATCTCCGCGGAGACGAGCCGGCTCCCAGTCACCACCACACGTATTACGCGAGAGGATTCGAATCGGATTTGACAGCGGAGGAGCTGTTCAATATGTTTTTTGGGGCCACAGGTGGGGGGATGTCGTTCACGGGTACTGTACCTTGATTAAACACTAAATAATTACTAATTGTGGAAGAAATACCATAAAAAGTTGTTAATATAGAACATATTTCAGCTCAAACTTAATTCTGATGATTAATCTGCTTCCAATGTAGATATGTGGAATTGTTCTTATGATGAAATTTACTACAACTCACACAAAATTGGTCCTTATGAGCACAAAATATCTTTGAACTTGCCTAAGAAACTTAATCATTATCGTCTGCTTTCAGCGTTTCCGGGTGGTTCGCCCCCCGCGTACCGCCGCCGGGCCCGCGAGCCGGAGCCCCGAGACAGCCACGCGGGCCTAGTCCAGCTACTTCCGGTCATAGCCCTGGTTCTATTATCTATGATGTCCGGTTTCTTCATCAGCGAGCCAGTGTACAGTCTGGCGCCGTCACCCAAATACCCTGTGCCTAGAGAGACGGTCAACCTTAAGGTAAATATATCATCATCATCATCCTATCAGAGCCCACTGCTGAGCCTCTTCTCACATGGAGAAGGTTTGATCATTAATCACCACGCTCGCTTAAGACGGGTTAGTGATTTCAAACTTATAATTGTGAAACTATAAGTCCAGGTTTCCTCACGATGTTTTCCTTCATATGTCAGTGGTGTCTAAATACTCTCAGAAAAAAAAATGTATAGGCTATTAATTATATAGGGTGGCAACCGGAGGTTCAAGAAAAGCTACGAAATTTATACGTATATTATAATGAGAATTACATATTAAAACTTATAACCTACACCTAAGACTACATGATTGTTCCGATGTTATGATAGCAATACCATTCCATAGCTTGTGTGTATCAGGAATCTTCTGGTTCACACGCTTGGTGTTCGTTCCGCGGAGTCAGCGGCGTCACTCGTTATATATTTTACCGATACAATTTGGTAACATATCTGGTGACTGGTATGTTGTGATGATTGAGGGTTTGGGAATTATTCTATTGGTGTGTTTCTCTTGTAAAGTTAGGCACTGATTAACTTGTATTTTGATTTGATAATATCACCAAAAATTTTATAGTAATGTCCCTAAAACATAAGTAAGGTCACATTTCATTCAAATACGTCACTTCATAAAAAAACTCACTTTTCATATGAATACGTCACATTTCATACAAATTACGTGAGGTTTTATACAAAATTACGTCATATTTCACACAATTACGTCACTTTTCATACAAAATTACGTCACATTTCATACAAACACGTCACATTACAAATCTCAAAAGATTCATTTACTTCTCTTGATGTCCATTCGAACATAATAATTGACATACATTTATATTGCCTTTCATCACTATTAGCAGCATTTATATTTTATTATAAGCTAGTTAATATTCTATGGCTTTATCTGTATTTATTATTACAGGTGCCGTACTACGTGAAAGAGAATTTCCACACAGACTACCAAGGATCACTGCGGAGACTGGAAATGGCTATTGAGGAAGAATATATAGGTGATGATTAACTGCCTCTGATAGACATTCAAAGAAATCCTTGAACATTTACTATATGTAAAGTCGTGTTAGTTACACTATTTATAACTCAAGAACGGCTGTACGGATTTGGTTGAAAATTGGTGGAGAGATAGATTAGAACACAGAAAGGACATAGGATATTTAATTCTGTTCGATTTTAAAGAAAAATACTTAATGAATTCCAATAACTGGTTGTTTACGGCCTCTGTAATAGTTCGTCCGGTCAGCTATACATATATTACTAATGCCGAAATTAAAGCAGACGAAGTCGCGCGCAAAAACTAGCATAAATATCTTCCTATTATTAACCTATTGTAGACTTGCCAAAAACGTATTTATACTAGGACATGTACTTTCGCATTTTTTTGTCTCGAAAAAACCTCTCTACACAAGTTGTATGTAGCGACCTCTATGTGTCAGTATCGAACCGTTAGTAGTACATGTGTTCCGTGTACAACAACTAAACGTGATATTGGTGGTCCTAGGTATATAATAGTGTTTATAAACCCGCTCCATATAACTGGTCTATACAACACAGAACGAGTCTCTGTACAGAGGTTGTCGAGATCATCTCCGTGGATTAATGACATGAGGCGACTGTATAGCATTCCTAGCGCTTTACACAATCATTTATAGTAGCATACCTTATAAATCTATACAATTTGTATTATATATACTTTACTAGCTTTCCACCCGCTGCTTGGCCCGGAAGTTCGGTTATATCGTATTTCCAAGAGAACCTTTCAAACGTCTGGGATAAAAACTATCCATGTTCTTTCTCAAGGTCAACTCTATATCTGTACCAAATTTCATTAAATTCAGTTGAGTGGTTTAGGCGTGAAAGTGTAACAGACAGACATACAGAGTTACTTGCGCATTTATAATATTAGTAGGAATTGATTGTCAAACATATTGATGTTCAATTATATTAGATATATTCAAACAATAATATGGACCAATATAATTTGACACATTGAGTCAAATGTAATTATTATATGTACAGTTGGTCTTCGTCACGCGTGTCAACGTGAGAGGAACTATCGTGACAACGCCGCTTGGAAGGCCAGGAACTTTGGTGACGCAAGACAACACGCTGACGCTACAAAGATGAGACTACCCTCGTGCGAGAAGCTGCAAGCCTTCCAGAGATAAACACACACACAGACATACAGATATAGGCATCCTAACACACACACACACAAATATATATGGTAATGCGAGTGTGACATACATTCACACATATAAAGAAACGCATGCATTATAAACACACACAGAGACATAGGCATCTTAACACACACACACACACACACACAAACAAATATACACACTATACATGGTGATGCGAGTGTGACATACATTCACACACATATAGAAACGCATGCATTATATACACACACACACACACACACATATATATGTCCATTTACACAGACATCCAAATACACACATACATATATACACACCAAATATTGTTATGAGAGAGTGGCTGTTATACATTCACACATGCATTATAAATACAGACATATCATCGGGGATAGTGCAAATCCACGTAATTACCGTTGTATAATTCCATGTATCTACATTGATAGCAGTTTATCAGAAGAAAGTTTAAGCTGAAATATTTTCTATATTGACGACTTTTAAGGTAATTTTTCCACAATTAGTACATAATTATTTAGCTTTTAATTTATTGCTAATTATGAAAAAAATACCTAAAAAGTCGTTAATTTAGGAAATATTTCAGCTCAAACTTCCTTCTGATAATTTTCGGCCAATATATATACGCGGAATTATACAATGGCAGTTACGTGGATTTGCACTATCCCGACGATATATATACATATATATGTTCTCTAAAATTATACCAAGCCATCTTCAAATGCCCCATTCTCAGTCAAAATATTGTTTTGCGAAATACATATAAAAATAATTAACATCACTCACAACTATGACTTCGAGGAAATACAATAACTTGTTGAAGTTTTGTATTTAATGTGACCGCATTGACAACAATGGGACATAATCATAAACTTAACGTATAATTTATGTATGTTATGGCATTTATTGTAGGAAATTTTACTTACCACATGTGTGTACCAAACGAAATACTTGCAGTTTTAAGTTTTTGGATATCAACGGATCAAGACGATTTCTTTTTAAAGATTAGGAAACTATTTGACGATGATACTTCTGGTAATGTGGTCTGCAAATAGTTTTAGTATGACAAGTGTCGCCACCTATATAGCAATACTATATTTAGTTAATAATGCATGTTAGTTCCCGATATCGTCCATAGATGGCGCTTATAATAAAAATGTATTTGTTATTTAATGCCTCTAGAGGTTCTAGAAAGATTTAAAAGCTTATTCACAAATAAAAATATATTATCCTCACATATAAGTATTAATGATTTAACATAAAAATTTATCAGTCTATTGTCTGCGTATATATTTTATTAGAACATAAAGAGAAATTTATTTGTATCTAGAATTATATGGAGTTGAAACTTCTGCCGTTTCAGTGTTTATCCTTAATGGCATGGCAAACTAAATACTTACAGTTTACGCGTTAACTTGCCACATGATAATAAAAATATGGTTTTGGTTGTGAATTCGGCAGTGTTTTTGTGTTTGAAGCTAGTTTGTGGTACTGATATTCAATATAAAGTGGAACCAGGCCAAATTTAAAACATTTGATTGTATATAGCAATGAGTAGGACAAATTAAATTTTACCGACCAACTATATCGGTGAGTTTACCTCGTTAATGGGTGATAAGGATTTATTTGTTGGCATTTTGTTTGAATGGTGGCAGTATGAGTGTTACAATAAAGTCTTATTTATTTCTGTGTTCGTTTTATTTATATATTTATATACACTTAAATTTTCCTCATAGAAATCATCTCAAGTTGATGCTAATTATTAATTTTAGCTTTAATTTGTGATCAATTTCAGTAAAGAAATATTAAATTATAAATTGGTTGAAGAATATAGTTCTGAAAATGTGAAGACTCTTCTTGGTTGTTTGTTTAAAAAATTGCCTTCATATGTTTAAAGATGTGCCCAGTAGTCATGTAAAATGAAGGAGAAACTATCCGGTATTAATTTTCAAATGAAATAAAATTTAACGGCCTTAACTGAAGTAACGATTAGGAACTTTGTTAGTAGATATAAAGCAACACAAATTCAGTTATTTATTTATTTATTAAGATCCTCCAGGAGTAAATACATCTACACAATATTAGTAACAATGACAACATATAGCTTAAAACTAAATGCCTATAAAAGAGAATACCTCATGCAAATGGTAGTGGATATAAAAGGTACACGATAAAAATATGTACATTTACAAATTTATACATATGCTAATTGAAAAGTAACAAAAAAATTGATAACGAAACAATAACAATCAAATGGCTAATAATTCTAACATTTTCTTACGGAAGTTAGATGCAAACAGGACATATATACTGTACATAAAATGTAAAACTCTTTTTCTAATGCTATTTCTTCATTCGCACTGGAATCGTGGAATACTAGGCAAATGTCAACTTTTTTATTTGTTAGACGAATTATAATGTTGAGCACTGTGTGGTAATACGAAGAAGTCTGTAGAATGTAATAAAGACGATTATTTAAGAGGATATTCTTATTTACTCCACTTTTAATATAGGATAGCTGATAGGATGATAGGTGACATTTAAAAATGACAATTTATTGGCGGGAAAAAAAATCTTCGAAACTTCAAATCAAAAATCCAAATAAAGTTGTCTATACACCATAATTTATATAAATTATAATTATTAACTATTTCTCCAAATCATAAAACTAGTCTACCATGATTTGATATTTTTTTACTATAACATTTTGGCTATATTGACAGGTCATTCTTAACGAATAACGATCATATAAAAAGCGTTCAATTGATTATAACTTTAAATTACTTTCATATTTCACCCCTTCTTTTAACGTCTACAACCTACTAAAAGACTTGGGTCAGTCCAGAACCAATATCAATTAATTCTTGGAAAGTACTTCGAATTCAGCCCTGGTGGGTTCTTTTCAAATAAGGTTAGGTAGACCGTAGAGAGAGAAGCTTGTACGGTGGAGGTGAGCGTTTAACGCGTTAGATAGGGGTCCCTTAAACCTACACCTGGGTCACAAGTCACAAGTCCCAGTCACTGTTGTAACTCCTTTCCCTGTAACGATGGACCAGGCACCCGCACGGTGAATCCATTGAATAATGACAGGTTTTGTCTCTGATATAGACATAAAAGATTTTATATACATGTTTTAGTGAAAAAGTATAATCGTTAGTAATATTTTATTGGTCTTTAGTATTTATATAGTTAATCTACGAAAAGGCACGCCGTATGCGAGTATCCTATTTATTCATATTATCCGTCCAAAAAGAAAAAAACATATCAAATGTATAATTATAACGTTTTTAATTTAAAGGTAATTGAACGAATATGTAGTGTTTCCCTGTTTATGTTCAGCTTCATTCACACTGATTTTATATAATATTTTGAGACACTGGACTTTATTTGTTGAACATAATTTTGTTAATCAATATAAGTACAAGAATCATACAATATGATTTATGAAGAACCTGCCTCTATTAAATTTGAACTTAATAAAATTAAAACATTGTTAGAGAGATTGCTTTAAGAATTTATTCACTTTTTAGGATATTTTCGTCCAAATATAAAACACATTATCTAGCTTGCCTGCTTGTCTCGCTTTCCAAATTTTATTTCCTTTATTTATTTTAGAAATTCTAAAATAATTATCGTAGCATAAAACACTGAAAATATGTCATTTACAATTGACATTCCTGATCTGACAGTATAGCTAGAACTCGAAGCTAACGGGAGGCTTTAAAAATTAAAAAAAATACCGACACAGGCCAAATCGATTTGTTTACATTGTATACAAATAATATATACTTCCTTTTAATATTACTAAAAAGGTTTTTTGTGTTAAACACATGATAACAGTGAGTATATACATTTTTATTATTAACGAGCTATGAAATTTAAAACACTATTCATTCAAGAATTTTTCATCAACATTTGTTTTGCGCTATAAATATTTCGCATTGCGGATACAAAACTATTGTAAAAGTTATTCGGTTTTATTGTTATTAAACGAATAATATTCATTTATTTAACCTTACTAAATAAATTAATAAATAAATATTGTTGATATTCATTCAAAAATTAATTCTCATTATTATATATAATACGTAAGTTTTAAAGAAGTGGAGTGTTCATTATTATAAATAGTCTATATATGTGGTAGAAAATATACTTAGATAAATTATTCAATAAAAAGTTATAACATATATAAATATATATATTATAATAGTTATAAACAACATATATATTTTTTAAATCATTAAACTATACTTAGTAAATACGATCTAGTTATCTTTTAAGAGGATTTGAATTAATTGTATGATTGTGATGAAGCCATATAAATTATGTTACTCCTAATGATATCTAATTTATAAAGCTAGATCACAATGTAACAGTTCCAATCAATATATTTTTTCTATCATATATTGTAAGAGTATTCCCAAAGAGGGTTGATGTCAGGCAGGCGGCTGGTCGTAAAAATTAGCCAAAACTATTTACAACATGTTCTGTTCAAGAGAAGAACATGTTGTGACGACCCTACATAAAGTGGGACCAGGGCGGGAATATATATATTTTCTAAGAGTATATATTAATAACATAGTCTGCACATAGATTTTTGTATGAATTTCAAATGAACTATTTCCCCGCCACTTGTAACTAAATGTCACCAATAAAAAACCAGGTAAAAGGAGTGAAATGGGAAGGTTTAATAACAGTATACAGAAAAATATATAGTATTTTTTAAGAACCATCACTTAGGGTCTAACGCCTGAGAATTTTAATATTTCTATTTCACAAAACTTCTTTACAAAGCTAATTGAAAAAAGTTTTTGTAATAACTGACAAGTCAGAATAATGAAGATTTAAGTATTTATAGTATTTTCTTGTCTTATAACATGTGTATATGTAGGAATTTCTTTATACACATCGTCAATGAAGTATCAATACCTCCTAAATGTTGAGAATCTAATTTTACACCAGAAGAAAATAACTGTTTAAAAAAAAGATTTTATTTATTTTGATCAACTATTGATAATAAAATAGTTTCTAAAACATTACCTTTTTATAAGTTATGAATGGATATGTTCATATATACATTTTATATGTATTTAGTTACTTAGAAGACAAATTTAGTTACGTAGGACAAAATTGTCAGTTAGGAGGTATAAGTACTTCATCGATGATATGAATTTTCAGAAAGGGAAAATGGTTTTTATAACCAATATAGTTTGAGCTGCATAGAATGTGATTGGTTAAGTTTAAATAGTATATATGTTTATAGAATTATTAATCTTTGTTCAAGAACGACGAAGACCTATCAGATTTCATGACGGGAGCATCAAGTGCTAAAAGACTTCACTCTCAAGATGGTAGGTTCATTTAAGTCTCGGTCTACTTCGGTCTTCTTAAGTAGACCGTTTATATCGACTTAGTTTTTCACACAGCCTTTTTTAAATTAAGTAACTATATACATATATGTTTCTAGATGATCATATAAAAAATAATGCTTTTTAAATTTAAATAAAATTAACAATAGTATCTTGAACATTATGTGAATAATATTTAAAATCTTCTATTTGGGAGAGTTGATAAAAATATATGTCTGTCCTACTTTTAGTTGTAAATGCTGAATGGATTTTATAAAACTGAAATACCTACTTATTTTATCTAGAAGTAGATACTTCATCTATCTTTATTATAATGACAATATGCTTTAAAATATTTCTAGAATAGCATGTTCAATACAAGTGCTGATATTTTTAATATTAAATTACAGAAGACGAAATAAAATGTATTAAATGTACAAATTAAAATATTTTTTATATGTAAAAATAATATATATGAAACACCAAGAATCCAAATCAGAAAACTGTTTAATCAAATGAGGGTAGTCTTTAAAATGCACTCCTTAATATATTGAGTGTCATTTCGTGAGTATTGATTTATTAATTTGTACAAATGTTTGAAATTATCGAAAATCAATCAAATTCGTCCGGTAAGTGCTTATTCTGTATAAAAAAAGTTTAACAATTATTGAAATTATCTTTTTTTGATATATTTCTTTATCTTTAAACATCTTTTACCATTACTCGGAATAAAGTATAAATGAATTATTAAACTCAACTGTATATTGAATGTGTTAATGTAGTTTGCATATTTACAAATTAGGCGTTTATTACTATATTCAGAAAACTTTTCGCAATGCAGTATCAAACGTTACTTTTTTAGTTTAAATATGCAAACTTAGATTAAGGACTAAGGATTTAGTTGCTGGCATGAACTTGGCAAGAGGTTAGATGAACAGAATTCGATTTTTAGGTATCATAGGTATGATAGAACGTGGGGAGAGATAGGGCATCGTGATTGTATGTTTGTTCAAGGATACACTTGCGAGCATTGAAATTGGACCCACTATTATTGATAAGCATCTATTGATAATTTCACAATTATAATTTTGAAAACACCAACCCGTCTTGAGCAAGCGTGATGATTAATGCTCAAACCTTCTCCATGTGAGAAGAGGCTTTACAGCAGTGGGTTCTGATATGCCGATGATAAATATAGTGTCCACTTTTTCTTGCACTAAGCACATACAACTTACCCTACCTACGCTAAAAACTTGCCAAGTTGCCAACAACTATCCTCAAGTTTCATTGCGAGGATCCAAAGTATCTATCTCATCTTCAGCGGATGAACCTCCGTCCAAGAAGTCTGCTCCATCAATACGACTTCATGCCGGCTTCAAATGGAACCTGCAGGTAGGCTTTTTACCCTAGCTTTGCTCGTATTAAAACGTTCATATATCTATCTATTATTGTGACGCTATTTAAGTATTTCTTTTCAATATACTAGTTAAAATAATTGTCAGAAAGTGTCCTAATTTTATAAAATAAGAATAAAACAAACAAAATGCACCAAAAATAATATTAATATATATAAGATCTAATTTAAATGTTTTTGAATATTATACAATAAATATCTATCATTCATAAATACAGTTGTAAATCTATTAGAATTATTATAATTGAATCTACTAACAAAAAAGGTATATGCATTTGAGAATTCTATTTTTCATTGTATCTTCTTGTTTTTGATATCGGAATTAATTCAAAATCGGCTTCTCTCTCTCCCTTTCCATATATACCAGAATATATATCCAAGAATTCCTCAATCAATGTTCTGTTTAATGTCGATAATATATAACATAATACACCAAGGCGCTGGCTAAGGCCGCTGATGCTGTGGAATGCGGAGACAAATCTCCAGTGTCAGCTCTCAATGAGCTCGGTGTCCGAGTGTCCTACACCGTTCTGCGACACTCAGGCCCAGCACATTGTCCAAGCTTCACTGTGGCCGTCACCGTGAGTATTTTTTGTCATAATTTTTGGTCCATAGATTTATAAGTCCTAATTTTCTAATACATGCGAAGTTTTGATTCTAAATTATCACTTATTCTATTTGTATGAAGCTTTAAACAAATAATATATGAACAAAATTATAATAATCAATTGATAGCCTAGCAAAACATAGTAGTATTCTTTAATTCTATTTATATATAAATTCACTAGAACTGATCTGTTTTATAGCGTGATATGTAAGAGAATTGAATTATCTTTGTATTTAGTAGGTTTCACATCAGAATGTGGTTCTTTTGATTTAAATCGTAAATGATATATAAAAAATTCTTCGATTCGGTCCAATATTTTTGTGACACCTCCTTATGTATGTTTGCTATTATATTTTAAAAGAAAATCCACTCGCAAAATTCAAGGTGGCAGACATGACGTTTGAGGGCTGGGGTCATAGTAAACGCGAGGCGCGTGCATCTGCCGCCCGTGCGTGTTTAGGGGCGTTATTAGCGCGTGCGGGGAGAGTATTAGGCGCTCCCGGGCCACAACCCGACTTCACCAGTGACGAACCACCAAAATTTCCTGGTAAGTTAAATTTTTTCCTCTTTTAAAACACATTAACTTACCTATATATTGCTCTTAGTTAAATGTTTAGTCCACAATTATTATATTGGTTTTCAAAGCCACTATCGTAATTTTTATCAACTAATTTGTGTAACAAACTTAATATTTATTATTTATTAATTCTTTATTGCACCCAATTCTAAAACTAAAAAAATAACATTTTCGTTACTGTATATTAGTTGCATGAGGTGCAACAGGCGGAATAATTAACAGTAATATTAATATTACTGTTAATTATTGAAAATTGCTATCAATATGAATATTTAACTTCATAGGATTTTCAATCATTAATAATAACTTATAAGTGTGTATATATTTTCTATAGTATCGGAGTTTCAATGCTTGGAAACCAAGATTCAGCAACAGGAAGCGAACAACAAACCATCACCGCCGCCCGGTGAGCTCATCATTATTCATCACCAATAATAATATATCAAGAGTAAACCAAAATAATAATATTTTAATGAGATCTTAGACTTTTGCGAGTATTTATTTAAATGAAACTAATATTTTTGGATCACTACGCGCTATTATATTATTTTAAAAACTACATACTCCCAATGTTTCGGTTACTTTGCAGCAACCGTGATGAGTTGAGATGAGTTCTCGTCTTAGTGATCACGATTGCTGTGAAGTAACCGAAACATCGGGACTATGTAGTTAAAATAAAAAAATACGAGCAATAAATCCGAAAATATATTACTTTCATTTAAACATTATATAAAAGATTTTGATCTTAATACAAGTCATTTTAAAGGTTTACGTCTTGGAATTTCTTCCAAAATGTCCTGGTTATTCAGACTTGTTTACTTACAATCTATCCGACCAGAAATAGTATTTGGGAAGGGTAATACACAGATATACAGGGTGACTGGTGAATTACTATCGATATTTGAGGACGTGATATTTGACGATCATATATGTCAAAATAAAAATTAATATAACATAAATATTAATAAACTTCTAAGTAAAGTTAACCAAAAGTTATGTAATTAATTACGCATCGTGTGAACACCCTACAGATTAGGTATACACACACACACACACACACTCGCGCGCGGCGGCGTGTTGTTGTATCAGCACGCCGCCGCACGCGTCCACACTTGGAACACTTGGAACGTGTACACACTTTATTTATTTATACGGAAATTTGGTCAAAAATTAAGTACCTATTTTTTTTACATAATTCGAATGAGAATCATGTACCGAGTATGCTCCTTAAATATTGATAGTAATTCACCAGTCACCCTGTATATAAAGAACACAGAAAACACAACACCACAACTGATTGTAGACCCAATAACAGTATAATTATTACTCCAAAACTCACAAACTCGTCGTATCTTATTCTATCTCATCGTATCTCATCGTTCCCAATAACGGTATAATTATTACTCACACACTCACAAACTCATCGTATCTCATCTTATCTCATCGTTTAATCCTTCAAGGTCTTTTCGGCGCGTCTGTCGTCCCAGTTCATAAGAGCCCCATAAACACTTTGTACGAGAACTACCCCGGACTGACGTTCACATGCACTTATGGAGATGGCACGCCATTAAATGCACCACAAGGTAAGCTAAGGTATAGGTAAGGTAAAGTCCCTTCCCAAAAAGACATTAAACTAGCAATTTATATATATACTAGAAGACCCGGCGAACTTCGTATCGCCCTATAATCAAGAAATATCTAATGTCAAAAAAAGTTTGTATCAACAACTACTAATAAATTAAAAAATAATTAAAAAAACATTGTCCAACGGACAAAATTGTGAATCTAAACCATTCCCAGATCCCCGTGAACACACACAAAAAATTTCATCAAAATCAGTACAGTCCTTTGAGAGAAGTTCAGTGTCATGCACACTCACAGAAGAATTATATACAGGGTGACTGGTGAATTACTATCAATATTTAAGGAGAATACTCGGTACATGATTCTCATTCGAATTATGTAAAAAAAATAGGCACTTAATTTTTGACAAAATTTCCGTATAAATAAATAAAGTGTTGACACGTTCCAAGTGTTCCAAGTGTGGACGCGTGCGACGGCGTGCTGATACAACACTAAGCCGCCGCACGCGTATGTGTGTGTGAGTGTATACCTAATCTGTAGGGTGTGCACACGATGCGTAATTAATTACATAACTTTTGGTTAACTTTACTTAGAAGTTTATTAATATTTATGTTATATTAATTTTTATTCTGTCATATATGATCGTCAAATATCACGTCCTCAAGTATCGATAGTAATTCACCAGTCACCCTGTATATAAAGATTTTTTGTGTGTGGAACAGTCAGAAAGAGCCTTTTCTGGACTGCACGTTCATTCTTTTAATAAAGCTTTACTATCACTAAGAAAATAAAATTTGAATTTTATCCAATATTTTTATATGAAAGAAAATTTATTTAAGGTTGATACCTTAGGTAATTAACCTATCCGGCGTCGGGACGTGACGACCCCATCGCCCACTGGTGTATTCCGGTGCAATCAGTCACGGGGGGGAGGGCTGGGGGTACAGCCCTGGGAGTAAGACGGTCACGGATCTGGCAGGAGGCCGTCCGTGGCTGTCTTGGGGGGAGGGGATACTCGGGTCTCTCCGGAGGCCTGAGTTCGCTTGTGGTCGGTCGGTTTCCTCTCTGTCTGCCGTCGGGCGCTTGCGCTCGTCGGTGGGTGGTTGGAGACTGGCCGCGTGGGCTTGGGTGGGAGGGGTAAGGGGTTAACCCTCTCGCGATTAAGCAAGCCCGCCAGGCGGGGGGACACTCCTGGTCACTTGGAGTGAGCCCTCGGGGGGGGGGGGAGGTGGCCGTTCGCGGCCCGCCGCCGGATCGTCGCGGATGCATGCTTCGGCGTTTCCCGTGGCGATCCACTTGGCGGCAACGGAGAGTGACCGCTGGTGTTTTAGTGGGTAACATGGGCCCTTCTGGCCGTGAATCCCACATAACCGCCTCTGTCTCCCCTAGACGGAGGGGTAGGTATAAAACCTTTCACCGCGATAACAAAAAAAAAAAAAAAAAAAAAAGGTAATTAACCTAGGTATTGGTCAAATACTAGCTTCTTTTCCTAGATATTCCAACAAATAATTTTGGGAAATTATAGGAAGTTGATTAATGCGAACAATTTTACATCTAAGTCATTTTTCATTATTGCCAAAAATTTTAAGTCTAAATATTTTTTTTGTCCTTATTTCAGCTCCAATGCAGCTCAGCCATAGCATGAGGTTCAAGGTCGTCTGTCAGATAAAAGATAAGAGATTTGAAGGTTACGGTATGTAAAATATTTTAATACAAAACTATCCTTTTTATAATAAGTCCTTTTTCATCTGAAAATGTCCATAGGGAGTTACATATATGCAAAATTTTTCGAAAATCCGATATGAATTTACAAAAGATATTTTTTTTTCCATACACAAGTTTATATTCCGATTTAATTAGATCAAAAATCATTTTCAATTATAATAATGACATGTTTAATATAAATATAACAAATTCCACATTCTTCGTTCTTAAATATGGGTACTGTATATATTGATTGTAATTATAAATGCCCAAATATATATGATTCTATTTAACAATATAATATATAATACAGTTTTATCATGAAATATAGTACCATAATGTTACATACATGTTCTCTTGTGGATAAAAGTTTAATGATTCGATCAGATTCTATTTGATCTCTAACTGACCTTCAAAGTCAAGATTTTTTCATAGACGGTAATCCGGCCCTTTAGACCTCAGTATCAAATATTTCTAAAAACGAATGTCCACCCTCACTTAATTATGCTAAACTTATTTATCTGTAATACTAAAGTAGCCATACAAAAAACAAATGTGAGATTAAACCTCGTTGAATGTCGAATAATATTAGTGCATCACCCGCCAGGCTCGAGTAAGAAGCTCGCCAAGCTAGCGGCGGCCCGCGTGGCGCTAGGCGAGCTGACTCACGTCATTAAAGATGCCAATGAACAGTCGCGAGCGCTAGCACTGCCACAGCTTTTGGCTGATCATGTCGCTAAGTTAGTCTAATTCTGATTTTTTTCTCTTTCTCTCTTTCTTGATTTTCCTTCTTCCCTACAAAGAAAATTTTCTTTAAATTCTTTCCCATCTTTTTTTTCCTTATCTCTGTCCTTTTCTCTCTCTACCTAGTTATACCCTTCATTTCTATTTCCAATCAAATTATTAGCCAAATCTTATTTAATAACACTAGTAATACGTCAATTACTAGATCTATTTTGCCTTGAATTTTAAATATATTTTATTAGTAAAATAGATAATTGTCATATGTACTTATCTGAATATGTTTAAGGTAAATTAACTACCAAAAAAAAAAAAAATACCAAATAATTTTTCTTTACACAAGCTGCTGAGATATTTATAATTTAAAATTAAAACTAAAAATTTCTTTCACGCACATTACAACTCTTTTATCAAACACAAAATCAATGAATAATCAATTTAATAAGGAATATAATATCATAATATATAATATATATATGTTTCATATGTTAAGATTGGTGAATGAGAAGTTTAATGAACTCATGAAGGGAGATGCGACTCATTCAAGACGGAAGGTGTTAGCCGGTATTGTCATCACTATTGACAATAAGATAGAAGGAGCTAAGGTATGTACTAGTATAGATGAGATATAGATAGATAGATGAGATATAGATACTGTTATACTAGATAGATGAGATATAGATACTGTTATAATAGATAGATGAGATATAGATACTGTTATACTGGATAGATGAGGTATAGATAAAGGATATTATCGTAACTCACATAGTATTTTACTTCAATACTACCAATTTTATTGTAAAATCCCTACTAATACATAATATACATGCGAAAGTAACTCTGTCTGTCTGTTACGCTTTCACGCCTAAACCACTGAACTGATTTTAATGAAATTTGGTACAGACAGAGTTGACCTTAAGAAAGAACATGGGATAGTTTTTATGCCAGACTTTTGAAAGGTTCTCTTGGTAACGCGATATAACCGAACTCCACGCGGGCGAAGCTGCGGGCGGAAAGCTAGTATATAATAAGACTTACAAATAATATAATTGTTGTAATAATGTATTATGTATAATAATTCCAGGTGATAGCTGTCACTACTGGGACTAAATGTGTCTCTGGCGAACACATGTCAGTAAGGGGGCGGGCTGTTAATGACTGTCATGCTGAGGTGAGAGGGGGGGGGGGGGATAAAGGGGGCGTGGCTTATGAAAATGGAGGGGGGGTTATAATAATAATCATTTATTTCAGACCATATTACATAGATATAGTGTTAGTATGTTACAAATTAAACTCAATAAATGAATTGATTAGTAAAATTACAAGAGCAAAGCAAAGGCAATTTTATTTATGATACTTTTTTTTTAATTAGTTTTAAACTACACATATATTTTACTTGACTACGTGGACTAAAATTAGTTAATCCAACAATGAATAATGTTATAAAAGAGCATTTTTACTAAGAGAATAATCTAGATTGTTTTAGAGTATGATAAAAGTTTAATTTTATTTCAGGTTGCAGCGAGAAGGTGTTTTCAAAGACATTTATACGCCCAGTTATTAATGTACGCAAATTCTGAAGGTTAGTGAATAGTTTGGTTTAATATATATAAAGTTTTTAGTTATGTGGTATATGAATAATGTTTAGGATTCACAAAAAAGGTTTTTATATTTCATGCTTTTGAAGATTTTTGTTTCTAGATTAATGATGAAATATATATACATATAGTTATATTTTAAATGAAATCTGTCTGTTTGTTACTTATCTATGTACTGCACGGATTTGATATGAATCTTTATATGTATCTGAAATATATATGTAAATATTAAATAAATCCTTACTAATATTATATATGCGAAAGTAACTCTGTCTGTCTGTCTGTTACGCTTTCACGCTTAAACCACTGAACTGATATTAATTTGGTACAGACAGAGTTGACCTTGAGAAAGAACATAGGATAGTTTTTTCCAGACTTTTGAAAGGTTCTCTTGGAAACGCGATATAACCGAACTCCACGCGGGCGAAGCTGCGGGTGGAAAGCTAGTAATCTATATACAGGGTGACTGGTGAATTACTATCGATATTTGAGGACGTGATATTTGACGATCATATATGACAAAATAAAAATTAATATAACATAAACATTAATAAACTTCTAAGTAAAGTTAACCAAAAGTTATGTAATTAATTACGCATCGTGTGAACACCCTACAGATTAGGTATACATACACACTCACACATACGCGTGCGGTGTAGTGTTGTATCAGCACGCCGCCGCACGCGTCCACACTTGGAACACTTGGAACGTGTCAACACTTTATTTATTTATACGGAAATTTTGTCAAAAATTAAGTGCCTATTTTTTTTACATAATTCGAATGAGAATCATGTACCGAGTGTTCTCCTTAAATATTGATAGTAATTCACCAGTCACCCTGTATAGACCTGAGCGAAGATGTTTTATTAATAAAGTATAATATGTATCTTCAAAATATTTTCGTTCCTTTATATTAGAATATATTAATCTGACCAAAGACAGTGGTGTCCTAGTAGTTAAAAGGCCCGCCTCTCATGCACGAGGGCGCGGGTTCGATCCTGGCAAGTACCAACGTAATTTTTCCGATTCATATGTACTTATAAGAGCATTTAGACATCACTGATTAATGCATTCCCAAAGATCGTTGATGTCATGCTACCGGTCGTAAAAACAATTAGCCAAAACTATTCACAACGTGTAAGGCGGACCCTGGCTGAAGCTGGGAAATTGCCAGGCAGAATATATAAATCTGACCATTACTCTTATTCCAGACCCATCAGTTCTCATCCCGGATTCAGACCTGGAGCCGGTTCCAGGTGGTGGTTACCAGCTGAAACCTGACAGACAGATACACCTGTACGTGTCCACCGCGCCCTGCGGAGACGGCAGGATCTTCAGCCCTCACGAACACCATGATACTGAACCTGATAGACATCCGAACAGGTCTTATATATATGTACATATAAATATACTAGAAGACCCGGCGAACTTCGTATCGCCCTATAATCAAGAAATATTTGTTACGTTTTTATTTATATTTTTTGAGTTTACCTATTAAAGCCATAAATCTCCGTGTTTTGAAGTGCGACAGAATGATTGTCATATTAGTTAGTTGTGAAATCTAATGTCAAAAAAAAAACTCATAACTCATCAACGGCTGAACCGATTTAGCTAAAAATTGGCAGTTAGGTAGTTTAGAGCCAGGAGAAGGACATAGGATAGGATTTTTTATCCGATTCGACAGCATTCCCGTGTGATTTGGCATGAAACGTCAGTCACTATAAAACGTGGTACAACAAAAAATAATCAGACTTGGAATAACAAAACGCAAATGACAGCTATGTAATTGACGTATAGTGACAGATATGTAATGACGTATGGATGACAATTTGATATTTGTAAGAAATCTATATATGTATATAAAAATGAAGTGCTGTTCTTTAATGTCACTAAAACTCGAGAACGACAACGGATTTATCTTATCTTAGTCTTGAAACGTTCGTGAAGGTTCAGGGAAAGTTTAAAAGCTGAAAAAAATTGATTCATTTCCGGGAAAACCCTAAAAACAGCCCTTTTCTATTTCCCATACAAACGTTTTTTTGACATTAGATTTGACAACTAACTAATATGTCAATCATTCTGTCGCACTTCAGAACATTGAGGTTTATGGCTTATAGGTAAAATCCAAAAAAAAATACATAAAAATTATTTATTTATCGATTGAGGCAGTACGAAGTCTGCCGGGTCAGCTAGTTTATATAAATGATATTTATAAGCAAATTTACATATCATATTCCTTAAACCCACTTTTTAACGCATAATGGCTTATATACATTATTTAAGAAATTAGTAGGTTTACAAAAAAGTTTATCAATCTTAAATGACGTACATGTATGTCATAGTTGCTATTCAAAGTTTCAAAAGCTTCAGTTGTATGTACAAGATACATCGATATCAAACTTAAAACGCCTCTACTGAACAATTGTCATTTTGCACATTGGCCCTTATACATAGGAGACATGAATATATTACATAATGACTCCACAATCGACGTCATACTTTCTTATCTCCCACTCATTCTCTATAATTTTTTAATTTAATTAATATAATATTTTTCCCCATACATATTTGATTAGAACTAACTTTATATGTGTGCATATACCTAAGTACTTGCGCCTGCGCATGTGATCCTCGTTCTCTGTGTATGTGTGCACACTTATGCATAAATATATATGTGAGTAAAGACAATAATGAATTCTTATGTTATCTAAAATATATAAATTTTGTGTCATTAATTTGGTCATACTCGTAAACATAATAATTAAAATCCCTTTAATATTAAATGTATATGTATCATTTATATGATATTATGATGTCATCTAAAACATAATTATTCATAGATTGGCGCGCGGTCAGCTGAGGACGAAGATAGAGTCTGGTGAAGGAACTATACCGGTGAAGAATAGCACTAATATTGTGCAGACATGGGACGGAGTTTTGCAGGTGATTAGAGAATATATAGATATACAGGGTGACTGGTGAATTACTATCGATACTTGAGGACGTGATATTTGACGATCATATATGACAAAATAAAAATTAATATAACATAAATATTAATAAACTTCTAAGGAAAGTTAACCAAAAGTTATGTAATTAATTACGCATCGTGTGAACACGTGTGTGTGTGTGTGTGTCATTCCTGGACGTCAGCTTCCTGTGTACAAAATTTTATCAAAATCGGTTCACCCGTTTGAGCGTGAAGAAGTAACAAACATACACACACATACACACACACACACACACAAACTTTCGCAATTATAATATTAGTAGGATTTTTATGTATCTTCTTCTTCCTGGCAATTTCCAAGCTTAAGCCAGGGTCTGTCTTACATGTTGTGAATAGTTTTGGCTAATTGTTTTTACGATCGGCCGCCTGTCTGACATCAACCCTCTCTGGGAATGCATTAATCATTATTTAATTAATTAATTAAATAATGCATTAAATTAATTTTTGTCTATATGTATATTTGATTTAATTAATATCCTAAACAACTGCATTGTTTTTGATCAGACTTTCACTGGTAAATAACTGATATTACCAAGTTTAGTCTATATTCCTGTTATATATAAAAAATAAGGATAAATTTAACTATTTATATATATGTATATATTTATTTTAACATCTAAATCTTATTTTTATGAAACCAATAGAGGAAACCTATTATATTATCCCTACTAATATTATAAATGCGAAAGTAACTCTGTCTGTCGGTTTGTTACGCTTTCACGCCTAACCCACTGAACTGATTTTAGAGAAATTTGGTACAGAGATGGAGTTGACCTTGAGAAAGGACATAGGATAGTTTTTATCCCAGACTTATGAAAGGTTCCCTTGGAAACGCGATATAACCGAACTCGACGCGGGCGAAGCTGCGGGCGGAAAGCTAGTTATTTATAGTACTCTGTGTTACCAATTAAAGTCTTTCACTTCTATATTATATTACTCTGTGTCACAATCATAATTTTAAGCCTCTGTATAACATTAATCTGTGCATTAAATATGTTTCTTTTATCAGCCTCTGTGTTTTATTACTCTGTTCCAGGGAGAACGTCTTCTAACTATGTCATGTTCAGACAAAGTCGCCCGCTGGTGTGTGGTCGGCCTACAGGGGGCGCTACTGTCTAGACTCATGAGACCGGTCTACTTGAACTCACTAGTGCTTGCCTCCCTGCTTCACACTCATCATTTGTACCGGTTAGTGATGAACACACACACACACACATATCGACATGTCAAATATGATTTTAAAAAATGTGTACTTTTGTGATAAACATACATACAAATACTTGTAGCATATGATGTATCATTCTTAAAGAAGAATAAATTTGTTAATTATATAGCAACAGTAATATAAATACATACTCATTGAAATGTGCAGAATATATATATGTGTGTATTAACACAATACTTACATAATACACACACATATACACATTCCTACTATAATAAATACAAAGACGAATATCCAATTATTGCACAGTGATAACATGAGATACAATGAGATAAATATTATTAATATATCGGTATATATTTGATATAGTTTATAATAATATTAATTAGAATGTTTGCTTATTATTCAAAACACTGCTGAATTTATCTGGATATAATTTTGCTCAATCTATAGATCCATGGAGCGGAATACATTATGTAAAAACTACTAAATAATATGTTTATAGGTTAATAGGAACAAATAAAACAACGTATAAATTCAGTCTAGTCTTAAACTAATTTTATTCATTCTAAAGAAAACGGTGACTTCGCTCTCGTACTCAAAAAGTAGATACCTCTTGCGCTGCAAAATTACATATAAGTATATAAAAATAAAATTTTGTACTTAAAATGGCGTTTAAAATGTCAATATATAATAAAACTTATTTAGTAAACTAACAGGAAATTGAACTTATTATCAATTATTTTGCTAAATGAATTTATGGTCCAAATTGTAACAAAAAATTATATATAGTCATTTTTATGAATTAACTTATTTCTTATGTGGTTATAGTAATTTTGTTTTCTAGTCCTAGTAGTTTTTTGATGAATTCTATGATTTTTGATCCACTGTTGATTTCTATGGTGTATTTTATCGGTGTTTGAAATCCAGGTGTTGATACGAAGTTCTGTTCTTTGATGAAGTGGTTCAGTTCTAAGTTTGAAGTTTTTATTATAGTGCTAATCTCTCTAACAGCTGTAAATGCTGGAATTATTCTATTCTTGTACTTCCATAGAAAATCTATTATTTTGTAGATTTTGTTCTCTTTTCCATTGAATATCGCAAATCTTTTCTGTCTCAGCTTTTTGTTGCTTGATTTTTTGTTATTTTTGTTATGTATATTTGTGATTACTTTGTTTGCTATTAATTTTTGGTCAATTCTACCAAAATCGTTGGATTTATATTTCATCATAAATCTGATGATATTAGAAAGTAATCTATCTACTTTCTTTGCTTTTGACTGTCCCTTAATAACTTGCTCGTGGTCCATTAAATAGAAAACGTAATAATCTTCCATTTTCATCTTGATACCTGCAAAGAAAAACCCGGGTGCTATACAAATTAACGTGCAAAATGTAGTGCATATTATACATAGTGCAAAAAAGTCATAACCCATTTATGTGAGTTTAAAAGTTCAGTGCGTTTTCTATTATTATGCTAATCAACTTCAAATTGAAAAGAAAATTGTATTTTCATTTCCGAAAGTAATAATTGAGTTTTGTTTTGTATGGCTTATTAGAAGAAATCTTTTTTATATCTTTGTCTAGCAAACATTATGTACTGAAATATCTATTTTAATATTTTAATATAATAATTTTGAATTTTGTTTCTATGCAAATTAAGAGAATCCATATACATGCAAAGACAATCCATATAGATGCAAATTATATTTTATATTTAAAAAAGTGCATAACAGGGCAGCTCTAGTGCATCAATCAAAACCCACAAAATGTAATAGTTAAAAGTCGTGAAGATAACTAAGATTCGTGCTCTTGATAACTCTAAGCCGAGGTTGTGCCGTAGCTAAAATTATTTGAGACAGAAATTTCGGTGCGATTTCTAAGTATAGAGAAAAGTCACCAAAAACCTCACAAAAAAATCTCAAACATACGTTCTATTAACGGCAAGGCCCATGTGGGTAGTTGGTTCTCCAGCGCAGTAACCATTCTCGTAATCTCTGTACGATCCGCAACGCGTTGCCACGAAACTATATGGTCTTGTTACGGACTCCGTAAAGAACATGTACGAACGCCAGTGACTGCAGAAAACTGGTTCATACGAAAAAATGACATCAAAATGAGTTATACTCTGACATTGAAAATATAGCGAGAATTTAAAGTCCAAATATGACCAGTTATAGTTTTGCTATACCCAGAAATAACTTGATGGGTGTTAAAGAAATGTTGAGGTTTTGGGGATTACTTATACATATCTGCAAATTATCCTAATGTGTAATATGTACCATGATAAAGAAATCTAAGATTTTCGCGAGCATTCCTCCTAATATTATAAAAGCGAAAGTAACTCTGTCTGTCTGTTACGCATTCACGCCTAAACGACAGAACTGATTTTAATGAAATTTGTTACAGAAATAGTTGACCTTGAGAAAGAAGATAGGATAGTTTTTAGCCTAGACTTTTGAAAGGTTCTCTTTAATACGCGATATAACCGTACTCCACGCTGGCGAAGCTGCGGGCGGAAAGCTAGTTGATAATAAAACTAATATTTTTCGGATTTATAACGAGTACTCATCTCGTCTGTCCGTGATCGCGGTTGCTGCAAAGTAACCGAAACGTCGGGAGTATATAATTAAAAATAATTATAAACCCGTAGTTGGTCCCAAGAATATTATCTTCATTTCAATGTACCATATTTGGTGTATTTACGTACCGTCAAATAGCAATTGCTGTTGTGGCACCACATTTTCCAACTCACAGCCCGGCTGTGGGCTTATGCCACCATTAGGGTAGAAGTCTACATGACCTACCGGATCTTTGAAACCTGGAAGGTAGAAATTGATTTGAACAAGAAGTTTCATCAAGATTCTAGATTATCCTATGTCCTATTAATGGCACTGCACTTAAATTCTAATCCTAAATTAACTGTTTAACTTGTTGCTTGAATTTAATTTCACCAAAAAATAGAGTATTTATAAAATAATAATTTCTTTAAGATTTTCGCGGGTTTTATTCATTTAAATGAAACTATTAGTTTTCGGATATACTACGCGACTTTATTATTGTCAAAACTACATAATCCCGAAATTTCAGCTACATCTCGTCTGCCCGTGATCACGGTTGCTGAAAAGTAGCCGAAACGTCGGGATTATGTAGTTTTGGACAAAAAAAAAGCCGCGTAGTATAATCTGATAAATGAATTCTTTAATAAAATCGTCAAATAATTTTGTTTATCAAACGAGATACTAACCAAATATCCCCGCATCTGTATGTATAGCGTCGACAAATTCCGCATCCGAGGGGTCAAGTCGTTGTTTCAGAGGTAGTTTGTTGAACAAGGGTAGGGCTGCGTCTAAACCAGTGATACGGGATACTTTACCTAAAGATACATTTTATTTATTTTATTTCATTTAAAATGATTTATTGCACAACACATGGAAAAAAGGGGAAATACAAATCATAAAATAAGTACATGGTGCGAAAAGGCGGTCTTATCGCTTTTGGTGATCTCTCAATACATATGATATATACCGATATATATGGGTTACTTTTAGTATATGAATATGTTAGAGTCTTAAGGAATTTGGCAACGATAGTCCAAGTTTTGACCAGAAAGTAGAAGAATAATGAAAATCAAACATCATCTATGAATGAAAACATGAGCTTATAAATATCTATGTGAAATCTGTTCCATTCACAAAACAAATTAAGAAACTATGTACTTAAAGAAATATAATGTAATTCCATATATTGCGAATTAGAAATAGGTGAAAAACGAGATAAGTTACTTCATACCAATCAAGTACTCTCAAAATTAATCCCTAAAAATACTATTACGATATCCCGACTTCACATGCAATATCAAAATCCTTTCTCATTACCATTCTAGCTTACAACAGAATTACGATAATCACTTTCCTTCTATAAGAACTAATGTGTATTGACATAATTACTCAGTAAATTGGAGCGTAAAATTATATGCATGTGATTAAACAGTGAAAGTAAAAAATACCTGATTGTATTGAACCACCAGCGACGCCGGCTGACTGAGCTCCAAGACTATGACCGATTAGGTGGGTTCTTGATAATTTTAGCCCTCTGAAAATTGGGGAATATTATTACTATTCAAATAACATAGGTTAGTGTTTACCAATAATTCTGTTAGAGAGACGAAACCTCTTAGCATTCAATGTATTCTCTTTGCGTGTGTCGGGTCCATCGTTGTAGTGAGAGGAGCTTCGACAGTGTCTGGGACTTGTGACCCAGGTGTAGGTTTAAGGGGCCCCTTAATTAACGCGCGTCAAACGTTCACCTCCACTGTCCAAGCTCCTCTCCCCACCTAACCAAATTTGAAAATAACCTACTAGGGCTGCCTTCGATGTGCATTCCAAGAATGCATTAATGTGAGATCTGGACAATTATATTTGAAACTACGGAACGAAAACATCATAGATATGAGGAGGGATTATGTGTTGATAAATTCTTTATTTTATATTTTCTTATTTTAATTTAACTTCTAGTCTAACATTGCTTTAATGTTCAAAAAATGGTTGTACTCAAAATTTTATTGCCTGGCGCTTTTTGTTGTGTTCGACTTAAATATACAATAATATATCATAAAAATATATCTCTAAATGATAACGGTAGTATCACTGAAATTCTTATTTCAACTGAAAGTTTTTCTCGCTATGATTACTGACCAAGTTTTAGAACCATCCTCATATGATTATCGCAAGGAAACTTATGATCATACGGATTCTTCTCTTCTTCTTCTACCTGGCAATTTCCCAGCTTTAGCCAGGGTCTGCCTAGTTGTGAATAGTTTTGGCTAATTGCTTTTTACGACCGGCCGCCTGCCTGACATCAACCTTCTTTGGGAATGCATTAATCAGTGATGTCTAAATACTCTTAAAAAGTACATATGACTCGGAAAATTCACATTGGTACTTGCCAGGATCGAACCCGCGCTCTCATGCATGAAAGGCGGGCCTTTTAACCACTGGGCTATTACTGATTTATAGGGTACATTTTTCTTTTGCTTAACAAAATACGGTTGTTTATTGATTTACCTTGACACCAGATAGTCAATGAACAATGCACCAATTCTTCCTATGTACCAAGTATTTTCCGCCGCCCTGATGTACCAAGGACCTGCTTCTAGGGTCTGCGCGTTAACTATGATAACATTCGTGTCTCCTCGTGGTACAAACGCTGTAAATTTAATGAGGGTAGAAGATAAGTAAGGAAATCTAAGATTTTCGCGATATTTATTCATTTAAATGAAAATAATATTCGGATATACTACGTGACTTTATTTTTGTTACTATCTTGTCTAGTGACATCTCGTCTGCCCGTGATCACGGCTGCTTAAAATGAACTAATGTTTTTCGCATGTACTAAGCGACTTAATTTTTGACTATAAACTACATACTCCCGACGTTTCGGTTACTTTGCAGCAATCGTGATCATTAAGACGAGATGTGAGTACTTCTATTTCTTAGTATATTTAAAATATTATTACAAAATTGATTACCTAGTCATAGTTAGGTTTAGGTTTAGGTTTAGAGATGATTTATTTCCCATTAAGAACAAAGTTCACTTACATAGGAAACTTAAACTGGTAACATAATAATAAACATTTATAAAGTTAATGGTGACCTTATTTATACAAACATTCAAACCAATTACAAAGTTTGACAGTACGTTTTCAATCAGCCTTAAATTTCAAAAAAAGATTTGTCGTTAAATACTATAGTATTTAATAATATAGTTCTATTTTTAATACAAATTAATATAAAATCAATAAGAATCTCTTAATACGAAGATAGATACTAGTTTCCAATATTAATTTTACCTTCTCTTAACCACAATACGCTTCCATCATCTGGTGTTTCCATGAAGGCGTGGAAGATGATAACTGTGTGATCATTGAAGTCGATGTTTGACGCGTAAAGACGCTCGTCATCATTTATCAGCAGGCCTTGAGCTGCTGTTGGGTTGTGTCTAAGAAAACGAGGGTAGAATGAAAACACTTAGAATTATATCATACTAGTAAACCTTGCGAACTCCGTTTCGCCACCAGAAAGCTTTTATATAACACTAGCTTTCCGCCCGCAGCTTCGCCGCGTGGAGTTCGGTTATATCGCGTTTCCAAGAGAACCTTTCAAAAGTCTGGGATAAAAACTATCCTATGTTCTTTCTCAAGGTCAACTCTATCTCTGTACCGAATTTCATTAAAATCAGTTCAGTGGTTTAGGCGTGAAAGCGTAGCAGACAGACAGACAGACAGACAGACAGAGTTACTTTCGCATTTATAATATTAGTAGGGATTTCGTTTGGTGATTAAAAGATGAAGAACTTTTTGTTTTATATTTGATAAGGAAAATTTTTATTTCATTTCACAACAGTAATGAATTCATTTCGATTACAAAAATGAAGTGTTATTTAGTTGAACTACTCTAAGTAAATGAAAGTGAATCCAAAGTAGATACCGAATCGAAGCGTTATACGTGTCCGCAAATTATCCGTTTCATTGAAGTGCTCCATTGTAAACCACATTTTTTGTTTTTTGGTCTAACTTTAACACAAATAAAGCGTATGGTTTCCAAACTCGAGAACATACAAAATATAACTGCCCATGTGAAAAACAATGATTTTCTAAATTTATCCCGCAAATACTAAATGGTTTTAAGAGTTCAAACTACAAACACATTACCTAAACATTTTTATTTTTATATAGTAGATTTCTTACAAATATCTAATTGACATCCATACGTCATTACATATCTGTCATTATACGTCAATTGCATAGCTGTCAATTGTGTTATTCCACGTTTTATAGTGACTGACGTTTCATGTCAAGTCCCACGGGAATAGTGTCGAACGGGATAAAAAGTATCCTATTGCAATTTCCTGGTTCTAAACTACCTCCCTGCCAATTTTCAGCTGAATCGGTTCAGCCGTTCTTGGGTTATAAGTGAAGTCACTAACACGACTTTCTTTTATATATATACTAGTCAAAATAAAATAAGGGCCACCATGTTTTTTTAGTGTATTAAAAGAAATATGGGATTTAGGGATATGAAAATGATTAGATTAAATTATTTAATCATTTTTTAATGTAAAGAGCAGCAAATATTGTTTTATTACTCCAAAATTAACATCCCTTTCTTTTTTTTTGGAAAAATCGACTTTTTAACCTAAAACGCACAATATGAAAAAAGTGTCTTATTTTAAAAAAAACTGAACATTTGTTGAAATTTTTATTTTTTTCAGTAACGTGTGTCCTCCCCTTTTTTAAACACATTCTTCAAGCCTCGAAGGCATACTCTCCACCAGGTGTCGTATTGTCTCCTGAGGGATTTGTTCCCAGCTTGTCTTTAACACGTTGAGGAGGTGTCGTTCGTTAGTTACCGGTTGATTTGTGTCACGAACGCTTTTTTTAAATAAATCCCACATATGCTTAATAGGGTTAAGGTCCGGGCTATTGGCGGGCCACGGAAACACATGTAAACTAGCTTCTTCTAGTGCTTCGGCAGTAGCTCTAGCTGTATGAGCGCGGGCATTGTCATGCATTAATTGGAATCCTGCACCAATTCTCTATGAAAATGACATCACGTGGAGTCTTATGACCTGCTCAATGTACCGTTGAGCCGTTACCGTGCCTTCGTTGAGAATTACGAGCTCGGTTCGACCTGATAGTGAGATTCCGCTCCACACCATTACGTTGGGACCCCCGAGTCTGTCACTTTCGTGGATGCAAGCATCCGAAAATCGCTCTCCTTCTCTTCTCCAAACTCTAATGCGACGATTATCACTAAAAAATTTCACTTTGGATTCATCTGTGAACAATACCTTGCTCCAGTCATCAATGTTCTAGGCCTGGTGCTGCCTAGTGAACGTTAATCGCCTTGCACGATGTGCGGATGTCAGTGGAATTCGCACTACTCGTTGTCTAGAGAACTGTTGGTTTTCATGCAACCGATTCCTAATCGTTTGGTCACTTACGCGGGTGCCCGTCGCTTGTCGCAAGCGGTTTTGTAAGGAACGGGCGGTGACGACTCGCTCTCTGCGCGCAGTTAACCGTATGTAGCGGTCTTCCTGTGCTGTGGTTGCTCGACTCCTGCTTGATCCTGGTCTTCTGGTAACTCTCCCAGTCTCTTGAAACCTAATCCAAGCATTCTGGATTGCTCGCCGTGAAAAACCCAGCTGCAGAGCTACAGAACGCTGCGAATGGCCCTGTTGAGTCAGCGTTATGGCCATAGTTGTGATCTCTATGTCCATATGTCTTCGAATCCTCGGCATTGTCCTTTAAAAATGGTAATCACGCACTAACAAAGAGAATTCCTGCAGTTCACCAAGAACTCGACAATTTCAATGACTCAAAAAGTCGACTTCAAATAGAGTAATTTTTAGTGACTTCGAAAAAAAAATTCATAATCGACCCACTTCAAAAATTAAGTAAGTGATATACTCTCATAATATTTGTCAACACTTAATGTAACGCCACAAAAAATCTTAACCGGTACCGATAGCTTTAAATTTATTAGATCGCTTCAAACGTCAAAATAAACAAGTGGCCCTTATTTTGTTTTGACTAGTATATAAGAAGATACAGTAGAAACTCGATTATCCGGCCCTCAGTTATACGGATTCGCGATTATCCGGATTACGGACGAGTCCGGATAAGAAAAAATGAGCGCTATTATTGAGAGTGGCGTACGTCAAATGACAATTACCAAATATTCTAAACCAAATTATACTTATTCTTATAATTCATGATTACTTATTTCAAATTAACAAATACATATTGTAATTTATTTTTTAAATATTCATAAAATATTATCAACTACATACATATGCACAAAACCGGCTTTTCTTCATACATTTGATTATCCGGATTTTCGATTATCCGAATGCCTATCGACAACATTTAGTCCGGTTAATAGAGTTTGTACTGTACATACTAATTTCTGCTTTATTTTTTGCTGTTTTCAAAGGAACTAGTGTTCAATTCAGCAGAATTTCTTATCTATAATTTATTTGCGTGTTAAATAACAATTTTAATTATATTTTGATAGATTTTAACTAACTTTTTGGTACAATTTAGTTATCCCATTGACTATACTAGTCTTCTTCTTTTCTGGCAATTTCCCATCTTTAGCCAGGGTCTGCCTTACATGTTGTGAATAGTTTTGGCTAGTTGTTTTTACGACCGGCCGCCTGACATCAACCGTCTTTGGGAATGCATTAATCAGTGATGTCTAAATACTCTTAGAAAGTACATGTGACTCGGAAAAATCACATTGGTACTTGACAGGATCGAACCCGCGCCCTCGTGCATGAGAGGTTGGACTCTTAACCACTAGGCCATCACTGACTTCATTGCCCATTCACTATATTAGTATCCAAATGTAATTTTGATCATATAAAGCTACTTTACCTTACCAAATAACCACAGAATTAGAAAATGACTAATAATAACTCAATATGTATTTTTGATGTAAGAGTATTTTGCTTTTTACCTCGTGTATAATTGGAATAGCACATCATTGATGTCCCTTACGAAAGGGCATTTGACTTTGTCGACGGGCGCTATTTGCAGCAGGGAAGATTCAAACTGAATGCTCGGCGGACCTGGAAATTATTTTGACAAATATAATATGAATAATATGTATATGTATATATCTTGTATATAAGCAAGATAGATTCTTCTTTTCTACTCTATTAGAAGGATATAGTCTACTTTCTTCTATATATATTAGCAGGAGAGATTCTTAAATGAATTCTCGGTGGACCCGGAAATTTTTCAACATATATAATACTAGCTTTTCGCCCGCAGCTTCGCCCGCGTGGAATTCGGTTATATCGCGTTCCCAAGAGGACCTTTTAAAAGTCTGGGATAAAAACTATCCTACGTTCTTTCTCAAGGTCAACTTTATCTCTGTACCAAATTTCATTAAAATCAGTTCAGTAGTTTAGGCTTGAAAGCGTAGCAAACAGACAGACAGAGTTACTTTCGCATTTATAATAATATAAGGGATGGTTATTATTATACATATATGTATTTTAATATATATGAACTATATTAACAGGATAGATTTTACCTCCCAAAACTTTCAAATAGAAGGTCCAAATTTTGTCAAAAAGTGATATTTTGGTACCTATACATATTCAAACAATTTAGTTTTTTCTAATTATTGGTATTATTGTATTGCCTTATTGTAAAAGACAACACTGTTTTTTACGAATAGACTAAATAGTTGGGTTCAATTTTCTTTATGGATATTCCAACATTCTGTTACTCTAGTATTATATACTTGATTCCTGTTGTGATAACAAAATCTTCTTTTGTTTCAAGTAAATTGTAATTTTCTTTCAATATGTTTGAATTTCATGACGCTGTATTTGAGAGGTAATATATATAATACATATATTAAAAGAGCATCAAAAAGTATCCTTAAATTTAAAATCCGATCAACAAATAAAATAACTTATATATTTTCGTCTTCCTGGCAAAATCCCAGTTTCAACCAGGGTCTCCCTACATGTTGTGAATAGTTTTGGCTAATTGTTTTTACGACCGGCCGCCTGCCAGACATTAACCCTCTTTGGGAATAAATAAAATAACTTTTATATATACAAGACTAATGCAATCGTTTAATACGTGAATTCAAAGTTATGTATACGCTTACCACAAGTTTGTTTCAAAATATGCTCACAATAACCTACGTTAATACTGTGGTGGCCTAGTGGTTAAAGGCCTGCCTCTCGTTGCCGAGGGCGCGGGTTCGATCCTGACCCGGGCAAGTACCAATGTGATTTTTCCGAGTTATATGTACTTTCTAAGAGTATAAATCAGACATCACTGATTAATGCTGATTCCCAAAAGAGCGTTGATGTCAGGCGCGCAGCCGGTCGTAAAAACAATTAGCCAAAACTATTCACAATATGTAAGGCAGACCCTGGCTATAGCTGGGATATGACCAGGTAGAAGAAGACTAAAGATAAAGTCAATCATGGCCTAGTGGTTAAGGGCCCGCCTCATGCATGAGGATGGATCAATCCTGGCAAGTACCAATGTGATTTTTCCGAGTCATATGTACTTTATAAGAGTATTTAGATACCACTGACTGATGAAGGAAAACTACGTGAGGAAACCTGGACTTATAATTTCACAATTATAAGTTTGAAATCACCAACCCGTCTTGAGCGAGCGTGGTGATTAATGCTCAAACCTTCTCCATGTGAGAAGAGGCTCAGCAGTGGGCTCTGATAGGATGATGATATGAATGTCCGTTAATGATAGTATATATAGGGAAATACGTGTAACCGTCTGTACTTAGTTTCACACAAACCCGTAGTAAGGATACATATTGTCAAACGTTTTCTTCGCGGTTGAGGCGAAACGTAAAGTTTTTATGACTTTGGGTAGCAAACAATGATAGTTGTATATGTTATTATATAATTAAATAAATGTTTAAATATGCATGTGATTGGAGACAAGCTTTCCCTTTTAGATCTAGGCTTAAAAAGTATTTTTCATTGACAGTTTTATACCTATGTCAAAATTTTTGCTTCACAATAACAAATTTAGTATTAATCTCTTTTAAGTTGTCTTTCTTTTAAAGCTAACTAACTAAGAAAAGAGAAAATATACAAATAATTTAATATTCTGACAAGTACTAGTCTTAGGTTAACGTATTAACTATCAGTTTCATTTTGTCTACTACAATATACATATACAGGGTGACTGGTGAATTACTATCGATACTTGAGGACGTGATATTTGACGATCATAATATATGACAAAATAAAAATTAATACAACATAAATATTAATAAACTTCTAAGTAAAGTTAACCAAAAGTTATGTAATTAATTACGCATCGCGTGAAGACCCTACAGATTAGGTATACACACACACACACACACATACGCGTGCAGCGGCGTGGTGTTGTATCAGCACGCCGCCGCACGCGTCCACACTTGGGACACTTGGAACGTGTCCGCACTTTATTTATTTATCCGGAAATTTGGTCAAAAATTAAGTGCCTATTTTTTTTACATAATTCGAATGAGAATCATGTATTCTCCTTAAATATTGATAGTAATTCACCAGTCACCCTGTATGTATGTAAAATGGATTATGCGTGGTTGTATCTTATATATAAAATTCTCGTGTCGCGGTGTTAGACAGAGAACTCCTCCGAAACGGCTGGACCGATAGCAATGTAATTTAGTGAGCATATTGAGTGGGTCTCAGAATCGGCCAACATCTATTTTTCATACCCCTAAGTCATAAGGGTTGTTCACCCTTAATTTTTTTTGGACGAACTTTTTTGTTTTTATTTTTTTACAACGTAGCATTAAAAATACATGTAACCCAAAATTTCTACTTTCTTAGCACCAACTCTAATTTTTTATATGGCAAAACAACGTTTGCCGGGTCAGCTAGTATTTATCTATATATACATATAAAAGAAAGTCGTGTTAGTTACACTATTTATAACTCAAGAACGACTGTACGGATATGGTTAAAAATTGGTTGAGAGATAGATTAGAACCAGAAAACGGACATAGGATTTTTAAATCTGTTTGATCTAAAAAAATAATAATAATAAATTCCAATATCTGGTTATTTACGGGCTCTGAGGCGGAATAGAGTTCGTCCGGTCATCTATACATATATTACTAATTTCGAAATGAACGCAGACGAAGTCACGGGCAAAAACTAGTATATATAAATGTTTGTATCATTGCATACTTGGATTTTTTATTGTAAATATATAAAGATATCTTTATATTATATAATATTATTTAAGTTTTAAGAAAAAATATTCCTAATTGCACTATGTATTTTGACTTGTGTTTTCTTCAACAGTAAGCTATATCATCATCATCATCCCTACTAATATGTATGTATTATAAATGCGAAAGTAACTCTGTCTGTCTGTCTGTTACGCTTTCACCCCTAAACCACTGAACTGATATTAATGAAATTTGATACAGAGATAAAGTTGACCTTGAGAAAGAACATAGGATAGTTTTTATGCCAGACTTTTGAAAGGTTCTCTTGGAAACGCGATATAACCGAACTCCACGCGGGCGAAGCTGCGGGCGGAAAGCTAGTCAAGTATATATATAAAATCCGTTGAGTAATTTTTGCGTTAAACAGCGAAAACCATCACCACATCCTCATACACTGTCTCATCTATAATATTAGTTTGGTTAGGATATATTTTTACGACCAATAACTGGTTACCACGTAGATTTTATTTGACCGTAACGTAATCGCGTCACGTAACGAAAACCACTGCCGTATAAAGATCTTTGGATATAAAAACTAAATACTTCCGTGACTTACGTAAATAGTCTTAATATGTAGTATTTAATATCTTTATATATATAATTCTTCTGTAAGTGTGTATGTCACTGAACTTCTCTCAAACGATTGTACCGATTTTGATGAATTTTTTTGTGTGTGTTCAAGAGGATCTGGGAATGGTTTAGAATCACAATTTTGTCCGCTGGACAATGTTTTTTTAATTAATTTTTAATTTATTAGTAGTTGTTGATACAAACTTTTTTTTTGACATTAGATTTGACAACTAACTAATCAATCATTCTGTCGCACTTCAAAACACGTAGATTTATGGCTTTAATAACTCCAAAAATATAAATAAAAAATCGTAACAGATATTTCTTGATTATAGGGCGATACGAAGTTCGCCAGGTCTTCTAGTATACATACATGTACATATAATAATAATCATCAGCCTATCAGAGCCCACTGCTGAGCATAGCGTCTTCTCACATGGAGAAGGTTTGAGCATTAATCACCACGCTCACTCAAGACGGCTTAGTGATTTCTAACTTATAATTTGATACTATAAGTCCATTTTTCCTCATATTTTCCTTCATCTGTCAGTGGTGTCTAAATACTCTTAAAAAGTACATATGACTTGGAGAAATCACATTGGTACTTGCCAGGATCGAACCCGCGCCCTAATGCATGAGAGAAGCCTTTAATCACTAGGCCACTACATTGTACATATAATATGTAATATCGTGATAATTTTTTATTGACATTTATGTTTAAAATATTTGATATTAAAAATAATTTCCGTTCGATAATCTTCGGGTATTTTCGGTTTTCCGAGCGACGATAGTAATGTGATCCTAGTAAGATTAAATACGTCTAAACTGACAGTGTTACGTCAATGTGAACTGGTACTAAGATTCTTTATAGAGCTTTTTTTAAGCTTATGTAAATTATAGATATGAAATATTTCATTAGTTTTTGATTTAAATTTCATTTTTAGTATTTAAATATTAATAATAAAATCGTTGTTCTGACCAAAAATTACTGTTAAGTCAACATGATAAAAAAATGTAATAATGGCAGTCGTTCAGTCTTAAATTATTATCAAAGTTTATGTTCGATTTTATTGATCTTATCTTCAAAAATTATCTTCTACTGATAATAGTAGACAGAAGAAAAAAGTATTAGCAAAATCGGTTTAGCCAAAACGCGTGTAAATTTGGAAAAGAGAAGTACTGATTTATATATATGTAAATAAAACTTTTCTTTATATATATAAATTTGTGACGAATTGGAGCGTAATCCGTCACTCTTTTACAATGTGGGCTGGCGTGTTATATATCGTAGTAAAAAGACGCAATTTTAATAACTTATTTTTTTATCGCTTGCAATACCTCGAATATTAAGTTGAGAATATATACTTACATATTTTTACAAGTATTACTTATAAAAAGAAGACATTTTTCATAAAATTCTTTCTTTATCGTTCCTTTGTCAGAAGATCAAGATTTATACGTATATTTTCCTATTACTCAATAACTCGGAAACGTTCAAATATTTGTAAAATATGAACAGAGGCTAAATCATTATTTTTTTGACAATATTTTTTACCGTATATGACTAAGTCGTTACAATATACAGTCTCCAGAAATGAACTGTTAAACATAATAATATAATGTAAGAATAAATTCCATAAATAATTTGTACGCAATCGACACACAAAGCATTTGGTGCAAATAATGTATCGCAAATACATACACGCTATTCGATACGGATTACTAGGTTTGTATATATAATATATATGTATATACAAAAACACACACACACACACACACACACATATATATATATATATATTCGTCTTCTACCTGGCAATTTCCCAGCTTTAGCCAGGGTCTGCCTTACATGTTGTGAATAGTTTTGGCTAATTGTTTTCACGACCGACCGCCTGCCTGCCAACAACCCTCTTTGGGAATGCATTAATCAGTGATGTCTAAATACTCTTATAAAGTACATATGACATGGAAAATTCACATTGGTACTTGCCAGGATCGAACCCGCGCCCACGAGCATGAGAGGCGGGCTTTTAATCACTAGGACACCACTAACTAACACACTATACATTACTATCTGAGCCCAACTCTGTTCAAGCGTGTAGAGTCGCAGGCAAAAACTAGTATATTTAAGTTTATTAAACAGATTAAAATAATGCTTTATTTTGTACTACCACGAGTAAAAAACATTTTTGATGCTTTTAATAATATCACCGAATCTTAGTAAAAATATCTTATTATAAGGAAATGATATATTTTTATTAAGTTTGTATTCGAACTAGTTATATGCAAAATATGATTAGTTAACTTCGACAACTGAGCCATCGTGCCAACACAATTACAGAGTTGCAATCTTAAAATTAATGAGATCTAAGACTAGTATTCATTTAAATGAAACTAATATTTTTGGATTTACGAGTTTTTTAATGATAATTCTCATCTCGTCAAAGTTAAAACAATAAAATACGCGTGTTAATACGAAAATATTACTTCATTTCGGTCTTAATATTATATCTTGTTTTATTTTTATTGTAAATTTAACTTTATAAGATATCTATAAAAATTCCTAAATATGAGTCGCAATCGAAAACGTCAAACCGTCAGTTTAATAGTTTTTCGTTTGTGAAAATATAAAAAAAACACGAAAAACTTTTTAACACTCAATTTGTTTTATTAGTTCCAACATATTATACACATCAAAAAATATTTTTTTACTATTTTTGTCTGTATGTTTGTTCCTACTGAAGTTTTAAACGGCTGAAATGATTTTTATTTATTTTTACTATCGGATATATATGATAAATAAGAACCAAATAAAGCTATATATATATTATTTTGTATATTAAAAATATTTCGCGAAATCAAAGTCACGGGCGCACTTTAGTGTAAATATTATTTTACGATCCAAATAATGAATTAAATAATTTTATTACGCTATTAACACTAAAATAAAATAATAATAAAACTCACGTATAACTGACAAAAAACACGCCAGCGGCAACGAAGCCTGCATTTTGATGGAAAAAATGAGAAAAAAAACACAAAAAACTATGAAAAAATATGTAAATCCTATAATGGTCTACACTTCATGTTAGTAGGTAATGTAATGGTTGATGCAGCCCTCGCGATACAGAGCTTGTGTAACCTGCTTGGGAACTTAATACAAGTTCTTAACGTACAAACCGACAGTCACGACGTTTCCGATAATAATTTTCGTAGTATTCTAATATCAAAGAGCGTAGTAGTATTTTCATTACATGAAAACTGATAGTAAGGCTGTCTTTAAATTTAAGAAAAAATGTGATAAATACTATCAAACTGACAGTTTGTAGTAATCAGATCTATCTGATAGTAAATGGGGAGATAAAAACTATTGTCATTGTATGTAAATAGTATACATTTATTTATATGTTTGTCTCTATCTATCTAGCTATCTATCTATCTATATATATATTACTTAATTATTTATTAAAATTATTATACGAATTTGCATGTCTGTGTAATCTAGACCTCATCATCAGCCTATCAGAGCCCACTGCTGAGCAAAGGCCTCTTTCTCTCATGGAGAAGGTTTGAGCATTAATCACCACGCTTGCTCAAGACGGGTTGGTGATTTCAAACTTATAATTGTGATATTATAAGTCCAGGTTTCCTCACGATGTTTTCCTTCACCGTATATCAGTGATGTCTAAATACTCTCAGAAAGTACATATGACTCGGAAAAATCACATTGTACTTGCCAGGTTTGAACCCGCGCCCTCGGTAACGAGACGCGGGCCCCTTAACCACTAGGCCACCACTGACTATCTAGACCTATGATTTATTAGTGTTAAATCTAGATAAAAGTGTCTATATGTACATACTGTCTTATTTCTCGTTACAAACTCGTGGTACTTTTTCTCAACTTTTTCTCCACTTATATAATTTGTGCATTCTATATCACGTGTTGTCATTTTTATCTCATGAGTCAAGGAACAAAGTTATACCAAAAAAATCCAGCCGATAACATACATTTAACTATATACCGTCGTTGAAATGAAACTAATATTTTATTACTACGCGATATTTTATTTTTGATTATAAACTACATACTCCCGACGTTTCAGTTACTTTACAGCAACCGTGATCATTAAGACGAGATGTGAGTGACTCATAATATGTATATTAGTTTCATTTAAATGAGTACTCTCGAAAATCTATATTAGATCTCATTATATTCTATCATGTTTTCTAAGTATAACAAACTAAAATATTTAATACAATAGTTAATAACCTTATAGCGTTACATTCATCAAATAATATATATCATTTAAAACAGAACTATCAAATAGTTCTAATTCATGAATTAAGTGAAATTTTCCATAAAATCGCATTGAAAACTAGATAGTATTTTTTGGAATCAAACTCCGACTCAATTTAAATATTTACAAAATTTAAAGAATGAACTTGAGGAGCGTAAACAAAATGGTGGGTCCACTTAAGTATAAAGTATTTTAACGGAATACCAAAAATTACAAAATTTATTCCAAAAAACGCCAAAAACAGTAATACCCCGCTTAACGCGACCCCGTTTTGCGCGGTTTCACTATAACGCGAATTTCAAAAATTTATTCAGATTTGGACATATTGCAGAGTATAGATAATAATGATGACCGCGCCTTGACCGTATGTCAAACAATTAAAAACAGTGTTGGGTGTTATGAACTTATTATACAAGAACGTAAACAAAACGCTACCCAAAAGACAATACATGTATTTTTTCGTAAAAATAGGAGTACCTATGTATTGTATAGTGTTCTTAGAATTAAAGTGATTGATTAAAATGATTTTTATATTTGTGTATTAAATTTTGATTGTGTTTAATCATAAACCTCGATATACGCGAATTTCAGTTAACGCGATTTTCTTCGGAACGTATCTCTCGCGTTAAGGCCTCGGCCTCGAATTTTGCGGGCAGCGGAGCGGCAGCGGGAGCGGCAGGATCTTACGCGTATAATCAAATGGACCGACCCTCGAATACAGCGGTGCAGGAGCAGGGCGGGGGCGGGCAACGAGCGGTGCACGGGTGCACTCCAGTGAAGCGGTGACCGCCCGCGTTGCGCGTCTGCATTGTAGTGTTGTAATTTTTTTTTGTGACGTATCAAAATGTATTCGGACGTGCAAGAGCAAATTATTTCGGCAATCTTTGAGAGGACACCCTTATGGAACAGCAAAGATGTGAACCATAAAAATAGAAGATGAATTAACCAATTATGGGAAGAAATAAAAAACGAACTGAATATTGAAGGTAAATATAATAATGATTTATTATGTCAAATACAATATTTATTATCTTTTACAAATTAATTAGTAACTAATGCGATTATTTACAAAATATTCTTTGAATTTTTCACGTGTAAGCAATTTGTAATTGTAAACAAAAGAACAAATTTCTTAGAAAGTTCGGTATGACTGTCGAGTTTATTGCGGGTTAGGATAACAAAGCGACAAAAGAGCGTACACAGTTGCGCAGTTTTTACTAATTTTAGCCACTTAAAAGGTATTTTTTATTACTTAATTGTTGTCGTTATATAGAGTTTACACTGATTTACTAAATTAGTGCAACACAATTTCTAAAAGATATAGATCTAAATCGTTTTGAATTAATTCCAGACTCTAAATCACTCTTGATAGTTTCAAGAATATAGTCAAATGTTTCTACACTCATTCTGGTGTAGTCGTAGAATCTGTCGGGATTTTGTCTCTGTTCTTCATAGTTTCGATAAAACTCGCCATTTATTTTCCTTGCCCTATAGTAGGGATCCACTTCTTCTTTTGCCCACAGTAAATCGAGCATTAGGAATGATTTCGAATCATAAAGATGTCGCCGTTTTTCAGACATTTTGTTCGCGAATAAAACAAATATCTCGACAACACAACCACGACCACAACACTACACCGCTATAGTGCCGCGCGATCTGCCCGCTAGTTTCGAGAACAGGTATGCGTTGCCCGCCCCCTTGGCGCGCCGCTGCCGCTGCCGCCCCGCTACCCGCGAGATTCGAGGCCGAGGCCTAAGAGGGGTATTACTGTAGTGCCTTTAACACCACCAAAAACTGAACCACTCACTTAGCAGATTACTCATGATTATGGTTCGGTTACAATGACCTCCTCTTCTTTAAAATTCTTTTATGCGAATTTTAGAAGTTTAGTCAAATTGGGTAAAATTGACGAATTACAATGCATTATTATACAAAACATGCATACTTATAAGAAAAATTCTCTCAGGATCTACACACACACAAACTACTTTTAAGACTAAATCACATAAATAATATACACGAAATAAACATAAATTACAAATACATACCTAAGTCTAGAACTAAACATTATGGTAACAAAACTATACAATTTGAGGGAGCGCTAATATACAATAATCTACTGAAAGAAATATTTAAGGAAAAATCTTTTTTGAAATTTAATGCTATATAAAAACATACTGTCAAACTTTATAATATTTGAATGTTTGTATAAATAAGGTCACCATTAACTTTATAATTGTTTATTATTATGTTACCAGTTTAAGTTTCCTATGTTAGTGAACTTTGTTCTTAATGGGAAATAAATCATCTCTAAACCTAAAAGTAGATCTATATTCACAAAATAAATGAAGTTTCATTTAAAATCTGGCCGTTAAATCTATGGTTGCTATTTATAGTGCGATCTGCGGTCGTATAGAGGCCTACATATCTTCTCTGCCACCGCCCTATCAGCTGCAACGACCACTCCTGGCTCGTGCTGCCAGTACGGAGGCTCGAACACCAGCTCGCGCCCCATCATTCAGCGTCTGCTGGGCAGCAACGTCACCCGTATGATTTACTCTACCTTTTTTGTGGCATTTATGTGAATTACCTTTACCTGAATGTGTGATGGCATTTATGTAACTTACCTGTACCTGTTGTTTGTTGTTGTGCTATTTGTTGAATATTTTTGATGATGTTAATGTTGCTAATGTGATACTTAGTGTAATTAAAATTAACAGATTCTTAAGATTTCAGAGAATATTTATATTTTTTGCCACAAAAAGATATTATCACTTCTAAAAATCTAGGAGCCAGAAGTTATAAACGCTACAACAGGGAAACTCGAATCTGGTACACCATCGCTGCTTTGTAAACAGACCATGTTCGCGAGGTGGCAGCATTTAGTACGGCGTTTACCTCTGTTACCTCAGGTAAATAGACTAAATAGTTGCAACAGGTAAGTATAGTGTGTATGAAAATAACTTTGAATGTTCATCATGTATTTCAGTAAGTAATTTCATTTTGAATTAGTGTTCTTTTTCTATGAATGCATAAACCTACAATATGTCAGTAGGCTTTAAAAGAGTTGACTCCATTTGTAATAAATTATATAGTATTGATGATGATGATGTAACAAATTAAATGTAACTCTCGTGTCACTACAGGTAAATAGTACAAAATGTTCAGGTAATTTGTATAAAATGTGATATTATCTTCTGAATGTTTAATTAAATTGTTTTTTTCTCAAATGTTTTACATTTTTGCTTCGCCTATTTTAGTATTTTATTTTGGTACGTCGTAATTGAAGACATTTTTTATTGTTTAGTTATATTTAAATGATTAGTTTCAGAGCTTGTTTTATATGTTCATGCTTCAATATCTCAAGTAACCTGAAGTATATAGTAAGGTTACTTACATTTATGTATAAATTCGTTACATTTTTTTATTTCATCAACAAAATGTTATAAGAATAGTCGAGGTTCAAAGTATTCAAACAAATTGACGCGAAGTATGTAACAAAGATATTTAATTACACTTTCATATAATTATAAGTAAAATATATCGTGTAAGTATTTTTAAATGAACAAGGTTTTTAAAAAAATAAGTAATGAAAAATATAATTTACTTATGCAATTAACAAAATGAGGCTTCATTAACACTTAGAATTTAAATTTTCAACCACGTATTCTGGAATCTAGTATTCCAGATAATTCCATGAACCTATTCCAGAATGCATATTCCAATTCCAAATTGTCTATGATTTTTTTTTGCTGAATAATAATTATACTTGATAAAATTTTGATATAATTCCTGAATTCCAGTAAGTATATTATAAGTTTACTTAAGTAGTACGTATATAAATTTCAGGATGAAACCGGGCCCGAGTTACCGCCGCTACCAGAAAACTTAGACAGCTTGCTCTACAACGAGGCCAAACAACTGTGTACGACTTATCAGGTAAATGTTACCGAATGTTACCAATTATTACCGAATTTAAAATTTTTTGTCAATACTTCCAGCATTGGTTCCCATTAATTGGTGTTAAATACAATTTTATCGACATCCAAAAATTTCAATACGCCTCATATTCTTTAGGTTCGATTTTATATGCTAATTAACTGGTTTCATGTTAAATGAAACTATTATTATTCGTATTACTACGCGTATTTTATTATTTTAACTACATACTCTCGACGATTCGGTTACTTTGCAGCAACCGTGATCATTAAGACAAGATGTCCCTAAGGCGACCTATACATTAAAAATAATTTTGCAGAATATAGATGATTGTACAATATTATTAGCAGTGTAAGGATAATATTGAAAACTTAAATTTTATTGAGCATTCATAAAATTAAGCTTAGTAATCCGAAATTAGTTTCATTCAACATGAATACTGTAATCCTAGATCTTAGTATAGTTTCGTGTTATTTACAACTTGTTGGCTACATTTATGGGCTGTATAATATTAGTTTCATTTAAATGAATACTAAAGTCCTAGATTTCATTACAGTTTGGTGTTATTTACAACTACCTGCCTACATTTATTGGCCGTAATATTAGTTTCATTTAAATGAATACTTTTTTCTTTGCAATCAGCTGGCAAAGTCCGAGTTGACCGGAGCGTTCAGCCGCGCGCAGCTCGGTCGTTGGATAAAGAAGCCGTTGGAGCAGGACCAGTTTGTTTGTGAGCTTCTATCCGCTGAACCAGACGTGTTGTTTCGCTAGAGGGTTGCGCCTGGGGGGTAGCACTCTGCAGGTTATGGGATAGGCAGAAAATAGGCAGAAAATATGGTAGCACCGAAAATCAGATTAACTTGGAGAATTCACGATAAACAGCAAAGAGCTATCTTTAAGGGTTTATTGTGTGATAAAAAGACAGTTTCAGCACCAAATATAAGAATATCATTACAGATTTGTATAATATTGCAAAGAGAAATAATTAAGGGACTAACAATATTGGCAAAAAACTGCCGATAGATTTTTGAGTGTCCTAATTTTCCGTGTTAGGGTTTTTGCGGTTAAATAGTCCGAACGAATTTGTAAATTTAATAATTTTTTATATTAATCTTCTTAATAGATTTAGTTATGGACATAAAATATTAGATAAATTGGCCCTAGAAAGGATTTTTTTTTGAGAGGTAGGAATAAAATCCCCAAAAAAAACCTGCCCAGTGTTACCAACGGACGCCATCAATTTAGCCACCACGCCAGGTTCAGTGAAATCTACGAATATTTAGAGAAAAAAAAATTAATGTAATTTTATCAAAATTCATTTTCCAAAACACTATAAATTTGATACATTAATTGTCAAATTTTTTGTGCCTTTTTTGTTCGTTTTTACGTTGTGTTTTTTAATAACTATTATTATTAATATCGGAAAACTTTGTAAAATAAAATATCGATAAATTTTTAAATTACGAAATAAGTGATGTTTAGTTTTTTTTTATATAAAAAAAACTTTTTAATCGTTTAACGTACATAATCATTTTAAGCATTTTATTTTTCTTTTAAAATCTTAAATGATAATTTATTATTAGTAATAACGGTTAGGAGTATTATAAATAGGGAATGTGTTTTTTATTAAATAGTGTTTTTTAACTTTTAAAATGATTAGTTGTAATGTTTTAAACGCAGCCAAAGTATTAAATTTTTTATTTGTTCTGTGATGTTACTGTATTTTAAGCGCACAATAAAACCTTTTGATTATATTCGTTTCATTTTTTTACTCTCATTATACATATAAAAAAAATCATTTACATATGTATAAACCAGATATTAACATATATTAAACATATGTTAAAACCAGAAAAATCCAATCATTTTTGTTCCAGTAAAAAATATAATAAACGAAGTGTAAATATTTTATTTAACTTTTATGTAACGATCTTGTTAATTATGTATATATATAAGATTTTTTTAAATTTTAAAAATTTTCTTTCACTTACAATTACTAAGGGTCGAGAAAATTTTGTATATTAACAATAGTTTAATACTTGTTGAAAGAATAACTATTAAGTTTCCAACGGCAATAAATGTTTTATAGTGTTCAGAATACACTGTTATTAAAAAAAATCAATACTTTTAATGAAGTTAATGTGCCGTACTCGCTTTTAACACCGAGCGCGCAAACTAAAAATAACACGTCCAGATCTATTTTCAGCGTAAAATTAACATTATAAATAATGTAGTAGTTTTTATTCGAAATTTCCTCCTCTTGAATATTAATAGTTTATGAAATATTGGCAAAAAACGAGATGCCATTTTATCCATCTTTAATTGTTTGCATTTTATTTAACTTTTGCATTTTTTATTTTAACTTTTGCATTTTTTATGTGCTGATACACACTTTTGGCACATTTTTCTACCCGTCATTCCGGATCCAGTGAGCTAACATAATTTTAAAAGCATTATTTATATTTTATACCATTTTCAACTTGTCGACTGGACTATAATTGTTCTTGAAAAATTCGACGTTACTTAATGCTTGCAAGTTACACTACAATAGTTTAAATACATGTAAAATATAATAAATTTCATAGTAAAAGTATATAAACAAACATAATTGAAAAAAAAAGACAAAATTGCGCAAAAGATACGAAAAACAGATTCCGATACCGGGAATCGAACCCGAGCCTCCTGGGTGAGAGCCAGGTATCCTAGCCACTAGACCATATCGGATGATCTTTAAACGGGAATTTTGTTTGTGTAGTCATAAGTATTATTTTATTTCTGTATTAATTTAAAATACACAAATTGTATAAGGTTTATCATTCAGCGTGTTTTACTTAACTAAACATCAAATTTAAAGCGTTTATGACTCCGTTTTACTTTATAAAACGATGATTCACTTTTTAAGTTTGCTGCAATATAATTGACCATAGTTATTCTCAAAACATTGGACAACAAGAAATTTAAAATTATTCCTTCGTTATTATTAAATATACTCTGAAAATGCTATGACATGTAGAAGCAATAACATGAGAATAATTTAGAAATTATATATTGATATAAAGCCATTTATGAATAATAAAATAGTGTATTGCAGGGTTCTTCATACATAAGAAGTATGAACAAACAATGTAAAAACAAGTATATTACTACAGTTTACATTTTTATGAACTTTACAGTTAAAATATGTTTAACTATTTGGGTATGACAAATTTGGACACAGTCCTTATTTATATAGATGAAGAAGACTTCTAGTAATGTACCTGTAGATATATACTCAGACCAGACGAGAGAATATAAGAAGAAAGGTACATAGAAGAAAATAATTGGTTGCTACACATTCCATTCATCTTATTTTATTAACAAAATATAATTGGTCATTAGAAGATCTATGTATTATAAAACACAGACGCAATCGCGTGCATAGATAAGTTTAATTTAAACTTTGATATTACCTGTCCATTTTTTAATATAAATATATTAAAAAAGCTCATATAATTACATGCAGTCATGTAACAGACAACAAGCATGACTCAATATAATAATATAACATGACAAATGCATTAGACCATAAACATTGTAAATAATAAGAAGCACGGGATGTTTAATGAGGAATAGAAGTCAGTTAACAAAGAGAGCTGTTCTGAAATGTTAGCGTTTGTTAGTAAAGTGGTACGAGTGGTGATGGAGAGCTGGAAGGAGTTCTGTTCGGAGACCAGCCTCCACGGGTTCAACCACATCACGGCTGAGAGGAGGCACTGGAGCGAGAGGTGATAGTGTGGGGAAGAGGATCTTATTGTGGTTATAGGAGATTATATGATGTACAGATGATCACACGACATTTAAGATGTTGGATAAATACTCGTTATACTTTTGGTATTATTAAAATAAACAAAGTAATAGACATGATTCATTAGTAAGTAGTTCATGTAGTAGAGTTCAGTATAACTTATTAATATAGTTCCGTTTGGTGTAATGAGCAGTATGATATACAGAAGTATAATTCCCTCTTCATCCGCACCTATCTTCCTGTCTTTCTGCATTTCCTTGACTAAATCCTCAAAGTTCTTTAGGTAAAGACACTAATGAAAGTATTCTTTGGATGAAGATAATAACTTATCATCAAACGGCGAGTACCTTTGGTGAGTGTTTTTCACAAGAGTAGTCTCGTGCAGGTTGTTGTGGGTCTGCTTCATAGCGGCGTCAGTGTGGCTGGTGCTGGACATATCGATGGGCCAGTGGCAGAGGTACGACGAGAACCCCACCATCGTGACTCTGGAGAAGGACTTCAGAACCTGGAGGATCCATATGCCGGCCGTCACTGCTTGCTTGAAGGTTGCTCTATACTCACTGATACATTAACTTTGACTGCACCAGAGACACCGCTCCTCTTTACCGTTATGTTTCAGAACAAAGTGGATGTAAAGAAACTTCCGAATGCAATCAAATCTCGTTGGAATGTTGAAGCTGGACATCCCAAGTACTTGTATTACAGTCGTTTCGTGAGCGCCGTCGCCAGCTCTACTCTGGAGAACCTCACGTTGTTTGAACAGTTCGACGATGACCCAACACTGAACGTGGACTTGTTCAGACTCGCCGTTGACGTTAGTCTGATGACTTTTAATTTTAATATAAACTTAGTTCTCTCCTAATTTACTCCTATTTTTTGTTCATTCTTACTAGTAGACGTAAAGAACACCAAAAATATTAAAGGGTTTTAAGGGAGGTAGATATTGATAAATACTTAAGTGATTTTAAATAGTGGATTGCTGATGATGATGAATGAGTGATGTCTCTTCAGGTGATGGAAGACAGCAACATCAAAGTGAGTAACGGAGAGAAAATCAAAGCGATCTGGAGTCCGGTGATGACGGAGCTCGGAGTGTGTCACACACTCAACTCAGTGGCCACCGCTGATATAGAGATCTTGTGAGTTTATTTATATATTAATAAACAAGACGAGAAGTGAATCATTGATATAGAACTTTTTGTTCGCAGTAAGTCCAACGTGAGCCATACTAAAGACAATCCGATGACTTGTCAAGCAGACACCAACGGCTGCTTCCTGTATCTGGAGTGTGCTGCAGAGATAGACGTATGTACACGACGAGGACCGGACTCAACGTATTACTAAATCATCAAAAACCAATACAAGGACTTAACTTTCTTTGGAACACTCTCACCATTAATACATACAAAGATTTTTAACTTATGCTGATTCAGTCGTATAATACTTACTTCGCGTGCGTAGAGTGTCAGTAATATTTTTATTCCTCATAAGTAACTCAACTATAAGGATTATAGCAAAATATATTTCTTACTTATTGTACAACAATGTCTACTAAAATCAAACACACAAATGTAAATCCATTCTTTCAATAAAACAGTTCTAGACCTCTCCCTTTCCCGCCCTTCCTACTCTGTATCTATCTTGTAATAAACATTACACATTCCTTCAGTACTATCTTCACTCTCCATACGATGTGGTCGACTACACTGAAGCACACACCACCACCTCCCCCCCACTCATCACACACGTGGACGTCACCACCACCGAGATAGGAGTGGGTCCAGGAGTGAGGGACCTGCTGCCGAGGAGACGACAGTGTTTGTTCACTGATGAACCCACCGCAGGCTACAGACAGGTAACTGTGAGGGTCAAAGGTCACTGGACCTCTCCTGTGAGAGATGACCCTGACGGATGACCTCATTGTACTTGACGCCAGGCGTACAGCACACACTCCTGCAGACAGGACTGTAGGAGACGCCTGGCGATG